CCCCGACCTCGAGCACCGATGCCTTCGAAGCGATATTCTCGTCAAAGCGGCCGCTGAAGAACGAACCGGAGGACGTCATCTTCACTCTTTCCTCGGCCGTCCAGTCGATGGAAACTGGTCCCCAGGCCATGTCAGAGTCCGAAGACCAGTTCCGAAGCTTCAGCGAACAGGACGGCGAACTCCGCATGCTGGATGGCCCCGACGCAAAGTTGTCCGTGGAGGAATTCACCCGTCGTCTTCGCCCATTCCAGCCTCCCCCCCCGCCCGTCCCCATGGACACATCCGCTGCTGAGACTGCCGAGTCCACCGATGCTCAGGTCGACAACGAGTACCAGACCTACTCGACCGTCCTGACTATCCGCGAAGCCCGTCATTCAGACGGTCGCAAGACCTACGAGGCACACACGGGACCTTTTGTTCGCAACGGAGAGATGGAGGACCCATCTGATATGCGCGACGAGATCTCCATCGAGGCGCCCTCTGATTCCAACGCAGGTATGACATACATGGAGCGTCTGCGCAACAACCGCACTATGCACGCCATCAGCACCATGAGACGACGCAAGGCCAAGATGAAGAAGCACAAGTTCAAGAAGCTGATGAAGAGAACGCGTACCCTGAGACGGAAACTCGACAAGTAGAATGCTTGAGGTTTTCTGGTTTACTTTTGTTCTTTTTTTTGCTGTCAATTGCATCTTGTCTGCATTTTGGGTCGAGGCTAGTCTTGTGAGAGTTCAGGGCATATATCCTTGTTTTCATATATTTTCTTTTATTACTTTCTCGTTCTCCCCTACCTATTCTCTTCCACTCATACTCGATCGAATATCCACACATACTTTTTATTTCTTGGTCTTTTTGCTGCGAACAGCTGTACTTGTACAGAAGTAAATGCGGTCCTTGTTATGTGGGCATTAACTCTCCCCATGCATTGCGGATCATCCAATAGATCTTGATTACTCGACTTCTGTTATGGCGGTGCTGGTTTCTTTGTTCCATCTCAGTAAATATGACTAGTCTAGTAACAACGCAGGGAATGTCTTGATTCCAGACCATCATCTCTTGTGAAGCTTGCCCTCAATATCCCAATACATCATTATGTATGTACCTGGGAAGATCTACGAGTGTATATTCTAAGAATTGGACTATTAGTAACACTAAATCCAATCCTAGGCGATGAAGCCCATGCAATCAAAAGAATTGAGCAATCCCGAGATAGCATAAATACGTATACAAGGAAGACAAAGGACGAGAAGTAAACAAACAAGAAACTCCCCTTACAGAAGATCCTGCCTAACCACCATAATGGAGAGGACGGAGACTCAAGTCCCGGATCGGCGAATTTCATATAAAGTACAGAGTTCAGCGCGGTGTCATGCAATGTAAAGCCAAAAATCCAATATCTACCCACACCTGTCAACGGTGTCCAGGACGAATGCTTGAACAGATTCCCCGATTCTACATCCACTCAGTCATCGAATCTTCACTCTCAAATGGGCTGAAATCGATTTATCATTTCCCGAAATCATCCAATCCTGTACCCGCAACAACTTTATCATGTCAGATTCCCCGACCGAAGAGGCACATTGATTTGCGACGGGGAAATGTTGAAAACGCACATCCGGGAATGAACCAAGAATCGCGTAGGTGCAGCCCATGGACGATTCGAGGTCCAATTCCCGGAATGCAGCGGGAGGTCTTTCGTTTAACAGACTGCTTTCGAGCGGGAGTTCATGAGAAGAGCAACAATCAACCCGTAAAGACCTGAGGGGGAAATGGTTAGATGTGATTATATAGATTGGTATATGGAGTAGTCACAACTTACCCAAGACTTCAGCGAAAATGAGAATCAGAATCATTCCGACGTACAGCCTAGGCTGTTGAGCCGTTCCACGCACACCTGCATCACCAACAATACCAATAGCGAAACTGCAATCGAAGTCAGGAACAAAGCTCTAGAACAATGGAAGACACCCTGTGTCGCAAACTTACCCCGCAGCAAGACCAGCCAGACCGACAGACAGACCAGCACCGAGCTGGATGAAACCAGTGTAGAGAGGAAGCATCTGGGTCAAGCCGTTGGCGACCAGGACCGACACGACAAGACCGTAGATACCAATGATACCCGCCATGACAATGGGGACAATGTCTAGAAACCGAGTCAGCGAGTTGTTGCCAAATTTCCTTGCGTGACACTGGCAATATCCCATTGCCAGATCGGTGGAGCTTTTGTTGAGATCGACTTACTCTTAACGATCAGGTCGGGGCGGAGGACGGCCATGGAGCAAACTCCGACACCAGCCTTAGCAGTTCCATATGCGGCACCGAAGCAGGTGAACACGATAGCGGAGGTACAGCCCAGCGCACCAAAGAAGGGCTAAAGGAAGAAAGATTAGTTATCATGCCGATGCATTCTGAGCAGGTGGATGACGCGGAGGGCCGAGACACGGGCGATTGACTTGGTCATGCTCGAGTGTCAGAATCTAGTATATAATAAGACTCACCGCATAGACGGGGCTGTCAAAATCCAAATGTTAGCAAGATTGATCCATAAATTCTAGGGAATGTTGGGCGGCTTGATAGCAAGGTGTCGATCGGAAGCTGTCGAGCACCCAGGGGCTGGAGGGAGGTCTGGCTGACGACTTACCAAAGTTCGGTTGCCATTTTGAGGTGAATGACGACCCGACGAGGATCTCGTGGAGTAGTTTGAGCTTTAAAAAGAAATAGAAACACCCGAGGTCGGCAAGCTCAGTTGGATGCGGTCGGGGAGGATGGAGAGTCCAGAGAGGCTTGGAGGTCGATGGCAATGCTGGCCTCCTCTGGGTCACGTGAAGTGTCTTGGCATATTCACCGGGACAGGTAATGACTGGTTACAACAGATGTGACATGTATAGATTCAGCCGTAAATCTATTATTTCTCGTTTGATTTTCAACGGACTATCGCTCTTGCTGCCTTGCTCCTGGGAAGATGACTTCAGCTCTAGCGACCTGGACATCCGCAAAAGTATTCTACAACATAGATCATACCTAGGTAGATTCTAGCCGCCATGACGAACTCTGCGGCCCTTATTTGCCTAACATATTCCAACTACAACATAGCAATCAGAAAATATCTCATCCTAACTAAAGTCTGATAAGCCTTCCTAGGAGCTCTCAGGTTTTATTCCTATGATGATATGGCAGGACTTCTAAACTATTTCTTTGTGGGTGTAAGGGGCTTGGCATAGGATGTCCATCCTCATATGATCGGCAGATCTGGTTAAGTGTTTTGGCCTAAAAGCCCGAGGAAGTGAAGGTTTGATATATATCGGCTAACAAGCCAACTATCGGATTAGGAAATGGGAAATAGATGATCACTATCTCCTTGACGCCGGGCTTTTTAATCCTTGCTATCTGGAGTTGACGAAAAACAGGAACATTTTCGGCATCGGCTCCATATACTTCTATACAATAATTACCGGCTAATGGCCATAGAGATCTCTAGGTCCATTCGAATCTCCAGAGGAGATGGAGAAATACTAAGAAGTTGACAAATTATTTGCCTCTAATACTGAACCGCCTGTCTCTCCTAGATCCCGTAGGAGATTTTCAATGTTTTCTGCCCGGCCACTTGCATGCAAGATATTGCCAATAGCAGCATGCAACTGTAAGTACTTGGCGTCAGGAAGAGGAAAGCGAGGGCCGTGGTTAGTCAACGTTATAACCCTATCGCTGGGTAACGCGGGTGTAATCACAGATGCGAAGAGTGGAAAAGGTTTGATACGGTAGTGATTAGGAGTCGGAGTATCCTCAAGAACAAAGTGGAAGCGACCGAACTCCCCATGAAGGAGGTTGACCATCATCATGATATTGTCCTCTCAATTCACATCTTCAGGTGATATATTGAGGGTTAGAAAGTAACGAAAATGTTGACTCTTAGAAGCAGTAGGTCAACTGGAAAACTCTGTTATTGCACAAGGAGAGAAGAAGAGAACTACTATCTACATGGTGGAGACCAAAATACTGGGAGCAACCACTGGAGGTCACATTTACCCATACCTCTCAGGTTCGCCATCTTTCATCGTCATTCGTGAAACTACTGATAACCCTAAGCTCCTCGAAGAAATCAAGAGTCTCTTTAGTAGTATGCCTAGGAGTATTATCGTATATAATAATCGGATCTTACTCCCTTCTTAGACGGAAGAAGCCTTCTATAATAATACGTATTATATAGTTAGGATTCACTATATACCTAGGTAAGTATAGGGACTTCTAAAATGAATTGAATCTGAACTGAATCTGAACTGAATTTGAATCTGATTGAATTATATTGTATTGTAGAGTGGGTAGTTGAAGAAGGAAGAATTGAAAACCAGAGCTATAATGTTCAATACAATACATTAAATTTAGTTAGGAAGACCAAATTGCCAGATCTCTTGGCCGCTATTTTAGGGTGAGTCTTTATAGCGACGTATCTTGTGACATGGAGCAAACATCACTGACCTAACCATCGATGAAGATCAATCTCAGACATTGACGGATGTTCAAAAAGGGTCAGGATTTGCAAAGGAAGCCAGACAATTTGCTGCCCAGTACCAAAAAAGGGAATACGGAATTCAAGAGGTATTACAGCCACATAAAGCGATATGGCGATTCCCTTGATGAGAATGGACGGCGCTGCACCAGCGAGTACACTCTCGTTCGTCACCTCCAGCTAAGGATCGTTCAACGGTGCAAGATCAAGGATGCACACTCCCAAGAGCATTTTGAAAATGCCAAGATCTCGCAGAAATGGTTAGAATCACAGGGAGATACTCTATGAATCACTACTAGAACCGCTATCACTGATCATCAGAAAGAAGGGACAGATGAAACGCCTTGCCATTCACCTATTTATCCCTCTTCACTCTGAATCTATTTCCTTTCACCCTGAATTCCTTTCACTGTTGAGGCTGAGATTTTTAACATGTCATCTTCGTCAGCTGCAGCTATATCTTCCTTCTCGCAAGTGAGCGCTCATTTTAATGGGCTTCTGCTCAACATCGTCCACCTCCTCTCCGTTTGATGGTCCTGTTGTTGTTGATCGAATGGGTTTCCTACGGTCACCACTCCGCGCTGAGGGACCTTACCTGTGCTCACTACCAGCTCATGCTGTTACAGCCGGTTCTCATTATGACACCGACACTGTGTATCAGATCGAAGGATATGCAGCACAACTCTTGGATGATCTTCAGCTGGGGTATCAGGGCATTCGGCTTGTGTGAAGACCCTCAACGCAACTTTACGAAGCCACAAAGATACCATGACCAGGCCACAGAAGCGATCTGACATAACAACGGGCGAGGAAATTACCAATACCTCCCTCATGCAACTTTTAATGATAATGATACGGGTGTCTTCTCTGAATATCTTTTTCGGCGCTTCCTAAAAACGTATGTAGTTATTGCATTATTGTACATGTATGATTTTTTTATACAGTTTCGAGGACAACTCGAGATCCTGGAATATTTAGCTTCGTGCATGACTCTAACGCCATTTCTCCTTTGATAGGCTGCGAGTAAGCAATCGCCTTCTCGGACAATGCTCCAAAGGTGTGAGGCAGAGAAACGACCCCATTGCTGTCTTCATCCGCTTCATGTGTCTCAAGTTCCATAGAGTCTGCAACCATTCCAAAGTGATAACTGATAGGCTCTTCCTGTGAGTCACGATTGCTTGAAACATTGCCCTGTGCCCCAGTCGGTTCTACCGACACAAAGAACTGAATATAATCCCCCGCAGTAGCAACCTGTGAAAGGAGAGATAGATCATCTACAGTAATCCCCTTATCAATAGAAGGGAGTGTGTCCAACTGTGTGGTATCAGGATCAAAAACCTGACTCAATGTGACAAGATCATCATGGTTGGCAGTCCCTGAGAAGCCGACTTCAGGATCCAGCGAAAGGAGGCCTTGCTTCTTTCCCCATCCGCCTCCACCGCTCATGACACGATGCAATTTTCCACCTTGGCGCAGAGATTGGATCAAGCGATCATGAGTAGATGAACCTGGATCAGCCACATCCAAGTCAGGTTTCTCGACAAGCGCCCATACGGATACACGCTGGTCAATAATATTATGTTCTGCGATGTAACGCGGGAGCTCCCTCTCGAGTTCTGACGAAGCAGGCATTGTGTCCGTCGACGTCAGATCCGTCGATTTTGCTAGTTGCCGTAAAATGTTTCCCATGCTAGTCATGACTCTTCGTCGTTCAGTCACCGGATGCAATGGCAACTCCAATGTGGTATGTACAGCCTGGGAAGTAGCTGTAACCATGCAGCTTGTGAAATCCATCGAACTGTCCAAGGTATATCCGCTTGAGGTCTTATCCCAAAGCCAGCGTGTACCAAAGATTGTGGTTTCTCTCCCATTGACAAATATAGTGTTGGCTAGGCGCAATCCGATCTCGTGCGCAGGTCCCTTGCCGGTTGGACCAATCACTTCGGGTCGAAATGAAAACAATAGATTTGTTTCCTCACTAGCAGAGCTTCTGATGAGACGGGGTGGTGCAACCTTCGCCTGGACTCCTGATTGCCCTATTGCCAGAAGCGACAGCCCTTCGGACTCACTTAAATGTGGGTTTTCGGATGTAGTATTCGGGAGCGCATCAACCACAGCTGTAACGGCATAGAGAGTATCGTTTCTCGGTGAGTTTCTGTAAAGGCGACTGAGAAATTGCGACAAGAAAGGGCTAGAAGGATCGAGCCAGTGGGCGAAGCTTGGGGTGACGAGGAGGAGAGGGACAGAAGCGGGCGCAGCTGATGGGCTCACAGGCACTGAAGGAAGACTGGACAGAATATCATCTGGTGTCTTTTATTATTTAGCTTGAATATCAAAGTGCAGAAATGTGGTTTTGCTCACTGTCTCTTCTGCTGTCTTTGTGAGCCATGTGTGTGCCAAAGGCCGCCCATGTGTCGCGTACCATCTATTTGCACGACCGAAGCTTCCAGGGACTTGGGTTGAGCCCCCAAGCTGCCGGCGTCCGGAATTGAGGGCTACCCTCATCTGTTTGAATCTCATTGACATTGAGATATCAAGGTAAAAGCTGGTCCAATTAGGAAAACGCGGAAGTCATTGCGGAGGATAGTGGGTCAGTCGCGGAGCGGAACATCTGTTTCCACCGTAGTCGGCACTATGTACAGTTCTATGCACGAGCATTAACTAGTTAGTTATAACCCAACATACTTGACATGAGCTCCATGATTATTTACTCGAAATTAAGCGAAGTTTATCCTTTTGCGGAACAAAGGGCGTGGAAATGTGAAGCCTCAATGTAGCACGCTAACTCCATTTAAGCAAGAACCTCCAGGGAAGACTACAGAGCATCGCATACATCCATGAATATGTTATCCTAGTTATGCATAAAAAAGTCGTCGGTACATTTTACCCACTTTACTACATTTTCGTATTTATAGCTATAAAATTGACAAAATAAGAAGACACCCAAAACGACATCGAAAACGACTCAGAAAAAGACTACTTAAAACACACGGCAAGGCTACATAACCGGCCCGCATTTCTGGTTCGCCAAATACTTATACTTTCAAGGTTTACGTGAATTCGAAGTATTGACGATGCAGCGCGCCAGCCATGGCCAGGTCCCAAAAGGTGCCTATATCTTTCATATGTTGTACGAACGAGAACTATCCAACTAGACGTTGAGGCAGGGTGGGTGCCTACGGCTTACAAGACGCTAGAGAAGTCGAAGGGGAATCTAGACCAGTGTTCCAGGGGTTCAGAAGAACATGCAGGTGTGGCTGTCGGGCACACCACAAAAGCAGCAGCACCATACACCAAGTGTGCAGCGTGGATCTCTTGCAGAAAATAAGGAACCACTTGTAGCGAGTCACGAAATAGGGCTGAATAATAGTACTACTCCTATTCGACCTAACGTACCCAATTCCCGGGGCTATGTACATACTAGTGGACCCCAGGACCCATCGAACCGTCAATGACCAATAATATTGGCAGTCAGATGGATATCTAGGGACTTGACCGATGACATTAGGGAAGGAGCCGTGTAATCGATAGTTCGGGTCAGATTTTGTGGTTATCGTGGCAGGTCTAGATGTCCCTATAAAACCGACTTGATCAGTCTATTGACTACGATATGTATAGTAGGGATTTCCCTTCTAATTTGGTATAGAACGCGTGTATATATTCCCTTGCATTAGTTCCTATCACTTTTGTTCTGTCACTAACCTTGTCCCCAGTCACTTTTCTGTTTCAATGAAGTCATAAACGCCAGCCACATGATACCGATACCAGGCGCCTTGGCATGTGGGGGGGTAAGGGGCCCCATAATAGGGCTGAGCTATCTGGCCACGACCGGGAACTTTTAGCGGCAATTGTACAGCAAGTACTTGGCAGACCTAACCAAGTAAAGATTCTCGTCAAATTTAGAAGTGACGGTGTTTTTAAGAGATCGTCACCATCATGAGACTTAGACTGCAGCATGGGCGCATAGCTACATACTATGTACAAGCAGAGGCAACAAAGTACTCTGTAGGAAGTACTGTACAACATACGCAACATACGGTCAAATATAGAACATAAAATTTAGAAAATAGAAATGCAGGCTAATACATGGCGCCAAGCTTCCTCTAGGCAGCAAGCAAAAGAATGAACGGGATAGGTGAGAGAACCTTCGGGGTATTGGTCATAGCCGCCAATACAGAAGATCATTATCTTGGCAACCCTAGATAAAATGTAACAATACTTGGAGGAGTGGTAACCAAGTTAAAATTAAAACATTAGAATATGAAGAGAAATAAACAGAGACCAAAAATAAGAAACAAAAACAAAAACAAAAACAAAATACCGGTCATTGTCTAAGCCACAACTGTAGCATGTTGGTGCCTTGATATGCCAAGATAAGTGTTTTTTCTCTCTTTCTATGAGCCACACCAAAAGTGGCGGGCCATGATGTAATGACCCAAGCTCTCTTAAGTCCTCCCTTTTAAGACTTTCCCTCCGTCCACTTTCCCTTCCCATTTTCTCCCTAAACATTTCAAATCTCCATCAAATCTACCCAAAATGCCTTTCACTGCTTCGTAAGTTGTCCATTGTCTTTGCTAGGTGGTTTCTACAGTCCGAGCTTCTACCCTGTCACCCTCCCACCCTCACTCCCAGCACCCCAGGTCGCGCTGTTACCTGTGAGACTATGTCCAGTGTACTAACATCGTCAACAGTGATATTTGCAAAATCATCTTTGCCATTATCCTGCCTCCTCTGGGTGTCTTCCTGGAGCGCGGATGTGGTGCTGATTTCCTGATCAACATCTTATTGACTATTCTGGGATGGATCCCTGGTGTCATTCACGCCATGTATGTGACTATCTGATGAGTTTCCAGCCACTCGTGGCAGATGCTGACCATATTACAGCTACATTATCTTCAAATACTAGAGATACCCACCTCCCACACATCCTCCCAACCAACGCTTTCCAAGACTAATATCCCTTGCGAAATGAGCACTGCGACTAATTTCACATCAACCCTTACTCTTCTTGCCTTGCGCTTTGAGTAAGGGTCAGTGCGATTCGATATCCTGAACGTCGGAAGTCAGCGTGATTCCGTGGAGGTCCGGTTGAGACTAGCCTAATGCAGCCTCCCCCGCTTGGCATTCGGTCCGGCACGAGTCGGACATGATGTCCATAATTCCCTAATACTTTGTGTGGTCGCATCGTTATGTTTTTCTTTTTTCTCTTTTTGCTTTTTTTTCCTTTGTCTTGCTCGATATTGCGGGTTCTTGCTTTTTCTTTGAATGATACCAGCTCACACGGTTTGACTCTGGGGCTTCTTTGTTTCGTACCAATGCCAGCCGTTGGCTAGTCTTTATGAATTCATGGGAATGGGACTTTTACTATAAACTTCCGAGTTCTGCTTGTTTGTAGGGTATAGGAAAGAACATGTAAATTGGATGTTTCTAGGTACTCCATACTCCATACTCCATACTCCATACAGTGCCTAGAATCCCTCGCAACTTGCAAAAGAGCAAATCAGACAAGATTTGATCGTAACATAATGGGCCCTGTGGACCTTATTTGTTAGCGAAAAAGAATGGCTAATCCAACGAGCAGAAAAGAATGACTGATAGTTGGACTGGGAATGCAAAAAGACAAAATGAAGCCATCGCGAGGGAATGTGCCTCGTATATACATTGTCGCCGGAATTCTTTAGCTTCCAAAAGGTAATTAAGGAGCTACTAAAAGATAAAGTAGAATAGTAAACGAATTAGGTTCACTCTACTATAGATCTGAAGATTAAGGTAGTTATATAGTTTTACCCTTGCTAGAAGGTGTTCGGACTACTCCGGACTACTCCGGTTACTTCCAAGGTTGCTATATAAAATAATAAAATATATTTTATTTACCTTTAGTCTTATAAATAAAGTTAAGTTATGATTGGATTAAATTAAGCGCTAGTTAGTTAAAAAAAAAAGAAAAGAAAATAGAGGAAAGTAAAAAACGAAAAATCTTGGGCTTTATCCTCAAGTCGGTCCCGGAATGGTAGATTTTCTCGGCTTGCTAAGTCAGGAACTTCCCGGACCTCGGGAGTTCTTAGGTTCGGACAAGGGAGGATCCGATGACCGGAAGTAGTGGCTCTAGTTCTACGGTTGAGAGGAGACAAAGCCTCTAAGTTAGTTTCATACGCATACGCAGCAGTGATCTTAACTTCGAATTTGGTAGGCAAGTTCTTACCTTCTCGATCTCAGAAATAGCCTGTCTAGCGGATCCCTCAAGGATAAGAAGAACAAGCACATGTGTGTCCCGCGAAGGAGGAAGCTACGATGGTAAACGCGAATGGGAATGACCGGGGAACAACATTGTTGAGGAAGAATAAGTTTTCCAACGTGCATTTACGGCATCATGATTCAACCACTGGCCACCTGGGCAGGCGTATCAGGTTACAAATTCAATTGAAAGGAGGAGGAAAGAGAGAATCGGGATACTACCGCTCTCACAGGGCGTGGGCATTTGTCCTTGGTTCTTTCTTCCGTGTTAGATGATCAACCAGCGAATGATTCTATTTTTTATCTTTTACGGTCTTCCACTCGTATCTCCTATCATAGAACTGTTCCCATAGTAGTTTTTGAAGGCCCTCGGAAGGCAGAAGGATCAGTAGGAGGAATCTGGTTCCGGAGGAGGGTCTAGGTCAGATTTCGGTCTGTCATTGAGTATAAAGAGTATAAGGTGTTGTGGTGGCCTTAGGCCCCATATTGGTGCCTCAGGCATCACCCCTCGGCAGTAGATATCTAGCAGTTTCTCCTCTCCATAGCAATCAACTCTCTCCCTCCTTACTTTCGGGACCCTACACTTCGTAGCTGTCCAACATAAGGGCTCACGAGTAATTAGTAAAGATGATCTTAGATAACTAGATGATTCTTATAGTGAGATTTGTTTGTTAAAGAGAATCTACTATGCCTATTCCGGACTGTTCGTTATCATTTCTTGTCGCGTATACAAGACAGACCGAAAGCGAACCCAACTACGGTGTACAACGATGTACATAGCACAGCGTTGAATTGCCCAAAATAATAAATCCCAGTAACTCCCCACTAATTTTGAGAAATCTGAAACCTAGCCCGGCGCTATCCACAACTTGTTCTGCAGCCTAAGCGCTGTCGATGGGCCGGCGCGTATCGGAGCCGTTTATTAGGCCCCCATCCTGACAAGGCGCTTTACCTCTACAGCGATTCGTCCTGGGGTCTCCGGGGAGGATTTTACTACTATTTCAAATGCCATGGGGTTTCACTCTAGCGCCCATACATACACAGCCTCGAGTAATGCGTTTCAGAATGATGTCGAAACGTAGCTACTTGGCCCCTACGGCCGATGGGCGTCATGGATAATTTTGCCTCGCGCGTATAATGATGTCGCATACTGACTTAGTGCTTAACTAGATTGGAGTCCCTCTTTTGGTCGTTTGTTTGGCATTTACTTCTTCTTTCTGGCCTTGTATGCTCATTTTGCCATTTTGCTACCTTCACGCCATTTGGTACTCAATTCGCAGACACACCTACCGATTATGATAACCACATGTACAATTCTTCACGGGTAATCACTCCCATGCAGGAATCTACAAGGTTGGTTGATGGGATAAGCATACATGACAGATTGTCGCTCATGGTAAACATGTATAGGGCTACCGCAGCATGCTCCTCCTTCCTATGCACAGGATACTCATCGCGATCCTCCTCTTACTTGCACTCTGCTCTGCCGTCGAAGATACCTCTAGCGATGCATCAAACTCCGTCCTGTATGACATGGTCCCGGACTGTGCCAAGGACTGCGTCGATAGCTTCATCAAGTCCGAATACACACCCCTGGAATGCACGTCACCGTCCAATATCAAGTGCCTTTGTCGTACCAAGACAAGTAGTAGCCTGACATTGGGGGAAGCGGCTTTGAGCTGTGTTCTGTCTGTGTGCTCACAGACAGTCATCGCAAAGTCAAAGGCTTATTACATATGCGACTCGGTATCTGAAGCTCTTCCGAAAACACACCAGACGATTACCGCGACGGTCTTTTCTGATATGAGTACAATGATGACGAGTGATGCAAGAACTACTACAGAGACAACATCAACCAGCTCAACTTCAACAACTGAATACACCTCGGAAGTCTCTGCGACGACATCCACAGCGACATCGGCATTCACACCGACGTCAACTACTTCCAGTCAAACTTCTGAAATGACATTCTATGCTTCTTCATCTTCAGGGTCCCAAGCTGAGCCAACGTCCTCCGCCGAACAACTTTCCAGTGACTCTTCTGAAGATACGAATAAGAAAGGTGATCATGGTATCACTCCAGCGGCGATCATTGGAATGTCAGTAGCATCAGGTGTGGCAGCGTCTTTCATCATTGGTGTTGCTGTATTTTTCTGCTGCAAGAGATGGCGACGAAAACAGCGGGAACAGGCAGCGACACACATTTTTGAGATCGGAGGCGCCATGTCTGAGCCCTCTGACTTTTTGAAACCGATGCCACGGCTCCCAACCGACGGGTTGGGTCTAGGGTCATCACACAGCCCAATGAGTGACCGCGAGACAATGTTACAGCGGTCACGTACTTTCCATTCGATAGCAAGCGTTCAACCACCATCGCGGTACTCACCGCAGTCCGCCACGGTACATAACCTAGGCCAGGGCAAAGAACCAAAAAGGCAAGAACGAATAGGGTTTGCCATCAGCTCCGACTCGGACTGGGAAAGTTCGCCCCGGACACAATCGTCACAACACAGCGTAGCACGACTACTCCCAGATCCTACAGCTGGACTATACCCAAAGCCGCTAAAGTGGAGTCACCGGCCACCTAGTGGAGAGACTCTGTTTGAAGAAGACGAAAGTCAACAAGCGGCGGCGGCAGCAGCAGCAGCAGGAATGATGCAAAACAACTCCCCAAGGCCAGGGATCCAGCCGAAACTCGCAGGACTGCCAGCCAATCCACGCGCATTCAAAAAGGGATTCCCAGCAGGCAACTTTAAACCAAGGTCAGGAGCTCCGAGTGCCCTGGCACCTCCATTCAATCCCAATCCAGCCTTCGGAACCTCGTCATCAGATAGCAGCGCTACACCAAACGAAACATCTGAAGCCTCACAAACCTCCTACTCCTCCGCCAGCCCAAACCTCCTCCTAGCCGCCCCCCGCCAACACCACTCAGACCCAAACTCACAACCGCAGCCCATCACCAGGACGACAGGCGCCCGCCCCATCCTCGTCAACCCTCCCCCCAGGCTCGGAGATAATATCCAGGCCGCGCATTGTACGCGGAAATGACATCAAACGTGTCCAGATCCGCAACAGTCCACAACCGCCCAGCGAAGTTATCGCGCCATACTGCCCAGATGACTTGTGGCTGCAGCGTGGACGCACCAACGCGCCGCCTAAGTCTCGAGAACCGTCTGGGGAACTGCCGTATCCTTCAGATACGTTTCCGGGTGCTGTGCATTATCCTGATAGTCCGAAGAAGAAGGTCGGCCCTGTGTCGAATAGGGTTTCTCCGACTAGTCGGAATTTGACGCCGTCGAGGAGAGGCGGTGATTTGATTCTCCGTGTTGATTAGTAAATATTGTTTCCTTTGATGCCCAGGTGGGATGTAAGCGGGATTATATCGTCGTGAGACTTTGCTTTTGTATATTACCATGTTCTTTCATATGTTCTTTCATACGGGTGGAGAGCTTTGGACTTTTTGAATTTGTTTGTTATTGCAGGAGAACATCCAAGGAAGATCGACGTGGCCTCGTATTAATAGACTATATCTTATATTTCTTCAAGTTTAAATCACTTCAGCTCTCAAAGACCAGCTTCCAATATATATATATATATATATACATATAAATATACAAAGGAAACGCGAAAACGCGTCAAGCGTACAGGCCTGCAGCCCGGCATTGGTGGGGCTTAGATAAGGAAACTGGGGTCCCGCCAAAAAAGAGTAGAAAATCCATCATCCGTGCACATCCTCTACATCTTTTCACATCATCTTCCGACGTGTGCGAACTTCATTATTACTCAATCGTCCTGTTGGTCCATGTTCAATGGCCAGTCCAACGGAGCGGACGTTCGTCCAGAGATCCACATTACTACCAATCTTTCCCCTGGAACTCTGGGATATCATCATTGAATACCTACATGATGAAGAATCTGCTCAACACCTGAGCAGACTTGCTCAAACATGTTCGGTGCTTTATTCCAGAATTGACCTTCAGCTCTACAGCAGACCCCTTCGCCTTTTCAATTCAGAAAGCGGTGCTCGTCTTGCTCTCACGATAGAGAAGCGCCCAGAGTTAGCACCACTCATTCGTGAGATTCGACACAAGCAGGATACTGGATCAGAGTTCTGGTCTTACCGTCATCTCAAATTTTACAAGACGGCTGTGACTTTACCGAATCTGGAGAACTTGAGTTTAAGAAGAAATCCCAGGCCGTTTGATTCTACTCGGTGGGCCAGTGTACATGCCAGAGATGAAGCCACGATTCAATGGGTGAAAGATATTGGCTCTGGATCAGGGAGTGTCAAACAGTACCGAGAGTTGGGATATGGGCCTTCAGGAGAATCGTCGTTCAGTCCTCCAGACAACGAGCTTAGTTATATGCGTGATAGCGCGGTCGAAACTTTGTTCTGGCACGCTTCTCTTCAACACCCGCCGGGGCTGCCCGCTCTGCGTGTTTGTGAGTATTACAACTGACTCTCTCACCTGAATCGGACTAATGTTATTAGGTCACATCGGAAGCGACTATGATCACAACGAGAACAATCCTAAGATGGATGGCGGATGCTTGCCAGTTTTCAATGAAGCACTCTTCTGTCACCCAGGCTTAAGAAAACTCTGTATCACTGGTGCTACTTTCCGAATGTCCCGGTCTGGGACTCCGCCAACAATATCTAAATCGCCTCTGGAGGAACTAACCCTTTTGAACTGCAACATAAATCCGTTGGATGTCCAAATAGTCCTCGAGCGCCCAACAGCTTTGAAGCGATTCACCTTCAGAGGTCCTAGGCCACAGGAGATGTTAAACCCCGATGAAGAAGCCCTATGTTACATTCAATCGGCGCTCACACACGACCATTCCTTGGAATATGTGGATTACGATCTTTACTGGGGTAATGAGTACGAGACAGACTTTGGTGAACTATTGCACCTCAAGCACCTCACAACAACACTCACCACACTTGTAGGGAGGGAATGCATGGAACTGGATCCTGAAGATGGTCTTCTGCCGCTGAGTCTCGAAAGTCTTACGATACGATATGATGAAGTGAAGGCCTGGCTTCCCTCAGCTATCTACGAGATGGTGAAAGACGGGAAACTCCCAAAGCTGTGTCGCTTTACCTGCGAGGTACCAGAAATAATGGAGCACCTTCCATCAATCAACCCGAACAAGTTCCACCCACCCACCACCGAGATATGTCAGGAGGGCAACACTTGGAAAACCAAGTTTGCGAACCTGAATGTGGAGATGTCCATGGTATCCGTTCCTTATCCTCTTGATCTACCTGAATATGACGTATGTTCTTGCGAATGTCTGTCGTTTTACCACCGCATGTTCTACCATCCAAAAAAACCATTGACACTTCCTTGGGAGGAGAACGATTTCGGAGAAGAGGACGTGTTCTTTGATGACTGGGCCGATGTTGACGATGAAATGGACTTTGATGCTCTCATGGATGATCTTGCCGAGGATTTGAGTGCATAGAATATCCGTATCAAACTTCAGCATAACTTGTTCCATGTGTGTGAATTAAATTATATTAAGTCTGGTATATCTTCTAAGAGTTCTGCTTGTGATCCTTTGAGTGCAAATTTCTTGGTTGAGGATCTTTCCAGGTTGTAGCTTTCTACAGATATATCTCTCTTCCCTATCCTCTCAATATATTGCTCGACTGTCATAACTATTTTTCGTTCTCTGTTTTTGATTTATATCCCGAGATTCTGCCTGGGTCGTTTCATCCTGCGCTGAAATAGACTATACTGTGCCGAAGAACATGAAAAACCTGCATAGCTACCTACCAGTAAGCTTCTAGTGGCTGCGAAAAAGAGGTGGTTGATCCTACAGATATTTCCACTGTGTAGATAACATCAAATAAAGATCTCCAAGAGGACAAGAAATATACAACGTAGTGGAAAAGCCAAGTCCTTCCCCAGATTCCGTCGATCGTGATCTTCGTGTGTCGGATGTGCATTGTACATCTCTTGGTGGATATCTCCGCTTATTTTTATTTTCAAGAGACCCCCAGGCCTCTTGTCAAAAACCTCATTCCAACATCCACCTAGACAACGAAACACCAGTCAGAGATATACGTTTTCTATTTGGCTTGTGAAAACCTTCCAACCTAGGCCCGAACTCATTTCAACCCAATGACAACTCGCCTGCCTACCGTGATTGTTGATTGTGACTCTCCCCCTCCCTCCAATCTATGTGCACAGACTGTGCTCGGACTCAAGCTAAGAAGTTAACAGTTTGGCTTCCTTTCCCGTCCATACATATCACCCGGGTGAAAGGTTCCCTATACGGAGCTATGGATAGCCGCATATGACGCCCTAGAATACGCCCGGTCCATCTTGCATCTCTTTGTTAAGGGCTGAATCCGTTATGCCGGCAGTAAGCGGGATCTTGTGATTCGTTCACGGTATGCACGCATAGTGACTCTCTGACCAAGTCTGGCAGGTATCCCGCATATTGCCACGGGTTCGTTAGACCTGGTTTAGGGACATCGAAGTATCCATTGGCTGAGCATTAAAATATACCTCGGGCTTCTTCTCTTGGCGCCTTATTCCCATGGATGGTTGTTAATTTGTTAATTTGTTAATTCGCTGTGGTTTTGATTTTCGTTCCTGAGAATGAGATCCGGATTTATGACGTCAATGTCCTGATATATGTCTGGTTGATGCCTGGTTGATGCCTTGTGAATGCCTTGTGGATGCCTCTACTCCATTGCAAGGCCTTCGGAATACGCGATACTTCCAAACGGATATGCTTCTTGAAGTATCAGGCTTAAAGCAAGCCAAAAGACTTGAATCAGTCTGGTCTTGTCATATCGTGCCAAATCCTATCATCATCATTGGTTCTGATTCTACTACCACCTTCTAAATCCGAACTTCTTATCAAATCAGCGTCATCAACTCGACTGGTAACAACACCTACAACAGGTGCCAAGAATTTGCCGTTGTGGATCGACATTTTCAGATTTGTTGTGATCCAAAAAAGACCCACGGAAAATGACGAAGTCCAAGCCTAAACTTGTTGGGGTAACAAGGGTCGATGATGCAAAGTGCCCCTTTTGGGTCTGCTACTTTGTATATTAATGGCCATTGGTTTCCCACCCCACATGCTTCATTTATCCTAGTGATTGTACATTTATCTGCCTATTTGATCCTGCAGTACATCAAGTTGTCTGCATATTCAGCACCTACATACTGCATACTACATATCGCAAGGATCGGATTAGCTTGTTTAACTTGTGTGACTCCCTTTTTAAGATATTTGACAGAGACATTCAACGGAGACATCTAAGAGACATTCAAGAGTACTGATTATAAGACAGCGATCGCCATCGTCATATTGTACCCGCTAGCCCCACACCCTTCGTCTCAGAATGGCTACGAATACATTAAGAACCCAAAGAGTCCGACTTGACCAGAGCACTGCTCGGACCGATCTCTATGGACCCAACGTCGTCGTCCCTAAGCATTTCATGACTTCTACTTCTAACCATCTCTTCAAATCTAAATCCAATATGACCAAACACGAGAGCTCATCTGAGGATTCACCAATCAACACACCTATGTTACACCCTCCGAAGGTTACTAGCGATGATTTTGCACTAGCCTTCGACATCGATGGTGTTCTCATCAAGGGAGGCGAGTCTATCCCTGAAGCCGTTGATGCTATGAAGTATATCAACGGTGAAAACCCTCATGGAGTCAAAGTGTAAGTTTTTTATCCTTTAACTATATTCTTCCTATGTTACCCCTCACCCCTGGTGAGGGGTAACAATTTCCAATAGAAGGAGAATTTACAACTAACGGTAATATCTTAGTCCTTATATTTTCTTGACCAACGGCGGCGGAAAGACAGAGAAAGAGCGATGCCTCGATCTCAGCAAACAACTCGACCTAGAAGTCGACCCAGGCCAGTTCATCTGTGGCCACACGCCCATGCGCGAAATGACACAGCGATACCACACCGTCCTGGTGGTTGGTGGCGAGGGTGAGAAATGCCGGGTCGTGGCCGAAGGATACGGATTCAAGGATGTGATCACACCGGGAGATATCATCAAGACAAGACACGACACTACGCCGTTCCGAACGTTGACGGATGAAGAGCACGATAATTCCCGACTGCTCGATCTAGACAATGTCCGCATCGAAGCAATCTTCGTCTTCGCAGATAGTCGCGACTGGGCCGGCGATCAGCAAATCATTTTGGACTGTCTCATGACCAAAGACGGCTGGTTGAATACACGGTCGGAGATCTTTACTGAAGGTCCACCGGTTTTCTTCTCGCACACCGATGTGGTTTGGTCGACATCGCATGAACATTCACGTCTTGGAATGGGAGCGCTGCGCGCTTCCCTCGAGGCCGTTTACGCGGCTATCACAGGTAAAGACCTCAACACTATCGCCTTCGGTAAGCCGCAACTCGGAACCTATGCATTTGCCACCCGGCTCTTGCAAAAGTGGCGAAAAGACTCGTGCGGCATCGACAAATCGCCGTCTACCGTGTACTTCATCGGCGATACTCCGGAGTCTGATATCCGTGGTACCAATGAATTCAACGAGACCACGGAAAATGACTGGTTCTCGATTTTGGTTAAGACTGGCGTCTACCAGGATGGTGGTGTCCCGCGTTATCCACCCAGGAAGATATGCGATAATGTTTTTGATGCCGTCAAATTTGCCATCGAGCGTGAGCACCGGAAGACTGCTAAGGGCACAATGGTTTCCGAGCTCGACTATGAAACTAGCGAAGATGTTCCCAAATAAGCGGATCTACATATGAGGTGATCTTCGCTTCTGGCTGCGTTTCCTCGACTTGGTTTCGCGTCCTCAATCTAGTCCGTTCCTATGTTGTACGTTTTATTCACGACCTGTTTTGATATGATTCCCAGTTCTCCTGAACTTCTGCATTTTTGTCGCGATTCATGGCACAGGCCTTTTACACATACAATTCTATAATGGGTTAGATATCTTTATATAGTATTACTGATACCCTTAAATGGATTCCAGAATGATCAATGACAAGAAAAATGTTCTAAATTAATGACGGTATCCGCGACAAGAATATGATATTAGAAACCTGAATATTGAGGCATTCAGCCCTTTGGTTGACATGACCCACCATACGGGAAAGTCTTCTCATATCAGCAGAACTTCTCCCCCTGAGCAGTATCTCCAAGAAGGCCCTAGGCACAAAGGAAGCACCTGTAAGAATAATGGTACTAAATCTCCGGCTTTAACCCCGATATGCCACCACTAACGCGCCAACCAAGGTCCCAAGAACAGAGGCAGTGTACCTCGATGATGCCACGCTGCGGACATTGACCACGGAGATTCTATCCTCCCAGTCAATACCTTCACTTTCCGAAGAAGAAAGAAACCTAGCGAAAAACGTGCCGGCGGAAGATAGCGCAATCACCATGCGCCAGACTATCTTCTACGCACAAGGCGGCGGACAGCCCAGCGACACCGGCGCAATTGGACCAGTAGACCAAGATCCCACATTTGAAGTCTCGCTGGTACGCAAGACGTCCGATGGACGGTTTCTTCATTTTGGAAAATTCCTAGACGTCACCTCCTCCTTCGTCGTGGGCCAGTCTGTCGTGCAGAAGGTCGAGGACTCAAAACGCAATTATCATTCCCGGCTCCATACAGCTGGTCACATCGTCGGACTAGCTATGCAGCTTCTGATGCCGGATAAGAAGAAGGTCAAGGCGAATCATTTCCCGAGGGAGGCTTCGATGGAATATGAGGGGTTGTTGTATAATGAGCACAAGCCAGTTATTCAGGAGAAGGTGGATGAGCTTGTACGGCTGGATCTGCCCATTCTCATTTCTTGGCTGGAGGGTGTCGCGCAGGTTGGGGATGGGGAGGGTGCTGAAGAGGGTCGTACCCGGATTGCGAGTATAGGTGGGCTCGATCACAATCCCTGTGGTGGTACTCATGTTGCGAGGACGAGCTTGGTTGGGTCTGTTGTTATCCGCAAGATCAGTCGGCAAAAGGGAATTAGTCGGGTGTCTTATGATGTCTCTCCGGGGATTGAGGTATAGCTTTGAATCTCGTCTTTATGATGATATAAAATAATTTTCGGGAATCAGTTGGTGGGATATTGAGACTACAAATACATGCCATGCTCTAACGCTCAAGAAATGCCTTAATGTTTGATCATAAGATCATAATGCGAACTCATTGTCCAACCAATGCTTCATCACAATCTTGCCCTCTCGGAACCCGTCCTTCTCAGCCCGGACAATGATAACTGCGTGGCTGTGGTGGTGCTTCTGTATGTGGACAGGATATTTCCGAATTCCCACAGCGTTGAGGGAATCGATTATGCCAAATTGTTCGTGGGTCAATGCAAGCTTAGGATAATGTGTCGAACCCTCCGTCGTTGATAAACGTCTAGCTGATGCAGATCCACCGTCGGCATCGTTTCGCGCAGACTTCGAGAGAGATGATATAATGGACTTCTCGGGCGCCACGTCAGACGCTTCAGTATCGCTGTTGGATAGATAAGCTGGTTCTTGTATAGCAGTGACGTTCTCAAAGGCCTGCTCCACAACATGCTGAACGTCTTGGATCAAAACCGGTACTCTGTATCTTCCGAAGCGCTCGCCGTTTTCGCCAACCTCATGCATACGGATGCGCTTTGAGCTGCGACACGTTTGGATGCCGGCATTTATCAAAAAAAGCACAGAAGCCAGAGGCGCGAGGACAATGATCAGGAGTGACAGAGGTATCGAATGGGTTACCGATTTCAATTTCTTCCAAAACCGCCCTGCTGCAGTTTCAGGTCCTCTCTGCACCGGAGGAAGCACGTGAAGGTCGGGGTCGATAATGACATCTTCATAACCCTGAACGTAGTTGATATTCACGTCTTCCAGATCCCGGAATGGGTCCACTTTAGAAAGGCCAGATGTGTAGTAGAGAACCGAGCGGTCATTGACAATATTCGCATAAACACTTCGCTGCTGGAACTTTTTCAGTCCAGTCATAAAGATGCTCTCGGGATCAGCCAAAACACCGAGAAGCGGCCGCCCAGTATCTCGGAAAGAATCGACTAGCCACATTTGGCGGCCAGATGCCGAGATCGTCTTCGGACCTAGAACATTGAAGATCTTATTCCTGTACCCTTTCAGTGGAGCTCTCACACCAACATGTGGCGTGGCAAAGGTCGTGAAGTTCATGGGTTCCAGCTTATCCAGCCAACCCCGTGCATTAAGCAAGCCAATCGCATAGCGCGCGATCAGGCCACCAAGCGAGTATCCAATCACACTGATTTTTGTGATCTTTTGTCCCTTCTCAGCGAGCGATTCAAGTGTCTCCTCGACCTCGTGCATTATTCGTTCTCCGCACAACTCAATTCCGTCGTAGGTATAGTTGCCGCTATTCGCTTTCGAGCAGAGGATGTAGAGGCTGTCGCTGCCATATCTGTCTCTTAGAGCGGATGCGACATAATCCAGGTGCGAAGGGTTTCCCCAAAGTCTATTGGAAAGATCTGTCGCATTAGCGGGCTCATCGATGCGTCATTCAGTCATTCAGAAGGGAAAAGCAGCGTACCCGTGAACCAAGACACAGAGGTGCTCAGCTTTGGAGGTATCTGGCATTGTTTCGCTTGTTGGTTCCATATTTGAGAATAGAACTGATTCCAAGTGAAAGAAAGGAAAGGAGCTTAGTGCTTAACAATTCGGATGTCTGTTAACCCGAAGGCCACGCATCTGCGTCAGCCTGGTCAGCCTGGAGCTATCGGCGATAAGGGATCTCGACCGGACATGTCGGGCGAATTCCCGAAATTCAACCTGGCCCTGTATGTCTGTATGTATATATATTTTTATTGTAGGAGAGAGATCATCTAGATCGTAGTTATGATTATGATCAAGATGGTATCTCTCGCATCAAGCAAAACTTCAAAAATAAACAGAAAATAAAGCGACAGCAGGTGAACAGATGGATGCCAGAGTTCGATGCCTGTGATATCAGGCACCATATGTTTGTCTTCTTTGCATCCTTGACTTATCACTTTCGCCGAACAGCTCCAACGTTGTCCTCTAGTGATGTCAATCTGATCTGTTAATCCCTTCAAATCTGCTTTCTACCTTGAGCTCCAGTTGGTTTGTTTGGTATAAGGCAGTTTTGCTCGCCCCTAATAGTCTTCATCACAAGCAAGTGCTAAATGATGCGATAGTGTTACCTGCAATACTCCTTCCGGTCTATTCAGTGCGCAAAACAAACACAACACGGTCGATGGGCGGCAGTAACTATACATATTCGTTATGTACTTTTAAATTGTGATTGGCCTTGACTAGCTCTTGCATTCGACACCTAGATATTCACATCTTAACCTGTCACCTCAGTCATCATGTTCACATCGCTCGGGCTCTTTGGGGCAATTCCATGCCCGCAAGGCAACGGTTGCACTCTTTTGAAATGCATATTCTCTCATGATAATAAGCCGGCCCCAGCTGAGGTGCGGCGTTCGAGGATTACATTGTCAGGTGACGATGGTCCTCCTTCCAAGCGGGCCAAAGTGGAAAACGCACAGTCGTTGGGATCCCCTATTCTATCTCACAGCTTGAAAGAATCATCGCTCGAAATGGGACGAGACTCACCGGAATCAGTCCTGCCCAAGCGAAGTCAAAATATACAAAAAACCTCTAGCGCTCAAGAAAGCTCCCAACCTACCTCAAGCCGTGGCTCACCAGAGCCTTCGGGGAGCGAGCCTGCGAAGCGCACTAACAATGCACCGGCTGGATCTTCATCCCAACTTCCTCCTCGCAAAGCCCCAAAGGAAACTTTGAATCCTCGCATGATTCCTCATGCACCAGCAACTCATGGCAGTCGGACTACCATTCTCCAGAAGCTGCACTCCGCCATGACTTCTCTCAATGAAAAGCTACGAAAGGACAAGAATACCTCCAATAGATGTTTTGTCCTAACTCCCGACGAACTCATCACAATGGCGCTGGACGAGGAAGAGAAATTCGCGAGGGACAATCCAAGCATTTACGGCAATATTGTCAGACTTCGAATCGTGAGAGTTACAAAAATGGGCACTGACGAATGGGCCAAGGAGGTGATGTCCCATCTGAATGCGCGATATTATAACATTAATCCTGTCCAAAAGCCGCGGGCGATTCCCAAGCCTATCAACACAGGGCTTACCTCCGCAGAAGAAATCGCAGTTATATCCCAGCTAGTCACACCTGTGACTGGCCTCGAAGAACACGGATATGTCACAAAGCAGCCCACAGATGCAGACGTACAAACCGCCAAGAGGGGCGTTGATGAGTCCAAAGGCTGGGAGAAGTGTGACAGATGCGGTCAACGATTCCAGGTATTTCCAGGTCGTCGCGAGGATGGTGCCCTCGCCAGCGGTGGCCACTGTGACTATCATCCAGGACGGCCCGTTTACCCTCAGCGCAAGAAAACAGACCATGTCACCGGTCCCTCCCAGCCATACTTTCCTTGCTGCAGCGAAGCACTAGGGACGTCTACCGGCTGCACGAAAGCCAAGACACATGTGTTCAAGGTCTCGGAGACCAAGCGACTTGCGTCCATCCTCCAATTCAAGACAACCCCATCCCAGCCAGGCAAAGGACCTCTGGAGCCGGTCTCTATTGACTGCGAGATGGGCTACACGACATTAGGTCTCGAACTAATTCGTCTCACTGCGGTCAGCTGGCCTAAAGGCTGTGACCTCCTCGATGTGCTGGTCCGGCCTATGGGCGAGGTATTAGATCTCAACACACGCTTTTCCGGTGTCACGCCACAACACTATGCTTCTGCCAACCCATATGGCACTCCAGTGACCAGCATAAATACACCGTCAGCAGACGAGAAAAAGACAACCAATACACCCTTGCAACTTGTTCAGTCACCCGCGGAGGCGCGTGACTTACTGTTGAAGCTCCTCCAGCCTGAGACACCTCTTATCGGCCATGCAATCGACAACGACCTCAACGCTTGCCGTATAATTCACCCTACGATCATTGACACCGTTCTGTTGTACCCCCACCCCAAAGGTCTCCCCATTCGCATAAGTCTCAAAGCTCTTGTTCAAAGGCACCTTGGCCGCGATATCCAAGTCGGGGACAACGGGCACGACTCAAAGGAGGATTCAATTGCTACGGGTGATCTTGTTAGAGTGAAAGTGGGCGAGAAATGGAAGGAGCTGAAGAAGAAGGGACAGAAAATCGAGGATGGCAGGTTGGTCCCTCCTGCTGGCCAAGTATCAACAATCACATCTTCATGGACTACGGTCCAGAAGACAAAGTCTAAGAGGTGATCGTGGATATGCTATATCCCCAATACAATTCATTTCGCGTTATTTCTATTTTACCTTGTGTGAGATACCCATGCATGTACACTTGACGAGGACAACTACATTATGATTACGCATCGTTCAAGTAAGAAAATGAGGGTATAAACTTTTTTAGTTTTATTCGTGGCCTCATAGACCAATCTTATCCCCCCATGGCTCTCGCTCTCAATCCATAGACCCAAGCGCGACACACAGACTAGAACCGATCGATCACCGGGGCAAAGAAACAAGCCATGTCAGGAGCGACACGCTTATTCCTCATCCTCCTCAGCCTCGTCGTTGACGACGTTGTAGAAGCGGAGCTCGTAGACACCCTTGGAGGTGGAGACGACGCGGAGCCAGTCACGGAGCTGCTGCTTCTTGAGGTACTTCTTGGTGCTGAATTGCAGAAAGAAACAATGGTCAGCAAAACCGCGCTCCAAACACATCGGGAGATCAACCCGGGGAATAGATAAAAACTCACAGGTACTTCAGGTAGCGGCCGGAGAAGGGGATGTGGGCAACAACCTCGATCTTGCCATCACCGGACTGGGAGATGACAACGTTCTCACCGAGGTTACCGACACGGCCCTCGACCTTGATGCGGTCGTGGAGGAACTTCTCGAAGGCAGCGACATCGAAGATCTTGTCGCTAGCGGGCTGCGAAGCGTTGATAACGAACTTCTGGGTAACCTTCTGGGCCTTGCGACCACGAGCCTATACCACATGGAATCGAATTAGCCTACTGCTCCATAATGTCGAGCCCCGGTGGTAATCTCGCAGATTCATCTTCGACGACACAGGAGACTCGATAGATTTTTCAATATCAAGTTTCACAGTTCTGTCGAAGACGAGCCGGCAGAGACTCCGGTGGGGGGAACAGCAAAGCGATTTGGACTTCAACGTACAGCAGCGGGAGCCATTGTTAATGGATTGGGGGAGATGGATTTTTGGGAATTGGGAAAGGTCGCAAAGAGGTGAATATCCTGCGCCGACGAGAGAGTGATCAAGACAACTTCCTGGTGGAGCCGATTTGGTTATCAAAAATTCACGGTCCAGAGGTGTGTTGCGCTAGGCCCAATTGGGATATAGGGTAGGGCAAACGGGCTGGGAAGCTTGCTGAGTCACTTGCTTGATGAGTCATCGCTCCCTAGGTAGGTATGGAGGTGAGATGGCCAGAATAGGTATATATATATTTATTGCGGAGCAAAGCGGTATTTGCCTTACGTCCAATTGGCTCGCTTAATCGCTTAATTGTGCGAGCGCAAAATCCGGTGTTTGCCTTACATCTAATTGGCTCGCTTAATCGTGTGAGAGAGAGAGATGTTTGCCTTAATCCTAATTGGCTCGCTTAATCGCTCGAGCAGAGGGGGCCCACTCTGGTCTGGGTATAAGTATTGCCTCTGCCCCCAGAACTTCCTCTTCTTTTTTTTCTTCTTCAGCTCTCTTTGCCTATTGGCTTAGATCAAGTGTAGTATCTGTTCTTTTCAGTTTAATCTCTGAAAGTTTCCGTCCAGGAAACACTTTGATTATTCCTATTTTTGGATCCCGCGACTTGGCCCCTGTGCTTGCGCATGCCTTGTTGCACAGTGTCATTGGGCTCACACTACCCCCGATCGACGCGAACCCCCTTTTTCATCAATTGTTCGGCTCGTCCGGGCGCTTGGAGAAGAAGTCTCAAATAGTATTCTTCCTCAGAGAGGGCAGTAAGGTAAACTGGAAACTCTTGTATTGTTGCGATGTGTTAGTGGGGACTAATGACTAGGAGCAGGGAGATCACCTGATCTTGCAACAATTCTATGTGTGTAAATTAATTCTGTATTTAAACGAACGTCGCGTATCCTTAGGCCTTGTTTGGTAGTAGCACTCGGGTGTCCTACTTGCATATCATCGTAGATCGCATCCTACAGTACTTGGTCGGATACCGAGATGAGACACTCGGATAGCACGCCATCCGCAACTATATATCAACGTTTTCAACATGACAGACTGGAAAATAGACCAAGCAGTTTAGAATAGGCGTTATCACTAGTTAGTTAGTTACGGATCTCCTAGTTGTCATGTATGTCGTAGATCATAGATGACCTGGGGAGGCGCTTGGATACATGAGGTCATCCACAACTTGACCCGTTTTGGAATGACACTGTGATATTTCTAACATGATACACTGGGAAATAGTTAGACCAAGCAGTCTAGACAATACATATTCTACCACCATGGACTAGAAAACATTCTCATCGTTCAAAACAGCCAAAGTGGTCACATGACGCAACAGCTTCGATCGCAATCGATAAGCCTCCCTTTTTTTCCCATTCCGCATACTCCAATCTGTCAACAGAAAACCAACTGTCATAATGGGTTCGATCGTCCTCCCTCACTTGCAAACAGCCTGGCATGTGGACCAGGCTATCTGCTCTGAAGACGAACGCCTGGTGGTGATCCGATTCGGGCGAGACCACGATCCCGACTGTGAGTGCCACTCTCATCCATGGCCAGCTCCCAGACTAACCCATTCTTCCAGGTATCCGCCAAGATGAGCTCCTCTACAAGATTGCTGAGCGGGTAAAGAGTGAGTGGCCAATATACCCCCCAAAGCACACCGAACAGCAGCTAACAGGCGTTCCCCAAGACTTCGCCGTCATCTATCTATGCGACCTTGACCAGGTCCCAGACTTCAACCAGATGTACGAGCTTTACGACCGCATGACGATCATGTTCTTCTACCGCAACAAGCATATGATGTGCGATTTCGGCACGGGAAACAACAACAAGTTGAACTGGGTGCTGGAAGACAAGCAGGAGTTGATCGACATCATCGAGACCATATACAAAGGCGCCAAGAAGGGCCGTGGTCTGGTGGTCAGCCCCAAAGGTACATCCGATCTACATCTTGTAATAGAAATACCATTCGCTAACAGTCACCTTTTGCAGATTACTCGACCCGATACCGATACTAAACATTGCCTCCCTCGCCGCGTGATCACCCTGGCACCGGCCAGTCTGTGTATCGCTTCCTTACGACATTTACGACGATCACTAGACATGATCTGGCAACATTAAACCTGCAAATATGGTCATGGTTCTGGCGTTTTTTTGTTTCCGCGGAGGAGTCGCTTTCGCAATGCGTTTTTTAACGGGGGGTTGAAACAATTCACACACAGGCCTCAGCTTTTGAGGTCTAAATTTCTTGATAAGCAGCTGAGAACGATTTAAAGCTTTATCAATCGTCCCGTGAATAGTAGCTGTAGGCTAGCATCGTACATCATGTGTTGAGTGCCTCTTATGACCTTCATCTGAAGGAAATCTCACCTTTGAGGAAGTAAAATATATTTCACGAAGCGATATCAAACTCATCATATAACTTTTAATTGAAACAAATAATTGTGGCGCGTTGCGCAAGCTATGCTATTTTTTTAACATGAATTTTGACGTAACGCATTTCCAACACCACACCTCGCAGATCTGCCTTTAATTCTCTCAAATACCTATCTACAACCACAACCAAGCAACAAAATGATTGACCAACGCATTTTTGAGAATCTCCAGACGAAGATCGACGAGGAGAGCACCGTCCGTGATGTAAGTCATACCAACGCGTCCGGAGCTTGGTGAATTCTTCGCGCGCCAAGCCTACACCTGCATCAAGACCCTTGAGCCAGGAACACCGCCAGATAGCTAACTATTTTGCATAGGAGCTACATGAAATTGTCCACGCACTTGCCAGAAGAGGTATGCTCTGCAATTCACGACTCCGACCAGGACTTCCGAGGTGTCCGCCCTGCCAGGGACGACACTCCTAGGTTCAAGTCGCAGGTCGAACATGAAAACTGATGTTGAGTGATACAGGACGTTCCACACAGGCTATCCTGTCGCGAGCTCACTCCACGCCAGCTGATCAGTGTAAGTATCTATTATCTATATTGGGTGCTTTGATGATGAGAGGATTGGAGTATACTCCCATTCCACTTTGGACTCGCTTCTTGATAACTCCTCTTTTCCCTCTCTTTTCTTCACTATATAACATTTAAACGCCGACACTTTTCCCCCAGTCAATATTTCATACCGCTCGTTCTATTCATCATGAATCATCTCGCTGACTTCTGCAACAGTGAAGCCCGTGCTTGACGATGTTACTAAAGAAATCCTTGCCCAGAAGGAAGAGGTTGCTCGCCTGAAGGCCGTAGCAGACCAGCATCCCTTCTACAAGTATAACGGAGTATGGAGCCGTGAGCTGCAAAACCTGGTTTGTTTTCTGAAATGCAATGCCCAAAGACTTCTGCTGATCCAATCCACTAGGTCGCCTCTGTTGAGCTTTGCGCATGGCTGGGAGGACTGCAAGAGCACAAGGGACCCAACTCAACATCCTTCATGACCATCGAGGATGTGGGCAAGTTCCTAGATAGTACGTTTTACTTATCTCCATCTATGATGAGGACTCCGGGTGCTGTATGCATACATTGATGTACAATACTAACTATCACTTCTTTCATTAGTTCCTGTCAACCTAAAGGAGCAGGACGCCTTCCACCTGACGATTGAGGAGTACCTACTGGCAGTGATTGCCATGGTTGAGGAATTGGTTCGTTTCCCGAGATCTCAGGGCTTTTATATCTAGCCGCAGCTAATTTGTTCCCAGGCTCGCTTGGCTGTCAACTCGGTCACCCTGGGTGATTACACCCGCCCCATGCAGATTGGCAACTTCGTCAAGGAAGTGTTCGCTGGATTCCAGCTCTTGAACTTGAAGAACGATATCCTGCGCAAGCGCAGCGACGGTATCAAGTACAGCGTAAGTTGTGATCCATTACAATATCTATTTCGCAGTTTTAAATTTCTAATTTGATGGCACTACAGGTCAAGAAGGTTGAGGATGTGGTCTATGACCTGTCGCTACGGAATCTGGTTCCCAAGGCTGGTTCCTCTGCTTGAATTGCGACAGCAGGGACTCTCAGGCACACCGAGTTGGGCCTCATGTTAGGGGAAACGGATACAAAAGAAACGATCTTGCGGCTTTTACAAAATTGATATCAATGGGTTTTAAGACTGGGATATGAATTACTATTACTGCTCAGTACGATTCCCATCGTAGACCGGAATCGTGAACCGAAAAGAAGGAGTTATGTCACGAGCAGAAGAACCGGGATATAGATACAAGAAAACATGTTAAGGTACCGCCACAATCATTCATAAAACAACTTCTTGAGCACAGCCTTACGACAGCTTAGCCTGCTCAGCACCAGCCTCACTCTTCTTCAGCGAAGCAAGAGTGCCCTGCTTCTTCGCCTTCTCGATCTCATTCACAATGGTATCCTGGAGAGTCTCAGGCTTGGTAAGGGAAGCCCAGCGGTTAACAACCTTGCCATCGGGGGAGACAAGGAACTTCTCAAAGTTCCACTTAACGCGCTTCATGCCCAGGAGCCCAGGCTGCTGCTCTTTCAGGAAAGTCCACACAGGTGCAGCGTTTTCGCCATTCACATCCAGTTTTCCAAGAACGGGGAAGGTTACGCCGTAATTGACCTGACAGAAAGACTGGATATCATCGTCCGAGCCAGGGTCCTGGCTGCCGAACTGGTTGCACGGGAATCCAATGACGGTGAAGTCTTCGGGGTACTGGGTCTTCAGGCTCTGGTAGAGCTTCTCAAGACCCTCAAACTGGGGCGTAAAGCCGCATTTCGAGGCTGTGTTCACGACTAGCACGACCTTGCCGTTCAGCGAGGAGAGGGGGAAGGGTGCGCCCTTTTCTGTTCGGATGCGGGGTTTGGTTAGCGATTCAGTTCAGAGCTTAAATCTGGATGTGATGAGAGGGAGAAAAGAGGCAGATAACCACGCAGATTATATCGATTATACGTACTATCAACAGGCTCGAAATCGAAGAAAGATGTAGCAGACGACATGGTTGTTATTTGACGTGGATATGCGAAAATAGGAAACTGTCTCTGGAATGTTCGCGGGGATAGATATGACGTCGTTGGTTGGAGAGTTGACCGGAGAGTTGACCGGAGAGACTTGGCAGAATGTGATCGAGGGAAAATTTGTGAAGAGAACATGACTCTGTTCTTGTATTCTTTCTGATATTCTGAATCAACCTCGGTCGATTCACTTTCTTACCAATTGGCCAAGGGCTAGCCACGGGATAACTATTCAAGCCGACGGAATTGGAAATCGTCCGAGCCGATTGATGCTATCTCTTGATTGGTTCCAAGGTTCATAAGACTGCTTAATAACTTGTTACACGGAGTATATACCTAATGCAGTGCATAACATTATTCCAAATCATTGCTGACTGTAATCGATGCAATCTAGCCCTGAGGCTCAGTATAATCCATTAATAAGGTCTTTTTATCCGGTCCCGAGGTTATAGTTTGTCAGCTCACCTAGACACCTGGGCAGGTTAGGGTCAGGGGCAGCCATGGATCTCAATGCTTGCAATATATATCTGTTCCAATATATTGCTCGGTATGGAATACGTGTTATGTATGTGCAGACTAGATTATAAAGGCTAACGCAATTGATATTGTTTGATTTAATATAGGTAGACCAAAATGGTCTCAAAATATATATATTGAGGAATACCCGATAGCCTCACGGAAGGCATATAGTATATATATAATTTAATAATCCCAAGACACTTAAAAATGATCAAAACCAACAAAGGGAAATGACATGTGTTACCTGAGATCATGCCATTGCAAGGTTGCTAGCTCGTTATCACGTCGGACATGTCAATAAATAGATAGCTATATGAACAAGGCATTAGAGATAGTTGCATTGTATTTGAGGTTCAAGTCACAGCAAATTAAGATCACACCCAAAGAGAGACCGGTCCCTGCGTCAGGATCATTTCATGGAGTGTTCGAGGAGAAGTTATCTAATAAAAGAGTCTAACTGACCTACAGCTACTGGCGGATGTTGGGGATAAGGCTGCAGTCACGTCAAAGTAATGTATAATGCAATTTTTAAGAACCGAAGAACAAATGCGGCAGAGAATAAAACATGATTTTGTAGAAAGGCTGTTCCTTATTGCCCGTTTAGAAGTCATAAAGGATCAAAAACGCCCAAGAAGTATTATACATAAAGACTTGACTCATGAAAGAACCCGAAGGATGACCCACACGTGGGGAGAAAAGACGAAACATCAAGTATATCGCATGATTAAGCATGGCCAACAGCGTTCTCTGCGGTACCGACAGCACTACCAGCAGTTGTCACAGCGCCGTTGGCAAGGTTTGGAATAGCTTCGACAGTCTCACCAAGTGCGGCAGGTGCGTCGCGCTTGGCGGCACCAGGCAGGCTGCCAGCTTTGGCTTGCTGAATAATGGCTGGAACGGCGCTTCCAAGAGTGCTACCGATGAGGTCGTTGTTGAGCTGACGCTTCCCGGCCGAGCCGGAAACTGCATTTTCAGCAGTACCAGCGGCACCAGAGACGAGACTTTCACCGGTACCAACAGCACTACCAGCAATGCCAACAGCACTGTTGGCAAGGCTTGGAACAGTTTCGACGGTCTCACCAAGTGCGGCAGTTCCATCGCGCTTGGCACCAGGCAGGCTGCCAGCTTTGGCTTGCTGAATAATGGCCGGAACGGCGCTTCCAAGAGTGCTACCGATGAGGTCGTTGTTGAGCTGACGCTTCCCGGCCGAGCCGGAAACTGCATTTTCGGCAGTGCCAGCGGCACCAGAGACGAGACTTTCACCGGTACCAACAGCACTACCAGTAATGCCAACAGCACTGTTGGCAAGATTTGGAACAGTTTCGACGGTCTCTCCAAGTGCGTCAGTTCCATCGCGCTTGGCGGCACCGGGCAGGCCGCCAGCTTTGGCTTGCTGAATAATGGCTGGAACGGCGCTTCCAAGAGTGCTACCAATGAGGTCGTTGTTAAGCTGACGTTTTCCGGCTGGACCGACACCAGAAACGGTGTTCTCGACGGTACCAACAGCACTACCAGCAATGCCAACAGCACCATTGGCAAGGCTTGGAATGGTCTCAACGGTCTCACCAAGGGCGGCAGTACCGTCACGCTTGATTGCACCATTCAGGCCGCCAGCGGTAGAGGTGATAGGCGCAGCAATGTTGGCAGCTGGACCTGTGACACCGCCAACGGCACCCTCAATGCCAGAAACAGTATCCTCGGCATTGCCGAGGACGGGAATAGCGGCAGAGTAGCTCAAGCCAGCAAGGGCGAGTGAAACGGTGAATCCAGTGAACTTCATTGTTGCGATGGTAGTAAGGTCCCAAAGAGTTAGAAAGAGTGACTTGAAGAAGAAGAAAAAGAACACTGGAAGTGAATGAATGACTTGTGTATAGAATAGATCACAAAAATTGCTGGATCTAAAGGCAGGATTATATACGATTCTCTTGGTTTGTTTTGGTAGTGCCTCGCTCGATCATCGACAGGCCCCTCGCATTGGAGATTATCAGGGGTGATGTTTTGACCGTGGCTGTTATTGTCCATTAACGTGCTAAATTGCCACGATTGGTGCTAACGGGCTGCAATCCGTCAAGCCGCGCAGGTAGTTTAATCTCAGCGGAGATTGCGCGAAAGAAGGGATGTATGAGCCCACATGGTTTGGAGTTAAGGTGAGTGACATGTTTCAAGCGGTGTGATTGGAGCGACTCTACAGCAAGGTTGGGCCGGACAAGACAGGCTAGTGAATTGTAGAAGCTTGCGCTGCTTTGCGGGACATTTGGGGTTATCTCACATAGTCTTATATAGAGAAGATTGCAGCGTGGGAGATTTCGCATAGTCTATTTAGACAAAGACGAATATTTCTCATTCACAATAATAATAGCACTCGACAACAATCCGTAACTATCTCGAAAAAGAAAGGGATGTATATCAGTGCATTGACCGTAGGCTCAGGCAAGGGTCGTTATATGCGGGACCTCGAACCTATGTCGATCACAGATTTCCCAGGGGACTGAACGTGAGTTTTTGACTAAGTGGACTCGGAAAACAAAACAGTTCGTCGTGAGGCGTCCTTGCATTGCCTCTGCATGAAACTCAGCCTCTGCCGAGATTGTGGTAGCCACCCTCCTCTCGGTGTTTCTTGGTAGGTGGAGGCACACCCCGTTTGGAAGTAGAACTGAAGACCGTTCATATATTTTTTTTTGTACTTTTTTTTTGTTCAGCAAAATTTCTCCAGTGAGAGAAACAGACCGCTGCAGTGGGCATCATCGTTAGGGGGCATCAACAGGGCAAACTGTAACCTCAGGATCACCTGTATTGACCAGTCGAGTGTTGAACCGTTAGAAACTATTGAACATGACATGATACACACGATTCAACGTGCAGCAAGTAAAAAACAAGCCGTTAAGTTGAGCAGTTTTCTGTTAAGAGAACGCAGCTCAAAGGTGCCAATTGTATCCCATATAAGACAGGTCACATTAGGCAGGGTTAGAGCGTAGCGGGTTGAACGTCACCTCCCAGCTCAATGGTATGACTGGTTAGGTAGATACTAACTACATTGACCATCGCGACCCAAAGGTGAAACACAGGCCTTGAGTGTATGAAAAGAAGCATGCGTAGGAGTGCCTTACTCTGGAGCTCATGTACCAACATAGATTGGAAGGCTAACTAGTTGGCCTTATGGCATAAACTGGGAATATGAAGGTAGCCCTGCGATCAATTATTTGCGAAAAACAGACAAGTGTTATTCATGAGGTGTATGGAGTAATGCGGCATGGGAATATGCAATCAGGAGAAGACTGGGGGGCGAATTCGGAGTGGAGAGATGTGAGCTATACAACATAGGTCGTTGAGGTTGGTTGTATTATTTGTGTAGTTTGTGTAGTTTGTATTATTTGTGTTATTTGTGTAGTTTATATTGTTTGTTTGTTGTGGTAGTGATGTGTTGGAATGTGGAAGGCAAACAAGTTGATGCCTGAGGATTCGAACGTTGTCACGTCAACGGCGGCCACTAGTCCTAAACAGGTAAGGCACAACATAACAGTGGCATGGCAGCTGCCCCAAACATCATGAACTCGGACTTTGTGTTGATTTCTTCTCCTCTAATCCCCTCACCTGTACAGGCTTTTTGCATCCAGGCTTTCATTTTCTCTTATCCTTAGCATTCTATACTCATAGGTCTTCCTCCCTCAGTTTGATCATGAGCGTTTAGGTTTTACTTTTACCCTCGACTATTTTCTTACTGTTGGCTTTGCTACCCTCCGAGTCGCACGAAAACAACACCATCACCTGTAACGGTACCTTATCGATCTGTCTTCGCTGTTTATCAGCGTTACACAATCACTCCAGGTCTAGCCAGCTGTCAACAAACTACTCCCAATATGACTACCGACTTCAACCACGGCGGGCAGATGATCGAGTACATCCAAGGTTGGTACAATGTTCTTCGACAATTTGAAGGTCTTTCACCCAGCATTGAGAGCTAAGACAAACACCCATTTAGACCGTCTATACCTTGCATCTTATGATTCTGCCCCCAGCTCCAGAACTCCATTTCCCTTCCATCTGGACGCACCCAAATCCCCAAGCAAGCGGGCGCGTGCCCAGCCCGCCACTCCAAGCAAGCGCCGCTATCCCGTGTACTTCACAATTGATGATACCCTTCTTTACAATGCTTTTCACGCTGATTTCGGCCCACTCCATATTGGTCACCTCTACCGGTTTGCCGTGCTTTTCCATGAGATTCTTGGTGACCCAGCCAACAGCGACCGCCCGGTCGTCTTCTATAGCAAGACTGATGCCCGGAGTCGCGCCAATGCGGCCTGCCTTGTTGCATGCTATATGGTCATGATTCAATCCTGGCCACCGCATTTGGCTCTGGCACCAATCGCACAAGCAGACCCTCCTTACATGCCTTTCCGCGATGCTGGATACAGCCAGGCAGATTTCATTTTGAACATTCAAGATGTTGTGTATGGAGTGTGGAAGGCGAAGGAGCAGTCTCTTTGCGGACTTCGAGACTTTAATCTCGAGGAGTAAGTACTAGCTACTCTTTACACAGCCGAAGATCGAATGCTGATTCTGTTCAATAGATACGAGAAATTCGAGCGAGTCGATATGGGTGACTTCAACTGGGTTACGCCAGATTTCCTTGCCTTTGCATCTCCTCAGCAGCAGCCAGTGGCACCCATTCCAGTCAACACCCCCGAGTACAACGCACTGCCTGCAACAATCTCGGAAATATCTTCCTCGAAGCTTCCAATGCCGTTCAAGAATGTTCTTGCCCACTTCCACCAGCGCAACGTCGGTCTTGTTGTACGACTTAACTCGGAGCTCTACTGCCCTTCTTACTTCACCGCAATGGGAATCTCTCATATTGACATGATATTCGAGGATGGCACGTGCCCTCCTCTCCAGCTCGTCAGGCGGTTTATCAAGATGGCTCATGAGATGATCACCATCAAGAAGAAGGGTATCGCAGTTCATTGCAAGGCAGGCTTGGGCCGTACAGGTTGCTTGATTGGTGCTTACCTGATCTACAAGTATGGTTTCACCGCCAATGAAGTAATTGCCTTCATGAGATTCATGCGACCCGGTATGGTCGTTGGACCTCAGCAGCACTGGCTCCACCTCAACCAGGGTGCCTTCCGTGAATGGTGGTTTGAGGATAGCATGCGCGAGAAGTTGGCACAGTCCGCACCGGTCACTCCGCGAGTGTCGACTAAGAAGCGCACCAGCAACGGAGTGGTCTCCACCCCACCAAACAATAGCCACTCCAAACGTGCAGCCCTTGGAGAAATTGATACCAATGAAGCTGCAGCCTACCCAGACCAGGATCTTCCTGCACCGACCCCTGGCCAGCCTCGCAAGTCCCACCGAAAGGACTCACGCCACCATCCTTATTCCCGAACTGCCTCCGGATCGATCGCTGTTGAAAACGAGCAGCGCAGTCACCGCAGCCACAGGAAGAGCAACGAGAGCAGTGAGAGCGAAGAAGAGATTCAGCTTCGCCGATTAGCCCAGCGGTCCTCTAGGTCTCCTGTTGCCTCACCCACATCCCGGTCTATCAGTTACTCTGCCACTGTCACAGCCAGCTACACCCTCGCAGAAGACAACCACAAGGATCAGGAGAACTGGGTTGACCACTCAGCACCCAAGACTCCCGTGACCCGCAAGACCGGCGCAGCCCCTATCTCGGTCAGCAAAGTTCGCTCCAGCCCTCGCCGGACAACGGAAAATACACGCAGCGAGTCTCGTGGTGTTCGCAAGCCTAGTGGCCGTATTGGCAGCAATACCATCAGCCCCGCACGGGCAATTAAGACCATCCACTAAATCTCTTGCCATCTTCTTTCGCCCCTAGGAGCTCTGCATGTTTCCTAGGAGCGCTTTTTCTTCCATTCTTCTCGTCCCATAGGGACAATACTTCTGCATACCCCTTTTCCGTGATGCATCTGGATGCTTTTTAATGTTTGAGTTTGCAAATCTCGGTCTGTTGTTTTCTGGAGCGAATATTGGTTATTGGGCATGTTATGCACGGCGTTTGGTTTTGTTTTTGATTGGCGAATCGTCAGATGTCTTGCAATTAGGTACCGATTCACTTCGTGCCACATGTTGTTTTGTCTGCGGTGTTCGCTCCTGTATGTGTCAATTCTATGTCGATCAGATATGAGCTTGCTCTACATTTCAATTTCTCATAAATTTTCGTAATTCCCGACCTAGATAACTAGTCAGTATTATCGAACTCAGTCATCTGAGGTAGGCAATACTTGTCTTCGTTCCTCCGCCATACTTCGACCGCGCACCATAATATCACACACAGCAAGCTCTACCTGGGGGTACTCTACATGGGGGTAAACCTAGCGTAGGAAAAAAGTATGAATATTCCATATCCCTCGCATGCTCACTATTTCATGTTTCCAGATTGACGTCAGAATTCGCCCAATTAACTTATCAATTCGCAGCCAGAAACTATATGCAGCGTTAGCACTCGTTCCATCCCACACCAAGACATCAATCCTCACCTCTTGAGCCTCTTCTTCCTCAACAGCCGAGCTATCCACCTCGCTCTTCCCAATAAGCCCAAGCTTACCCTTCCTCACAAACCACCACAGCTCCCTCCGATCACCACCCAGCTCCTCCCGCAACATCTTACCCTTCAACTGGCGCACGAAGTCATTGTAAACCACTGGTTCCTCATAATCCACCAGCTCTTCGCGCATAGTACCGAGACCCTCAATAACACGGTCGTAATTTGAGTGACCGAGACTGTGTGTGATCTGGATCTCAATGATTTTAGCCATTTGCTGCACAGCGTCGTGGATTGCGTCGATGCTTTCTGCGCGGGCAAGTGTTTGCTTGAACTCTGGGATTGCGTTCTCGGTGGAAATCTTCGTTCGCTTGGGTTCGAGGCTGAGAAGAGCGTCAACGTCCAAACCTGAGAGAGGTTTCTCTGTTTCGCGTTGCCGTTTACGGCCTTTTGTCTTTGGTGGAACTATAACACGAAATACGTTTGTGAGTAGGCTTTCTTCTGGATGTCATTATAGTCTGGGGTTTACCTTTCTTGACATCTGCTGTAGACATCAATTTCTCAAGATGGGACTTGGAGTTCTTAACCATCTCTTCTGATGGGTGTGCGAATTCGGTGAGCCGCTCTGAGGGATCAAGGACGGGATCGTTAGGATGCACAGCACGGTATCGAACAGCTGATTCGATGCGGTGCAGTAATGGTGAGAATGACTCGTCAATTGGTAGATCGTCAGTGGGTTCACTGGCGCTTTTGGTTAGCTGGTTGACTCGATAATAATGTGAATTCTACCCTACTTACCCTTCCTCATTCGTGGTAACAAAATCCATGCTGTCTACATAATCGTTCATCGCATTTTTCAAAGCGGCGCTTGGGAGGTTGCGGTGTTCAGTTACCACCTTTCCAGAAACAGTGATGATCTTATCCAAAGGTGGGAACCGATATGACCGCACGTCTTCTGCAAATGGAAGCTGTACTTCGATCAAACACTCATAATCTGCCTCCACGGATGGAGCTAGCAACACGAGCATCGGTGGCTTGGATTCTTTGGTCACCAATCGGGCAACCGCATAGGATTCCAATTCGTAGAGTGCGTGAATGAGAGAAGACAACGCAAGAGACGCATTGTCATTTGCACGCTGAGGAATGATGATATTCGTGTTGGACATGTGCATGTACCGGTCATACTAAGTGACAGAATTAGCTGCTATAACATTTGGGATTGGCGTGGAAACATACCTTATCCTTTTGAACGAACCCGATCAGCCCCATACCAGCAAATGTTTGTAGATTTGCGACATTCTCGTCGGTTTGTTCGATAGGAACTGCTGTACGTCCGTACTCGTACCCCTTGGCGAGGTCATCGCGTTCAACGTCGATCTTACCACCTGGTGCGGACTCGTCGATGATCTCATATGTCCGTGATGTTCGTACCGATGCGAGAGCGCCACCTTCAATATTGACTTTATCTGGTGCTTGACTTCCGGTTTCGGTACTGGAGCGCGGCACGAACGAGCTTGCTGAGATCGGCTTGGCGACATAAGTTCGGAAGTATCGCTCCACAGGTATAGTGATTGCTGTGTCATACTCCTCAGGATTGCCGAGCATAAGATTTCCTTTGAAAGATGGCATGCTCTTGGTCACTTTGATGCGGGGAATATCCAATTCCGAAACAGCTTGCTCTAGCGTTCCATAAACACCTTCGCAGTCCTCAGTCAGGCTTCGGAGAAGAGTCTCGTTTTCAGCCTGATGAAAAGTTGGTTAACATAATTTTTGAAAGACATTGAAGCCGGTTAGTACCTTTTGGCTGTCTTTGTCTTCTTCCTTTACACCATACTCAGCATCGTCAAAATCGGCCCCACTAGATATCATTAGCATGAATGTAAAGTCACACGGGCAAGAAACATACATGATAACCAGCTCAATGTTGACTTCCTTCATCTTTTCGATGATACCTTCGATATTATCATCGCTCATGCCACCGGTACCATTGGTCACTAGAACGATCTTGCGTTTGTATTTGTTTTTCTTGGTGTACTCGATGATCATCTGCATGGCAATGACGATAGAAGAGATGGCTTGTATAAAGTCAGAACGAGCAGCTTGGCAAGACTTCAACTGTCACATACCATCGCCTCTGTTAGTCTTGCTGGGTTTGATCGTTTCTCGGAGTTTCCGGATATCAGGCATGAGGACCCTAAAAGACGATTTAGCCAAGTGACTCGGCATGAAACAATCAATTCATTGAGTGACACATACTGGCCAAGACCAAATAGGACAGAGATATTAGAGAAGTTCTCTTCTTCCAAGTCGTTGATAGTTCCTGTTCCGAACGTGAGACAAGGCTTCCAATGGGTGCTGACCGGTAGGCTACCACTCACCGTCTGTCCTGAGACCGACCACACCAACTGTGGCTGTCTTGCGACCAGTAGCCACCTGGAATTGTCAGTTCTCTGGCGTTGAACAAAGTCAAGTCACATACTGTGGCGGTGATCCTATCCCAGACATACTGCATGGCCCACTCGAGATCTGTCATAGGACGGCCATGGTGGTGCTCGCCCATAGACCGTCCCATATCTACAATGTAAACTGTAGCCTCTTTCTCCGCCATGATGAATGATGACGATGTTGGGAAAATGGCAAGTCAAAATCGTTTGAGGCTCAAGACAACAGGCAGACGCGTGATATTTCCACTTGCGGTTTAGACCCGAACGCGAAGGCACATGACATCACACGTCGTCTTTGTTGGTGTTTGGGGGTCTGTGCGTCGTTATAAGACATCCTTGACTGTTTGGAAGTGGAAATAAGGAGTTTGCTAATAATCGGGATGTAGCGATAACGGCCACTTCCACTTCTTCCCAATGCAACCTTCCTCACTCCAACTTTCGACCTTTATCGCCAACTCAACTCTCCCAAGGTCATACATAACATATCCGAAATCATGGATCCTCGCCCCTACCATGTTCTAAGGTTTGTTTATTATTGAAAATTATGGCTCATGTTCTAATAAATGAGGTAGCTACGGCACCCTTTTAGGAACACAGTTCTACCAGGTGAGATCAATAGTTGAACCGGGCGCATATCAAATCGTCCTCGCCTAAAGTATTGTCTAACATATCCAAAGTCTTTTGTCGGAGGCTTCGTTGCTTTCCGTGCTCTTCCGCGGCCCCAGTTCGCTAGTCTGCAGACTGCCATCTTCCCAATCTACTTCTCACTGCAATCTGCGTTGCCTGTAGTGGTCGCTTTGACCGCTTCCCACGGCGGACAAGTATTGGGTCTTTCTGGTCTCACTGCACCTGAGAACCGAATTAACACCCTCTTGCCTCTGGCAACTGTGGCAGTGACCGGACTGGTGAACATGTTCGTGTTGCGTCCCATCACCACCAATATTATGCGCGAGCGCAAGCATCAAGGTGCGTTAGCTGCTGGCATTATGTTTCGGGTAAAATTCAATTGAGTATTCTAACGTTAGCAGAAACCCGTGATGGAAAGAGGAGCTACGACCCAGCGCCTCACTCCAAGGAGATGCTGGCCCTGAACAAGAAGTTCGGCCGCGTGCATGGTATCTCAAGCTTGGTCAACTTGGTCAGCCTGGTTGCTACGATCTGGTACGGTGCCGTGCTGAGCAAGAGACTTGAGTGATTTGACAACAGTGATAAATACCGATACTCAATAGGGGGCTCGATGCATATAGCCTATTTCGTTCATTCTCCCCTCTTGTCTACTATATAAGTGAAAATACATGATCCATTTGGTTCTTCAATGGTCAGCTGAAGAGATAGTAATTACATTGCCTGGAATCATTTCAGATCCACAATGCTAAGGCTGCATAATACAGCAAGCACACCCCACAATCGATTAAAACCGGACCTATTCGCCCGAGAACACCTGCTGCAGTCACTACCACCTTACTACCCTCGCTTCTATGTCTGCATTATCTAGCTATTACATATGCACTCTTTCTCCTTCCTTTTCTGCCTTGGACGCCATATCGCCTACTTCCGCAAGACGCTCGACGCCTTGGTAGAACTCTGGCAGAGGCTCCAGCCTCTGACGAAGGGTCCAGACACGGAAATGCCACGAATCATTCTTGATCTGGTACGATGTATGCTTGCGAGTTGAGACAGAGAAGACCTGGTCAATCTCTTCCAGAGTAAGAGCTGAAGGCAAGATATCATTACTGTTAATCTCGGATAGCTGCAGCGAGAGAGCACATTGCCGGAGGTAAAAGAAAGGAAGTTAGCCCGGGCCAATGGATCACTTGCATGCCCACGCATACATGCTAGAAAGTATAACTGCCACGGCTGTGACTACTTATGGGTACGTTCACGCTCAAGCGCCTCCTTCTCTTCCTTCGACAAATCGGGAAGACTTGTTGCTGATGCGGGATTGTGAAATAAGAGCACCCTTTGGGATTACCTCTACCGATTATGCTTCGCCGTCCTTAAGCATGATAGGCACAGTATACGGGGCCTGAGTGCGCCATGTGCCACCTGTGAGAATTGCTTGGAAAATGTATATTTGTACAAATATTGTTGCAAATATGGTCGCCGGTAGATTGGCCAAGGGCTGTAATGACCGGACTAGGCTTTTATCGCACTGGCGAGTCCCTCCTAGTGCGCCTTGGATTTATCGTCTAGGTAGCGTTGGGCATTTTCGCAATCACTGTCTCTGACAAGATAAATAATCATCACACATTTAACAAATTTAACACGTGATAACGCCTTAATTTAAATATTCGAGTTCTAGAACACCGGGGATATGCATCAGGGATGTTGTACAACCGGCATAGGTATGCACATAACCAATAATTTACACATACTAGCCGCATAAATGCGTTAGTTAACTACAGATCACAATCTCTCAAGTCCCGAAAATATTGAGAATTGGGTCGAAGTGACTATCATTACGGTGAGGGGAATGAGTCTCGGGGTCTTTCCTTCACTTCCGCTTTTTAGTGGCGAACGACCAAGTTGTCGGGACTGCAGTCTCGTCCATGCGTGACTAGCAACGAATTGAACAATTTTGTGACATGAATACGAGGATTTGGGCAAAAGTACAGTGTACTTACGAATACCAGCACTGACGTTGTCCGCCCCACTCTAACCCTGGTCACTGCACGGACTTGATTTTAATAGGAGTTCGACTTTGCAGTCTCAACGTCAGATATTAACCTGATATAATATATATGTAAAGTATTGGTACACCGTAGATTCGTGGTTCATACTTCATACTCCCGAGGTCCGTAGTAGATGTCATTCAAACTCAAATGCCCCCGGTGGTGTGGCTGGGCACAAATTACACCTGTGGGGTCTCAGCCCGTCATACTGCACCTCTGATTGGTTGGAAACAGACCCCTTGGGTTCTGCGGATCGTCATACAGAAGTGGGCCAATAACCTTCGAGAAATCAATACGCTAACTGTTGTCGAACCACTTGGATTAGCCAACTAACGTCCATTGAAACCCGTTGCACGGGATATGCAATCCAAAAACTAAGGAAAAGGTACGTCCTGCAGCAGCCTTCTTTGCGTAATGGAGCACTTATCCGACAGACGGTGCGAATGATCGTTGGATACAACGTGGTAACGCTGGACCCGACAATCTGGTACGCTAAAAGCTGCCTTGAAGACAGAGGGGTCATAAGGGGGGTCATAAGACTGCAGTCGGTGTGTGTGCAGTTTTCACTCCCTTTTCACTTTTTCCTGATCCCTTCCATTGCCAGTTTACAACGTGCTTCGCCGCGTTCGTGTTCTGTCTTATAGATCGGAACTATCGAAGATGCAGCAAGATGCACACCGCGGATCGACCCCGGTCGAGATTGATGTTAGTATTTCATGAAAAACTCTCTTTTGTGCACCATTTCCTCTGCTTATGAAACTGACATCATTAGTCTGACACTGACGATGCCTCGCTATACACTGCCTCGTAAGACCAGTGACTTGTCATGATGTGTATATCCTACTGACCATGGTAGACTTGACAATGCCAGCTACACCACAAGTGTGACATCGAGCGTGCTGGACTATCAGTATGTTAAAAGTGACTGAAATCTGTGTTCAGTGGTTGCTAATAATCGCAGATACGAAGTGTGTTACATCGCTACTTGATCACGAACTGTGCTGATCAGATACAGAACGGTCGCAGGTATCATTCATATCACGAAGGAGAATATATTCTGGTACATGATCCTGTTAACGTTTAATCTCCATCTCAGACTAATGTTCAAACAGCCAAATGATGAACGGGAACAAGATCGCCTTGATCTGGTAAGTGTTCTCCTGATTCCGACAAGACAAAATTTTAATGATCGACAGAGCCACCACATTTACCTGATGCTTCTCAAAGGAGAATTGCTCCAAGCACCAGTCAAAAATCCAAAGCGAGTACTAGATCTCGGGACAGGAACAGGTTTATGGGCAATCGAGTATGCAGAGTAAGTCTTTTTTTTCCCAAGATACCTATCAAATATACCCCTAACAAGCAATATAGTACAAACCCAGACTCACAGGTGATTGGTACGGCATATGTCTACGGCCCGATCAAAACGTTGGCTAATTGAAATAGGAATTGATCTAAGTGCTATTCAGCCATCATGGTACGTGTTACTGCTATTGCATTGACTCCTTACATAATATTGATATATGTCCAGGGTGCCTCCAAACTGCCGCTTCGAGATTGATGACTTTGAACAACCATGGTCATACAGCAAACCGTTTGACTATATCCACGGGCGCGAATTGGAAGGTTCCATCCGTGACCATGACCTTCTCTTCAAACAAGCATTTGACAACCTGAATCCCAATGGATGGTTTGAAATAGCGAGCTTCGACGTCAACACTTATTCGGACGACGGAACTCACCTCGGCGCGACGAACTTCCTCCTATCCATTAAGCACATGCACGAATCATCGCGCATGTTCGGCAAGGATATGACATCCTCCCCATCGTGGAAAGATCGGATGAAGAAGGCCGGGTTCATAAATGTCCAAGAAGATGTCCACAAGGTATGTTGTCCCTTCTTGATGAGAATGAAACCCCGTGCTTATTAGTGAATAGCTGCCCCAAAGTCCATGGCCCAAAGACCCCAAGCTCAAGGAGCTTGGTCGGTACCATCAACTCAACATGCTTGAAGCTATGCCTATTTACACATATGCATTGTTTTCAAGGGTGCTAGGGTGGACACGCGCCGAGATTGAGGGTCTGTTGGCAGGAATTCGAATGGAGCTGCGGGATACATCGTATCACCTGTACACAAAAGTGCGGGTGGTTTACGGTCAGAAACCCGCAGGACCAGTGAGTGCCTAAGGGATGTTATATCACAGATTCATATCCCATCCACGGATCCGTGTAAATTTAGAGTTAAGGGTGTGTTACGGAACTCGGGAGTTCCCGGGGCCATGGTCTCTCCACTGTTAATGCCTCGATTCTCAGGCAAACGCTATGCAGTCAAACAACTTTCAGCGTCGTGAGTAATAAAAGGACATGTTTCTACTTTGATGTGTCTATCCTAGTTAGAGGCTAGTAAAAAGCAAAATTCATATCCCTTGTGGGCGGCAGGTACGCTTTTAAGCCGGTTAATGGGAATGAACCTGTTGGTTTCATTTTCTGTCTCCATTATTTTCTTGGGTCTCTTGTTTTCTATTTCCCTTCTCTTACTTGCTTTCCCTTCCAGATCGAAATGCAGATAGATACGTACATATAGATGTACCAATAGGAGAGAGATGTAATAATGTGCATTAGGATATTATGAGTTATGAGTTATCGAGAGAGATATGTATTGTATGTCTTGGTGGAAACAACCAAATCCTCAACATTCCAGGAAGCCAGCCGGCAAAATGTGACTGAAAGAAGGGTAAAGCCATGTAGAAAAATAACCACCGTCTATGTTCCGCAAAGAAAACGCCATTATTTTGAAAGTGTTCGTCGGTATCGTGATTGTGCGAAGCAGTAGTCGGGGTTCAGGTTGATTGTAGGAAGATCGCAGCATGGCCACGATCATCGAATATTAGGAATGGTGCTCCCTGGATTGAAGAAAAGGTCCACCACTTTTTTGCAGTCTTGACGAAAACACTGAGTCCTGTAGATTTCTTCAACACAATATTAGATTAGTTTGAGCATGTTGTGGTAGACTGTTAAACACTTACTATTGCCAAGCTATCTTTGCCCAGAATAACGACCCGGTGGGAAAGTGTACTCGTCATATAGGTCTTCTTTAGCCGCCATGAGAGGTCCCCACTCCCTTTTTATCTCCTTCCATTGTTTCTTCAAGCGCTGGAGAGGTGAAGAATTTGACTTCTCCTGGGTGGCGTTGAGATCCTCGACGGAGGAAAACTGTGATGTGCTCATTTTAGAGATAGATTCTTGTGAATCAATATGTTCAGGCATAATGTGTGGATGATTGGTAAAATTTACAATTTCGATTTGTATTTGCACTGCGATTTTGCAGACTTTATATCTATATTTTTGGAGGTAAGGATGACATCTCAAGTAGGGGTCCATTTGAAAACTTTGAACCGAGTCTCACCCGATCGACCACCGAGATATGACCACCGAGTTATCCCCGCGTGCCTTACCCTAGAGAATTTGTTTGTTTGTTTGTTTTCTCTATTTGAGTTTTGATATTTCAAATTTTCAAGTTGTGTCAAGAATTGCCATTGCATGAGATCGTGGCCGAGTTCTTATCTTCACGCTAGATGACTGTTTCCTTTTGCCGGCTTAAACAGCAGTTACAGCACATATCACGTTATGTTACTGGAGATGACCAGTGAATACTGCAGTATATGCACTATTGGTGAAAGCGGATAGAAGGGAAAGAGGGATAGGAAGCCTTGAAAGCGAAGAAGCGTGAGCTTGGACTCGGGCTAGGTACGTACAACTAGTGGGTCCTATTGTTGATGGCCCTAGGGGTAACCCAAATTGTTTGGCGAGATCTATAGAAAAGTTCTGATTTGCAGCGCAGTGGTTTCTTAATATATATATTTGATGGAGAATGGAAAGGATCCCATAAAAGACATACAACAAAGTGGGAAAAGAAAGCATCGGCAAAGCTGCCAAACGACAACAGAGTTTACCCCTATCTTTCCTTCTGTCTTTTCTCTCTCTTCTCGGGAAGTAGATTCTAAAAGTTCTGCACAATTGCCTCAAGGTCTTGACTGAATAAATGTCCATAGCCATATAATAATTATCCATCGGTTATTGAAATTACTATCAGGACGAGGCTCTTCAATCTTCGAGGACTCTTAGGCAACCAATTAAAAGCGATGCCGCTTGTCCCCGATCCCCACCAGCCATGCCGCCAATTGGAGCCTCTCAATCAGCCCGCGGGCGATGAACCGCGGACTTTGCCGCGGTTTAAGTCACCATCAGACCAATGTAGAGTATTTAAAGCTTTCAAAGGTAGTAGGCAAGGGAAAAATAAGAAAGCTGGATTTCACTCCGACTCAATACAACCACTCAGAAATATGAAAAGCGAATCTGTAGTGATCATCGGGTAAGTGGGAGCCAACACATGGGACGACTGTTTTAGAGTGTTGATGCTGATTTTTCTAAGGGCCGGCGTGATCGGCTTGAATGTAGCCCTCGTTCTCGCTGAAAAGGGTTATGGCCGACAGACAACCATCATTGCAGAACATCTTCCCGGAGACACTTCAATAAATTACACCTCACCATGGTTTGTTGAGGAACTCCTGCTGCCAGTTCACATTGACAAAAGACTAATTGGAGTTCAGGGCAGGTGCAAATTTCTCTGCTATTTCTGCAAGCGACCCGAATGCGTTGCGATGGGATAAGCTTGGATACAAGTATCTTCTCGATCTTGCAGCCAAGGACGGCAAGAATGCGTTTGTGAAGGAAACACCTTCAGTGGAGTATTGGGATGAGCTACCATCCCGTGGAAAGATCGATTCAATGGCCGCGTATCTCAAAGATGTGGGTTATGGATAATTTCCTTGGGTGTCCTAGATTTGCTTATCGATTTCTCCATTGAACAGTTCAAAGAGATTGCCGCACAAGACTTACCAGAGGGTGTTGCATTTGGCATAGAGTTCACGACAGTAACGCTCAATTCACCCATGCACCTTCGATATTTGTTCCAGAAGCTCACCCAGAAATATGGAGTGCGAGTCATTCGCAAAAAGTTGCCGCAAGTCTCATCTGGCCATCTCAGCAATGATACAAAGGTGATATTCAACTGTACCGGTAATGCAGCAAAAGAGTTACCGGGAGTCCAAGACTCAAAGTGTTACCCCACTAGAGGCCAGATTCTACTTGCAAGAGCATCTCATATTCAACAAAACATCATGAGACATGGTAAGGACTATGAAACCTACGTGATCCCTCGACCATACTCGAATGGAAACGTGGTCCTTGGTGGATTTATGCAAAAGAACGTTGCGTAAGTAGGGTCCTTCAGCCCATGTGTACCACATTTTAGTGACTGAACGATATCGACAGCACACCGGATACCTTCGGAGAAGAGACAGAGTCAATTCTGACTCGAACGACGGCGTTGCTTCCTGCTCTAAAATCAAACAAGACTGAGATTCTTGGTGCATTTGCTGGGCTACGCCCGTCTCGCGAGGGTGGTGCTCGTGTTTCCAGAGAAAATGTGCAACTAGGTGCCGCAGGACGCCGGGTTGTTGTTGTCCATAACTATGGCGCCGGTGGAACTGGCTACCAGGCTGGGTACGGAATGGCTGTTGAGGCAGTCAACACTGTGACCGAGGAGATTAACGCACTTAATATCCAGTCGCGTCTTTAGATTTTGTTCCCAGTGTCCATTTTGGGGGTATTTTTGCGGTGTGGTGGTTTGTTTTTGGAATTCATTGACGAGGCAGAAGGACTGGATTTATATAACCGAAGAATTTTGCAAACTCGGAATTTGATGTAACATAGAACTAAGATCTTGATTCATTCTTCGTGTGGTATCGTCATAAGCTACATAATAATCATATCGGTCCTTGTCAACCCTTCGGAAGCCATGTTTTGATGCGGTCACAGTGGCCCTGCCGTGTTATTCATCCCACTTACTTCGTAGCTTGGGGGAGGACTTTCATCGGTATGGGAGTACATGTCATTATCGTCATGCTCATCATCGAATTGTGTCACAATAATTTCGGGTATAGGTTCAGGTGATAAGCTCGGAAGCTCAAAGACAGATATGACACTCGTCTCACATGGGAGCTCCGAGATTGAAGAAGCGACCGTCGAAACCTCAGATGGAGAGAAAAATACTTTATCATTGCTCAAAGTGGTTGGTAGTGAGCCAAGGTGATTAAGAATCATCTCGACTTTTCCATGAGAAAGAAGCATGCGGGATTCCTGTCTCAGAGCAACTTCATAATGACGACGCTTCCAAGTGTTGTGGTCTTGAGGGCTGATTTGTTCAAACTGCTTCACAAAAGAAGCTAAATCATTCGCAGCATTCTCAGCATCGGTGATGGTTGAATTGATCCACTCAATTTCGATCTCGCCCAGGACTGTCCTTTTGTCATCCAGTAACTGTCTTGTCCGCCTCACTGTGGAATTTACAAGTACAGTTGATTCGTAAAACCCTCTGATTTGTTCCTCCGGAGATAGTGAAGGTCCAGTGACCGAGGCAGAACTGATTCGTTTCGCTTTTGTGGAGAGTGATGTGGTCTTGGGATTTGAGGATGAGTTTGTTGATTTCGAGTTGAGAGCCCGTGAGTAAAATCGTGACTGTGGAGTCGCTTGGTCTTGGGCTTGGCAATCGTGCGCTGGAACATGCTGTGTTGTGTCTTCAATGCGAGCGATTCGGTGTAAGTGATCTGCTGATTGATTCCATTTTGACACCGATCGATATAGCATAAATTTGGCTGACTGATGACACCGATCCTTCGAATCATTTAATGTGTCTGCTGATTTGTGCCATATTTGTGTTGTCGATTGTTGGTAGCGATCTCTTGAATTATCCCACATGGCTGTTGAACGACCGATGAGGTCCCTTGTCGATCGCTGCAACTTCCCTGTCCATTGGCCTTTTGGCCGATGTACGAAGTCGGTGGGTACCATTTTTCGGATAAATGCACTTTTAGTGCTTGAAAAGTGCTTGGAAAATACTTGGAAATGGATATTTTTTTGTCTTGGATGTCTCGGAGAAAGGTGGAATCTGAAAAGCAGTTTGAATCCGAATGCGAAAAGTGGAAGAAACCCAAGATAAATAAGTTTCCCTTCTTAGCCCAGCCCTAGGCTAATACGGAAATTCAAGATGGGTTTCTCCCAATCAATTACTAACAAGCATGTTGGTTGCCAACAAATTATGGCGATGCTGGAAGGCTGTGTGTTCGTAGGCAACGTAGTTCGCACTGGAGTGTAGATCCATGTTCATCATTGGCCAACTTTTTACGCATTGCTATATTTGGTTGTGGATGGTGGGGGCCAAACTGCCCGGGGGGGCTTGTGCTGCCCAATTGGCGAACTTCAAAGGTTCAAATGTCAAAGTATATTGTGGTCAATACGAGGTTATCCTTGCGCCTTTATGGCCCCCTAGGAATCCATGCTCAGCCTTGGGTGGAGAGGTTAGGTTTATTAGGAAGTACAGAGTACAGAGTACAGAATAAGTCTTGGAAGGGAAGAGGAAGGGAAGAGGAAGGAAACGGGGGTCCTAGCCACGTGGTATACCACGTGATCTTTCGCTTGATGGCGTCATTGGACATTTCCCCGGATTATCTAACGTTGGCCCTAATTGATGGAAATTCTTCAGATGAGATACCCTCTAATTAGTCCAAAATAAGGTTAATTCCGGTGGGATAACCCCGGAGTACTATATATCTTTTAGAAATTTTGACTTTAATTCTTGATAGAATCGAGTTATAAAAGGAGAATAATGCTGCCAATTAAGACATAGAATACCAGTTAGCTCCGGCATACCAAACATGAGAATTCCACAGGTTATTGCTTTCGCTGCAGCTGTAGCTGCAGTGACAATTCCACGCTCCAAGCATTCTTCACCTACCGCCCTCACAAATGTGAATATATTCTCACCACCCTCCGACTACGTCGTTCCACGGACGCTTTACCCCCGTAACGAGCAGCTGCCCAACGGCGACCTTCTTGCCACATGGGAGAACTACTCCCCAGAGCCGCCGGCGGTCTACTTCCCCATCTACCGCTCCAAGGACCACGGAAAGACCTGGAAGGAGATTTCCAAGGTCCATGACACTGTCAACGGATACGGCCTGCGTTACCAGCCGTTCCTCTACTACCTGCCCGAGCGCGTCGGCTCATTTAAAAAGGGGACTCTACTTCTAGCTGGTAGTAGTATTCCAACTGATCTGTCGTCCACACACATCGATCTGTACGCATCGCAAGATGATGGCGTCAATTGGAAGTTTGTTAGCCATATTGCTGCCGGAGGAGAGGCGCTGCCAAATAATGGACTGACTCCTGTATGGGAGCCATTTTTACTCGCCCAGTATGTTTTTCTATTGTGCCTTGAAGATAACTCGCTAACCCCATTCACAGCAAGGGCAAGTTGATTTGTTACTACGCGGACCAGAGGGATAATGCAACCCACGGACAGACAATAGTTCACCAGGTCTCAACCGATCTGAAGAACTGGGGACCTGTTGTAGTGGATGTCAGCTATCCGACATATACCGACCGACCCGGCATGCCAGTTGTGACCAATGTAAGCTACACGGAAGACACCGATTCAATTACGATTATTCTGTGCCATGCTCGGACAATGCTAACATTTCTAGCTCCCAAACGGCCAATACTTCTACATCTATGAATATGGCTCTTTCTTCGATACCTCAAGCTACTCCTTCCCTCTCTACTACCGCTTGTCGTCCGACCCCGAAAATATCTCCTCCGCCCCGGGTCAGCGTCTCATTGTCTCGAGTGGTACTCAGCCGACATCTTCACCGTACGCCGTGTGGACACCATACGGTGGTGAAAATGGCACTATCATTGCCAGCGCCGGTACACAGAGTACGTTGTTCATTAACAAAGCCCTTGGCGAAGGAGAGTGGACAGAGATCGCTTCGCCCGAAGAACACGGCTACACACGGTCTCTACGGGTGCTGTCGGAGGATGGAGGTCGATACCTGGTTGTACATTCTGCTGGAGTGCTATCTGGTACCAATAATCGGGTCTCCGCAAGTGTGATGGACCTGAAAGAGGCATTGTAAACCAAAAGAAAATTTGTGGTTTCAGGCCTCTCATGCTAGATGCGTCGTTCAATTTCTGTTTATAATCGCTTGATCGTTGTGACTGATATGACTCATCGTTGGATGTGTCTCAAGAGATCTTGATTTTGGTGAAAGACTAGAGTCGTTAATACATATGAATCTACGTGTCACTCTGTGGCTTGTGAATAGTCATTATTAAACCCACGCATGTACAATCCGGCAATCTCATGTTGAAGCAAACGCCTACTAGGCACAATAGTGAGCCTGATCCCATACCTAGCCTACCATCCCCAGAGCTCGGAAAGATGCGGATCTTGAGATCGCGACTGATTCATCAATTAGTCACAAGCATGCGACACAATGAGTTCCAGGTGTCATCAATTAAAGAAAAGAAGAAGAAATACGAAGTGTATGTTCCAGACTTTGGGTATGGGCGACTATAGGGATCACGGTCACATAACTCTCTCATTGGCTAGTGCGTTACACCTTCTCTTTTACATACACTGACATCTTACTAGATCTTCTTTTTTGGATGTTCTTCTTAGGGTCTTTTTAGTTGTCTTTTTAGTTGTCTTTTTAGATATATTTTCTAGGGCATTATAAGGCATCATCTAGGTTCAATATTACTACTAACTATATAACTAATTGGTATAAGTTACTGCCAGGCAATATAAACCAATGAGAGAGTTATGTGACAGTGATCCTATAGTCGCCCGTACTCGGGGTGGCATCCGAGTTGTGAGTCAAAAGGTCCCAGCCTCATATTTTAGGCACCAGCGATCTCCAGCCCTATTTCTCCTTACATTGAGCCTCATCTCTCCACACATACACATCTTGAAAGGTTCCCAACAGTTCCCAACAGCCATGTTAGACTGTTCTGTGGAGGAGGATGCTTTTGGGCCAATTGTCGCTCCTTCTTGTCTGAATGGATTTGACTTCACACTCTTGTTTGAAGAGGGTATTCTCACACTCGGGCCCATCGGTGTTGTTTGTTTAGCAGCATCCATTCGAATTTGGAAGCTTTCGGGCGTCCCAGAAAAGGTTAATCGGTCATGGTTGTATGCCACAAAAGAGGTATAATGTCCTCCAAACTACAAGCGTTTATGATTCTCCACATTCCTTGCGCTAACCAGCATCGCGCAGTTATTGTGGCTGTTTTACACAGGATGTCATATGGTCCTGTTAGCCCTCTGGTGCCAGCCTGACACATTCAAAACAAAAGCAACTGTGCTTACAACTTCTGTGACTGTCGTTATTTCCCTTTTTCTGACCTACTTTTCTCATCTTGAGCATCTCCGCTCCATACGCCCATCTACAGTGATCAATGTCTTCCTCGTATTTACCTTGCTCTTCGACCTCCTACGCCTTCGAACTGTGTATTTCATGCCTATTACTCAAACTGTGACCGTTCTTTTTGCTATATCATGGGTCATCAAAGCGATGATTCTCGGGTTGGAGGCGACAGAAAAGAGATCTTTGCTCAAAAAGAGATATGAAAATAGCCCGATCGAGTCGACTAGTGGTGTGCTGAATCGCGCCATATTTTGGTGGCTGAATGAGCTACTTTGGCGCGGGTCAAAAGAAATTTTGATAGTTGACAGCCTACCTACTCTCGACAATGATATCAGCGCCGCTTCAAATCCCCAGTCACTCCTTGAAAGATGGGACAAAGGTGAGCTCCTGAGTTACAACGTCTTTTACCATACTACCATAAATTAACCCAGATTTCTAGCCAACAAATATCATCAAAATTCACTACTATGGACCTTCATATCTCACTACAAATGGGCTTTTCTGGAGGGTGTTTTACCCCGGCTTGCATACACGGGATTTTGCTTTGCGCAGCCATTTCTCGTCGAGCGCGTGCTCAATTTTATGAGTGAACCAGAGCACGTTAACTCTGCCAATTATGCGTACGGACTTATCGGTGCCTACGCCATTGTGTATCTCGGTATCGCCGTATGTAGCCTTTCATGGCTTTATGGAAACTCTACTGATTCTAGCCCATCTATAGATCTCATATGCTGCTTACGAGCACAAGACATACCGCGTTATTACAATGGTCCGAGGAAGTCTAGTCACACTAATCTTCAACAAAACCCTGCGGATGAGCACAACAGTTATTTCAGATACTGCTGCCATTACGTTAATGAGTACTGACATCGAACGAATTGGAAGCGGTCTCAAAGAGATGCACGAGCTATACTCTAACTTTACCGAGGTTGCATTGGCCTTGTGGCTACTAGCACGACTGCTCAACGTAGCGACAATCGCATCTACTGCAGTTGTTCTCGGTACGTCCTTATATCTTCTTTTGAAATGGCTTTTGGTTGACTTGACCATTATTTAGTATGTTTGGCTGCAGGTGTCCCGCTGGCAGTCGCTTGTGGAAAATCACAAGGCATATGGCTCGAGGCTGTTGAGGAGCGAGTGACTGTTACCTCCAGGGTTCTTGGAGTGATGAAAAATATTAAGATGACAGGCTTGACAGAAACCATCTCCAGCAGTCTTCGGGATTTGCGATCTGCAGAAATCGATGCTTCATTTCCATTTCGGCTCTACGAAACATTGGGAATTACACTAGGTATGTTCAGCTCCAGCTGTGAGATTTTCGCTAATTATATAGGGTATGCCTCTTCATCCTTGGCCCCGGTGTTCGGATTTGGTGTTTATGCTATCCTTGCCGAAGCAAACGACACAGCTACACTGACAAACGGGCTGGCCTTTTCGGCGCTGACACTCTTTTCACTGTTGGATCAGCCAATGGGTTCTATTGTGAATGGCTCAGAGGATCTGATGGCCGTGGTCAATTGCTTTCAGCGGATCCAAAAGCACTTGATGGAAGCGGAAAGAATTGACCGCCGAGTAAAGCATGATACTCAAGGGTCTCTATCAGTGCAAGGTGCTAGTCAAGCGCCTCTGATTGAGATTGATTCCTCGACCTGGGAACATTACATCAAACCGTGTGCTACTATTCGAAACCTTTCTGCAGCTTGGTCAATTGACACTGAGCCAGTTCTAAAAGATCTGAACATTGACATCCAAGAGACGAAGATTACAATGGTTGTTGGACCCGTTGGCAGTGGCAAGTCTACTTTTTTGAAGATGCTCATGGGGGAAATTCCAGAATATTCTGGCTCTGTCTCCACTAGCTTCACTCATGCCGCATATTGTAGTCAGTCGCCATGGATTACATTCGGGACAATCCAAGAAAATATTGTTGGTGCATCGCCATGGGATCGACCCTGGTACGACCAGGTTACCAAGTCGTGCGTTTTACAGGCCGATTTTCAACAACTTCCTGCGAGAGATCAGACAAAAGTTGGCGTTCGGGGTTCTCGACTCAGTGGTGGACAGCAAATGCGCGTGGTATGTAACTCTAACCCTATGCTTGAGAAAACTTGTGATAACACAAGGTTCTCTAGGCGCTTGCACGGGCCCTTTACTCGAAAGAGCCAGTTCTTGTTTTAGACGACGCCCTAACGGGACTTGACCGAGAAACCGAGAAGATAATTCTAGAGAATTTGTTTGCTGAACATGGTTCCATCAAGCGTTCTCGGCAAACAGTGGTTATGGCTACAAACTCAGGTATGTATATGCCCGTATCTGTGCAAGTAATTCAATAAACTGATCATCACAGCGCATCATCTTCTTTATGCCGATAATGTCATCGCGCTAGATGAGGATGGGCGAATCACCCAACACGGGTCATATAGTGATCTCATCAGTTCCGGTGGCTATATCAGAATGCTTTCCGATGGTGTTAACCAAGTCGTCGACACTGCCAGGCCCCCCGATTTTGTATTGGACGACGAAACATTGCGGGAATTGAACTTGGATGACCAACACACGGATTTAAGTCGACGAACTGGCGACTGGACTGTCTATCGCTTTTATTTTCAGAACATTGGTTGGCCTCTTCTGTCGGTCTTCCTTGCATGCTGTGTTCTCTTTATTCTCGGTCTCAGCTTTCCTCGTCAGTTTCAACAAACCTACCTGGACATCTTGTTCCAAGCCTAACATTCTATACAGAAATATGGTTGCAGTGGTGGACCCGTGCCAATGAACAGCACCCCAATGAAAATGTTCACTATTGGTTAGGTGTATATGCTGCACTTGGCTTCTTCTCACTCCTGACTACCTTTATTGGCACTTGGTATGATGGGGATATTTTTCGATCGACCTTGAAAGTGTTCTTCTATGACTAACTTAGTATAGGATCCTCATCATGATCATACAGCCCCGAACAGCCCGTCGGTTTCACGAGATTCTTTTGCGTACTACAATAGGGTAAGAGTGGAAAAATAGCAATTGCTGGGTGTTACTTGTTTTGACCTTTGATTCAGAGCCACGACCTCTTTTCTTACCTCTACAGATATCGGAAACACCACAAACAGGTCCGTATGATATTCATTCTTAAAACATGCTCTTTTGTTGACCCGATTTCTTGTTAACAGATTTAGCCAAGACCTGGAGCTCATTGACGACGAGCTTCCTTCATCCTTAGAGCTAACAGTCAATGCTGCGCTAAGCTGTGTTGTAGAAGGATTCCTGGTTTTTTTTGGATCTTCTTACGTTACAGCAGCAGTGATCCCAGTCTGCGTCCTGATGATATATTACGTGGCAAAATTCTACGTCCAAACCTCTCGCCAAATGCGTCTGCTAGACATTGAAGCCAAAGCACCTTTATTCTCGCAATTCTTAGAAGCCCTCAATGGCCTCTCCAGCATTAGAGCCTATGGTTGGACCGACGATTACCGCCGTCGTAATCAAATTTCCCTCGATGCTTCCCAACGCCCTTCTTATTTACTTTATTGCATTCAGCGCTGGATTGGTCTTGTGCTAGATTTGATAGTGGCATGTATTGCTGTCATCGTCATCGCAGTTGCAATCTCGATGAAGGGTAGCCCTTCCATGAACTTATTGGGTATCGCGCTGTTCAACATTGTCAACTTCAGCGGCACCCTTCAGACGCTTGTTACATACTGGATTGGATTGGAAACCTCCATTGGCGCAGTTTCTAGAATACGCTCATATGTGCTACAAGCCCCTACCGAGGATTTAGATTCCGAAACAGAGGCTGTTCCCGAGGACTGGCCTCAGCAGGGTGGGATTGATATAGCCGGTCTTTCAGCATCTTACGAGTATGTTCTTGGATGTTTCTTGGGTTTCTTCGGATACATGCTAAACAGACTTCCAGTGCCTCTTCGGAGCCTGTTCTCACAGGAATTGATCTCAAAATTCGCCCCGGCGAAAAGGTTGCTCTCTGTGGCAGGACTGGAAGGTTTGTGTTGTCCCACATCAGGTTGCGTCAGCACTCACTGACTATATTTTAGTGGGAAATCCTCCCTTGTTTCGGCAATCCTTCGAATACTAGAGCTAAAGAGCGGTACAATTCTCATTGATGGCATAGATATCTCAAAGGTCTCTAGAACACACGTCCGGTCCAGAATCAACACCATTCCGCAACAGCCCTTTTTCCTCCATGGCACGGTACGGCTAAATGCAAACCCGGAGCGAAATGCAACGGATGAAACAATCATTGTATCTCTACAAGCAGTCAATCTATGGTCTTATATTCAACTCAAAGGAGGGCTGGATATCGATATGTCTGATGATTTACTATCTCATGGACAGAAACAGCTCTTCTGCCTCGCAAGAGCACTTTGCAAATCCAGCAATATTATTATCATGGACGAGGCTACTAGCAGGTATGTGGAAAAAGCAACGGATATACGACCTTTTGCTAATAGACCTTGCAGTGTGGACTCGGACACAGATACGCTCATGCAAACCGTCATTCGAACGCACTTCAAAAATCAAACTGTCATCGCTATTGCGCATAAACTGCATACAGTTCTAGACTTTGACAAAGTTGCTCTCATGGAAAACGGCAAAATTGTGGAGTTCGATAACCCCAAAGCGCTTTTGTCAAAAGAGGGATCGGGCTTTAGGACTTTGTTGGAGGCTTTTCACGACAGTTCCAAAGAATAGACATGGGATAGATCATTTGTATATGATTTGGGACCAGAGATAATTTCGCAAGTTTCAAACCAAAGACAGCCGAGTTATAAATCAAGAAGAATTCGGAGTCTAGATGCTGCGCCTCCTATCTCGCTTAGGCTTGGGCTTTAACCTGGCCTGCTCCAACGAGGCTGAGACCTCCGCTTCAATCCCAAGATTCCACCATTTGTGGCTAGTCGCAGCATGGGCGAAAATATTTGTCAACATCGAGACAATATCTTGCGCATTGTGCACCCAGTGGTAAGCCTTCTTAGTCCACTAAAAAATGTATTAGTAGTGCTATAGCAAGTTTCACGAAGATTTCTCACCTCGCCATTTGGACGAATCCGGATAAACACCCACTCGAAACTGTCTGTTACAATTCCATACACTGACGTGTCTATAATCTTAGCCCGCTTCCTCGTCTCATGGACCATCGCTATTCATATTAGCACAAATTCAGTGTCATGTAAATCAAATTCACTTACCCATGTAGGCGAGACATTGAAACACGCCATGCTTAATCAAGTCTGGTTGCCTCGCCTCGATGATGACCATGTTAGTGGAATAGTCATCAGACATGCCATACCAAAGCGAGTAGTCAACGGTACCGGAGAGTTTCACCCGTCGGTCACCACTCTTCCAGATGAATTCTGTTTCGCGATCAAATTTCAGGTGAAGAGTTTTGAGTGATGTGTAGGAGGCAACAGGTGTACGGGACTCTGCAGGAAACTCGCGCTTCATCTTAGCTAGAATTGTCAGGATAACCACATTAATGCGGGATCGTATCAGGGTCTCGTTTATTGGTGAGCCACAGGTTGCTATGCCGTAATCTATGAGGACAGGATCTATACAAGTTAGTGTATACACATATTCATATCAATAATTAAACTTACTCAGGTGAGGAGGGAGAGAGACTTTTAGAGTCTTGCGAGGAGAAAATTCCAACTCGGTTGGCAGACAGTGAGTGAGGTTAAAGTGATGGGGAATCTCACTCGGTTCTAGGTCGGTAATGGCGATTGCAGACATCTCTTTTGATTTCTTGCGCATGGCACGTATCCTGTTTTCGAGGTCTTTGTGCTTCAACCTCCGAGATTCAACGATTTTCTCCATGGTTATAAAGGAAGGAGTTTAACAGCTGTGGAGTGAAAGAAGGAAAAAGAGATGTATAAGTCAGAGAGTAGAAGAATATCGGAATATCGGAATTTTCAAATCTGGCATGTGCGACAATACTTCTATAAGAGGCTTAGTATGGACTGGATATCTCCAAGTTCTAAGGTTGAAGGCCGTTTCCAGAAAAGGAAAAAGCACATAATATTAAGTCATGTGAGCGCCTCTCTCTCTCTTCTTCGTACCTTCTCTTCATTCCCTTCTCTGCTCCTAAATTTCTCAGCTTTATTTAATTTTACTTTCATCGCAATGATTGAAGAAGACTGTGCAATGATCAAGGCGACTGAGGAATACCAAGATGTAGTGGAGGCCTTTGGCCTCTCGCCTACTAGGTGGTGGAATAAGAGGCAACTGAACGCAAGGAACACCTGGAAGATCCCAAATCATCTCAGTGAGTTTCAGCTGATTATCCATCTGTTTTTGTATATTGTATGCTAACGAATGATTAGTGTGCTTGTGGGACGATCTTGAGCTAGTCACAGCTCGGGACGGTAGTATGCATCCACTATTCCCAATGAGAATAGAATCACTTCTCCTCGCTCTACTTGCAGATAAGATCAAGAAAGAGTCCCCTAATCCCCCTGGTTCCCATGCTCCCCTAAGCCCACCCCACTGGAGCTTTCGAAAGTGGATATCCAAGCTAGGAATTGAAAACGGCAAATATATAGCCCCAGAGAGCATCATTGACTACGTTTTGTGGTATGGCCACTGGGGGGAGCTGGAAACAAACATGATCGTTATGAAGTCTAAAAGTCCGGTGACTCGGAGTTGGACTTTGCTTCAAAACATGGCGAGTATTCATTATGCTCGTAAACTCGCAGGAAGAGACGCAGCTATCTACGGTGTCATAACTGACGGGTCAAAATGGGTATTCATACATCTAACAAATAAATGTCGGGTAGGTAACCCTGGAAGCCCCGGTGTGTTTGAGAGGAAGTTTGAGCAATCTTTTCACTAACACTTCTTTTTTAGTACACAATCAGGGTATTCTCCTGGGAAGACGAGCAGCACCGGATTATTGGCCAGATCCAGCATATAATTGACCAGGCAGTTGCTTGTCACAGAAAGATACTGTCACGCTCTTCTCTGCCTACGCCTACTGTTCACCAAATTAGTGCCCGTCAAATCAGAGAGCTGCCTGCCCCATGCCATAGCCCTGATGATGATGATGATGATTACAATTCCCGTGTTACTGAGGAGAATACAGATATACCCCTTTTGACCTGGTGAATTGCTGGAAACACATGTGTTGTAACTATCTACGGTGGGCACGTTGGACAGGGGTAATGCTTGACGTCTCTCATATTCTCGTGGTCTTTCCATTGAGTCCTTTTCTTCCTCCTCTCTTTGACAATTTTAGACTTTCTAATACAATTGTATTGCTTCATGCTTATAATCTCATCTAACAATACAATTAGTGGTGGCATCTCTCCTATTCAAGATCCCAGCTGCATATGTAGTTCCAATCTCTCCGACAAACTTCTAATTACGACACCAAAATGTATTCCTGCTACCTGTAAAAGATCCACAAGTGCAATCTGTATAACTAGCTGTACATAGTAAGCCTGCAGTTTATGCCTGAGGCATCAATTCTTTGCAACCTGGTTAAACATAGTTACATCGTTGTCCAATCACATGATGTCTACACCCACTTCGAGGCACCAAGGTTAACAATATTCCTCATTCCTGTCATTCACTCAACATATAATATCCGTCTAGATGTCTATTGCAACACTTCCCACCGAGCTCATATGTGATATCTGCAGCTATCTGGAGCTACGCGACTGGATTGCTTTTCGAACCACCTGCCCTGCAGTGTACATGAAGTCGCTGGATGCTTTCGCGGACCGGTACTGCAAGAGTATCGGCCTGATCCTCACCAGTCATAGTCTTGGTCGATTAGAAGAACTCGCCGCAAATTATAGCTTCCGGACACGAGTCCAAGAGCTATGGGTTGTACCGTCCTTATTCGGGGGCTTTTATGAGATGGATGTTGATTCCTTCAAGTCCTGTATCACTTCACATAGAGACAGGCCATCTAAGACCGTCGCCCAGATCAATTCTCAGTACACTGCATATCAGGCTGTAGTGGAAGATCATCTCGGTATCATCGAATCCGGTACTCTTAACAACGTCCTCAACGAATGTGTGGCACTCTTTAATAACCTCACCGTTATTAGAATGCAACTCAAGGACTCGGACTTTTTCTGGAATTCAAATCCTATGATAAAGGATGAGGTCCAGTTTCTCGGTTGGCGCGGGGTAACACGCCAACTTGGATTCAACCCATTCGGATTTAACGTCCGAAAACCCATTCACAACCTGTGGAAGAGCAGAGCGAAGGACCATGCCATAGCTTTTGCGGCTCTCCTAGAGGCAGCCGTTGCCTCTAACAGGAAACTCAAGAAGTTGAACACATGCAATGGTGACCATTGTGCTCTGCCACCTTCAGATCTTACACTCAAACTCACGCACAAATCCTTACTTTCCTCCCTGAAAGGATTAGAGTATCTGCACCTCTGCATCTGCGTCTGGGAAGTACAGTCAGACGATTCTAAACTCAGATACCTCATCGATATCCCTATAATGATTGCACCGAGTCTCAAGGTCCTAACATTCTCACAGTGGGACCGGAACGGTGCAATGAGCCCTCAGTATTTTATCAACCTCTCCCAGCGTATCAACTTTACCCAGCTAGTGGAACTTAATCTCTATTGGATTGAAATCACATATGATACCTTCAAGACGTTTTTACGCACCACAATTCCAACTTTGAGGATTCTTGCGCTACAGTCCTTGAATTTGAGGGGTGCGGCCCCAGTGGACACCGACAGTGGCCATAATCTGTCGAAATGGGACTCTCCAGAGATAAATGAGCAGAGCAGTGCTGCTTGGCGACAGGTTTGGGATTTCCTCGGTGACAGATTCTCGCTACGGTCTCTTTCCTTGCAACATCTCGGTTATCGGGGCCATCGTCTGCATTTGCGCGATAATTTGAGCAAGCTGAGTGGATCTACCGAGCCGAATGGGCCGGTAGTTGCTGTCTTCAACGCCGAACGAGCTGGTGTTTCCTTTAAGGAATGGGTCACTCAGCTACAGACAGGGCCTCCACGGGGTCCACGGATGCGTTATGATAGTTTGCCAGGGAAAGATTATACTGCGCAGATGGTTTGACATTTATGTAGTTACATGAAATCCTTACTAGCAGTTTTGGAATTGTTACATATCAAGCATAGAATTAGTGAACCTAAACTGTAAGCACAACTTTCCCTCGACCATCAAACCTCCCATTAGCATAATCATAAGCTTCCCTCACACGCTCAATTCCGAAACTAGCAGCAACAAACGACCGCAACTCCCCCCTCGCTGCCAACTCACTCAGCGCACGCAACACCTCCCCACTCCCCTCAATAACAAAAAACAACGCCTTAATTCCATCCCTCTTCAACCCACGCTTCGCATGAGCCTCAACAAAATCAAAGCTCGCAGAATCAACAGATATCAAAGCCCCTCCCTCCTTCACAAACTCCCAACACCTCTCCAGAACCTCCCCACCAACCGAATCAACAATAACATCAAACCGGCCCTCCTGACCACTCTCCAAATCCGCATACTCAACAACCTCATCAGCCCCCAACTCTCTCAAAAACTCCCCATTCCTCGCAACAGACCCACTAGCCGCAACAACATGCATCCCCGCCCGCGCAGCAAGCTGCACGAGGAAAATCCCAACTCCACCAGCAGCACCAGTAACAAGCACACGCTTTCCCAGCTGACGAGCCTGCTGGTGATCCTCCTCCTGGTGATCCTGCGGCTGCGACTGCGCACTCCCGCCAATAAGCGGAGACTGAAGGCCCGCATGCACAAAGAGCGCCTCGTACGCCGTCTGCGCGCTAAGCGGTAATGCCGCCGCCTCTTCCCACCCGAGACCCGCTGGTTTGAGTGCGACTTCGTCAGTTGTGACGAGCGCGTAAGACGCCCATGTTGATCCGCGGTCTGCGGATGTCATGCCGAAGACGGCGGTGCCGGGTTCCAGGGTTGTTGTTGAGCCTGGGGAGATTGATGCTACTATACCTGAGAAATCGTGGCCTGGGATTGTGTATGGTTGTTGGTATGTCTCGGGCCATGTCAGCATGTCGCGGATTATGGTCGTTGCTTTGATTTGGATTAAGAGTTGGTTTGGGGCTGTCGGGGTTGGAATGGGGATTTTGTCATTGTGGAGAGCTGTTGTTGGGGCGGGGTAGGTTGGGGAATAAGGTGTCTCAGATGACGGTGCTGGATGGACACGGATGGCTTGCATTTTTATGGAGTTTTTGGTGTATGAATTTGTTTTGAAGATAGGTTTGAGGAGTTGATTGAATGGATGTTTTGGCTTTTATGTCCTCCAAGTATGGTTCCGCAGGTAGGCTATTGCCTAGCGGCTGTACCCGCTCGATCACGGCCGAGCTACCTAGGTACCTTTTTGCTCCCTGAGTAGATCTGAGCACGCCCCTGACCGCTCACTGAGTATTACATAAGCGCTCTGATTAAACATGCAAACTAATCAAACGGATGTATATCCAACAGACCTCATGGTCTCATGAATCTCAACATAGTCTGCCGATAATTATCGTACCGACAACTCAAAAGCCTCGCCGATATCTAATATCGGCAATTTCGAATATTCGCAACAGCCCTACGAAAACCCCTCTTAGGGGTAGAACATGCGATTCTTTTTCTTGTCACATAGCATTGTGTAGTCAATCTGGTCTTACTTCGATTTAAGATGCTTCTGCAGTTCTCTCCTCTCTTTCGAGTTTCAGATCACCCTTCTCATGGGAGACCCGAAGTTGGACACTTGTGTCGGCTGCCTCCTTTTCCATACTACTCGCAGTCATGCAGTCACTTGTATCAATGTCGTCCAACCCATGGTATAGAAAGGCAAAGATAGAGGATTTCCAAAGCGTTATGTTCTTGTTGCCAAGAAGAACAAGAATAAAAAAAATAATCCCAGAGCTCACGATTAAGCCTGGCAGAATCAGCCAGGGCCACTGTACCACAACGAAAACTTCGGTATCATACGCGGTACCATTCACATCTTCTCCGTCATTATACAATGCCATCTTGTTTAAAGAGTTAGCGACGTTGGACATAACGTGCTCGAGACTGGCGCTGGCAATGCGCTGTGTACTTGGAGTTCCTCTTTCCGCCAGATCATCCCATATTGTAACCTTTCCATCGCTCGACACATAGGATCCAGTGCTTGAGCCAACAAAGGGGGCGTCAGTGAGTAGGACGGCGACTTCAATATCACAGAATGCAAATTCGACTGGGCTCAAGGTAGGAGTTTTCCAGCTGTCGTCTCCTAGATAGACATCGTAAAAAGGGGTGCTCGGGGGGGCTAGACTCTGGCTTCCAACACAAGCCTCTCAAGGGAGGAATGGTGGAATTGGTGGAATTGGTGGAATTGGTGGAACTGGTGATGTTTCTCCAAAATAACTGGCCATAATCGATGTTTGATGCTTCGGCCATTGTGGTACCCTGATCAACTGAAATTTGCCAGTCACCTAGACAAATAGCAAGGCTACACTCAGTGACTTTATCAACCTTGAGCCCCTTGATTGGATCAGACAAGTTTAAAAAAGCTGATTCGTATCCTATTTTGACATAGGCGAGCACCATCAAAGGGTTGGTGACCCCCATGAAGGTAGAGTTATCGACATGTTGGATAAATTCGACTGAGGCATCAGGAACAAACCCCGAGTAGACAAGCCATGTTATGTTCTGTTGGAGATCCACGTATTGACGGTGAGTGCTTTGGTTCGCGTACGCAATCGTGAATGAGGAATTGACGACCGTGGACTGCCCGAGTGGCGGAGTGACATGACACGATGCATTGAAATGGTGGGCTTGTGCTTCACGATCCATATAATCCCAATGGGACTCGTTATCGCGGGGATTTTTGTGACAGTCAAAGGCCACAGATGGAGTAATGTCGGCGCATTTGCTACAAACACCAACAGAACGGAACACCGGCCAGGTACAGTTTCCAGACGAGCAGGTTGCATGAAACAAATTGTCGTCAGACCAGACTCCAGATGAGTAGGCTATATTCCACTGTATTCGGGTCGCATATGGGACGAAGAATTTTAATTTCTTAGTTACCGCAACACCAGTGCCATCACTTATAGCTGCTGATCGGGTTGGGTATTTCGTGATCTGTTGAACGAAAGGATCAAAAGCAAGCAACAGAACAATGATTGCGGCCCCAAAGGTGGCGAGTGATCTTTTTCTTTGGAATATCATCATAATCGAGCCAAGCGGGCCCCGGCTAGCACTATCAAAGGTCTGCATGTCGAGGAGCGGCTTAGATGCACGGCGGAACCAGACCCATTTGATTTGACTTAGGGCTTCTCCGATCATAAACAACAGTGAAGATTTGCAGCCGGTCGCAAGCACGGAGATAATGGCATTCAAAGATAAGCCGTGCCACAGGTCGGGTCGAGTTTTATTGTTGTAGGCTAGAAGGATGGCACATATCGCGATAAAACAGGCAATGCTAAAAATGGCAGCGAGTATTTCCAGGAGCCATGTATTGAGACAACGAGTGTTCCAGCCTTTATGTTCTCGGGCTTTAGTAGGTTTTGAGGACATATTGACACTCGAATATTGAAATGAAATAGTAGAACAGAGTTGAATTTAGGCCAAGGAGCCTAAGAGCCTCATATACTCTGAAGACCCTATTCCTCGGGGAGATACATTCCAAGGAGGTGGCTTGGAGTCTGAGCTGAGCCTCTTGGGGTGTGCTCAGGTGTGTCCCAGTCCTTGCATAATACTACCACAGCATAGCACTGATTAGTTTGTGATCGACATGGAGGATGGAACTTCCAGCCTGGAAGTACTTATATAACGCATTGAATAAAATATATTAATTGGTTTCATTAACTACCAAGTAGTCACAGGAGACAGAAAACTATGTGCAAAAAAGCAATGCTGGCTGTACAACCTAAAGAAAATGAACTCATGTGGACATATGTGCCCTCCTGTTTCCACTCCAGAAAAAAAAAGCATTTACTCAACCGAGGGCAAGTCGGCCGAAAGAGGCAACTTGCGGGATGAGTTGCCAACATACACCTTCTTCTGGGCGTTGGAGATAACCCAGTTCTGGGAGGCAACGTCCCAGTTGGAGACATCGCGACGGTTCAGAGTGGTGGTCCACTGGATGGTCTGGCCAGGGGCAATGGTGACTCGATCAAACTGGCGGAGTACCTTTGACGGGTCATCATCGCCGCCGAGGGAGACGTACAACTGGGGAACCTCGTCACCAGTCACGGAGCCGGTGTTGGTGATAGTAGCGGTCACCTGGTAGAGGTCTTCAAACAGAGCTGGGTTACCACCGGAGCTGCCGCTAGAGGGGAGAAGGTCCTGGGGAGAGCCATCGGTAGCACCCTCAGGGAGGTAGTCCTTAGAGTCCATACCGTAGTCGGGGTCACCGGACGAGGCACGCAGGTCGGTGGAGTTCAACCACGGGTAAAGGTACTGGCGGACACGCTTAATTCCCTCAGGGAACAGGTTATCCGAGACTTTGCCAGATTCACCGAGAACGGGGGCCTTTTGGCTCTTTCCAGTGGTCGGTTTGTATGTGCGGCGCTCGGATGAGGTAAGAGGAGTGACCTTGAGGTCGGAGAAGGCAAATTTGGTGTAGCTCAGACCGTAACCGAACTCGTAAATGGGTTCAATGTTGTCCTTGTCGAAACGGCGATAGTCAATGAAGACACCATCCTCGAAGTTATCTTGAGGAGCACCCGCACCATTGTTAGGCACTGTGAGGAGAGGCGGGCCATAGTCCTTGCGAGTCTTACCCCAGGTAAATGGAGTTTTACCACCAGGGTTGATGCGACCATATAGTATGTCCACCAAGCTACGGCCACTTTCTTGGCCGGGCAAGCCAGCCCAGACAATGGCGGTAATGTTGTCGTTGTCATACCAGTCGCTAATCAGAACAGCAGCTGTGCTGTGAATCACGACGATAGTGTTGTTGCAGTGTTGACTAGCAGTCTTGATCACCTCTTCGCCGTTCTTCCAGAGAGTCAGGTTCTTACGGTCACCCTCGTTGCCGTCGACGTTAATGAAACCCTCGCCAGAGTCGGCGTTCACGAAAACGAGGGCAACATCAGCCTGGGAAGCAAGAGCGGCCATTTCAGTGAGGGCCCAGTTGTCAGTCACAGCGAAGACGTTAGTCTGCCCGTTACTGTATTCCAGGACTTCATTTTGGATGGCTTGCTCGGGTGTAATCAGGTAAGGGAAGTCCGCACTTCCACTACCCCAGCCCATAGCCAGAGTTCCGTTGTCACAGCCACGGTCTTTGCAGCCATTGGCGCCATAAGCATTAGACCCGGCGTCCTCTCCGAGAATGCCGATGAACCTCTCACTGTGGGTAAGGGGCAGTGCACCGCCCTTGTTCTTAAGGAGAACAGTGCTATCAGAGCCAATCTTGCGAATGATCTGAGCGTGGTCACGCTGGACATTCACGCGCTCGTTGACCTTGGCCCAGCCCTCACTGACCGCGGAGTGCTCGAAGTTGTACTCATCACGGGTCCAGGAGCTGAAGTTAGGAGGAGTGCGGAAGCGGTCGCGTCCAACCTTGTAGTAAGCAGACATGATTCGGACAGCCATGTCGTCGACGCGCCATTCCGGGACAGTACCGTTCAGAACAGAGATGGTCAGGTTGGTTCCCCAGTAAGAGTAAGGGCTGCCGAGAAGGACGTCACCGGGCATAGACATATCTAGGCCGGCCAGAGCAGATTCAACACCGCTGTGGTGCGCACCCCAGTCACTCATAACAAAGCCCTGGAATCCCAGCTCGCCCTTTAGCAGCTTATTGAGGGAGTAGCTATTTGCGCAACCGTAGCTGTTGTTTATCTGATTGTAAGAGCACATGACAGATCCAACACCAGCTCGGATGGAGTCCACAAAAGGCCAGAGGTACAATTCGTGCATAGTCTTGTCGTCAATGTTTGAGCTCGAACTCTGGGAGATGTTGTACCCATATCCCTGAGCCTCGCCGGACTGACGGAAGTGCTCCTGTTCGTTTCCAATGAGATGCTTAGCACAAGCAATGACACCAGCATCCTGCATACCCTTGATGGTTTCGGACATCATCACACCAGTCAAAACGGGGTCAGGCGAGAAGCCTTCCCAGTTACGACCGCCATCGGGATACTTGCCAAGAGGGCCAGCAACAGGACCCAATTGCACATCCACGCCTTTGTCACGGTGCTCCTCGCCCATTGCCACACCGCGCTGGTAGGCAAGTCGCTTGTCCCATGCTGCGGCAACATTGATACCAGAGGGGAAACCAGAGTTGTAATCACCTGTTTTGGTATCATTAGTTAACTGCACCAAGCTTATTCGGGTCGGGCAATCTTACTAAAGCGCACACCCAATGGCGAGTCCTGCAGACACATTCCCCACATTCCAAGTCGGGGAATACCACCAGTCTCACCAACACATCGGTCTTGCTCCCAACCAGTACCGGTTGTCAGGTTGACTTTCTCAGCCAATGTCAAATTAGAGACAAACTCGACGGCGCGTGTGTATGCTTCGGACCACTCGCCCGCACCAGTCATCCATGGGGAGGGATAATATGGAGGAGAATAGGCCAGCGACTGTTTTGACGCGACTTGATTAGCAGTGATCTTACTAAACGATTGAAATTGGACTCACATTCGCATTAGCCACCGAGGCCGTCAAGGCGGCCACCTCAAGCCAGGCGAACTTCATTGCTGTGAAAGTGCTAGAGATGATTTCACAGAGACAGCACAAAAGAAGTTGTTGAAGGGAGAGGGCGTGAGGAAGGAACGAGTCACAGATCTCGGAGGGGAAAACTGGGATCTTAAATATTCGGTTTCTCGATTTCTTGATTGCTCTCAGGGGATGTAATACCTAGGTAGTATGTATGCATAACGTCTAGGATTTACTCCATAAAATGAAACCAATAATAAAAATGAAATGGAGAAATGGAGGAAAGGATCGACAAAAGGATGCATCCTCCCACGAATTACATTATATCGTGTCCTATGATTGGCTATGGCTTATTCCTACTGGAGCTGAAGTTCAGTTAAGTCGGAGACACACTCATCCTTGAAAGGGGACACAAAGCATAATTGTGGCTGGTAGAGGAGACAAGAACTCAAGGAGAAGCAAAGGGTTGAGAAGTACAACCCCTTTCCCAAGGATGTTCAGACACCTGAGAATTACCCAGCCACGCCCTCTTAAACCATCACAACGTACACTCCCCTGGGCCAGGGCTATTAATTATTAATTCCCCTGGACTCCATCACCTTGCTTCGATTCGGCATACGAGAATGGCTAAACTTTCTAGGGGATCCCGGAGTTTAGCTTCTTGCATGTGTTGTGGTGGTACTCCGTAGTTATACGAATCACAACTACATGTACACATATTTGGTGTTGGCTATCCCAATCATTTTGTGGCGTGACTTCCAAGATTCTAATCTGATTTGACCATTTTCTCGCGTTCAACAGATCACCACTCATCCTGCCAAATGGGGAAACCCTTCTCATTCCCTCCGAGAGTGTGGGGAAACAAACCTGGACCATCCGGGGCTGTTTCTAGGAATCCCGATACAAAGTGTTCCATGCATATTTACTTCCACTTCCTACTCCCAATATACATTCGAACCATGGACGTCATCCGCTAAGCGTTTTTAGATATAAGCGTTTTCGCTACCGTGGGGACCCCGAGTGCGGGAGCCCCGCACTCCAGACTCAGGGACTCAAGGATCTAGCTTGCATCATATTAATGACTATGTCATATCATGGCACCGGTGAGCCTTATTAGCCAAAAAAGTATCAGACTAATCAACAATCTTGGCCAAGTCGGCGCCTTCTCGGACCAGGATTATTTTCGGGTTTAGACTCCAATAATGGCTGCCCAATGAAACTTCCAATGATGTGCTGCATACTACCTAGCGAGGTCCCTCCACCGAGAATGTCTACCGAAATGTCCCCGGAAATGTCCCCGGAAATGTCCCCCACACTTTTATGTCCCGGCATCGGACCCAAAACCCCGTATCTCCGGGTCTTCGGCTCAGGCCACACTGCCAGTCTTAGCCTAAGGCACGGTTTGGCATCTCCTAGTACAATCTCACTTAATGCATGTCTCAAACCATCCCCCACTCCCGACTAAATACCGCTCTGTATTTTCTTGAAAGTCACCAGCCGGAAGAGAAATTCGGACTATTCCAAAACTCTACTGCCCGCAATATGAACAACTTTATATGGAGAAAACGCTGATCCCCGACGGAATGCCCCGCCAAGCAGGCAGGCATACCTTCCCTTTTTGTGGCTAATAATCAGTGTTACGGCTCGAAATTTTTGGGTTTCAAGGCTTCTGTCGGTTGGAGATTCGGCAGTCCGAGTGCTCGCTCGTACGGGTGCCGTTCAGTTTCCGGATAGTAGCGAGATGGGCTTATCCTTTTAATTTGGTTCAATTTTAGTTGGGTGGTTCTCACATATTGTCTAGTATGCTACATTGAAAATATGACACATTTACATCATCAGCATAGCCAATTCCATAGCTCTAGGTTATGCTCCAGCTCACAAAACGTCGGCCATTTCACCCGGACCGTCTGAATGTGGGTCTGGCCAGAAAATATCCCGCACGGGCTTGTTGGTGTAGAGTGGACCCGCAGCTTGGGTAGGATGTTCAAGCGTAAAATCATCTAATTCGGGGTCTAGGGCCGAGGAGCCGTGCTGACGTTCTAGTAGTCAGCGGCATCTTGACCGAACTTGTTGTACTCAATGCGCACGGCTGCAAATGACAAGGATGACAGATCTGAACGCGATTCTTGGTAACAAATGTAGTCTCCATGCCCATTCTCTTGTCCAGAGTTGGGGACAGCTAGAACTAGCAGGTGTGCTCAAATGTTGATACCCCCGATGACTGTGAAGTCAAACCAATGCCAAAGTCAAACATCACTGCTGATATCGTCTAGCACTTGAAACAGAATGTGATTTTGAACTCTGCATCCTGTACCATTCGCACCTGCTCGGAACCCAGACCAAATTTTCCGTCGAATCTCATCAACATCAATGCCTTTGGTGTTGTATTGGTTGATCATTTCTTCTGCAATGGCACACAGCGTCGAATTGAGCACATCTTCATCAGATACCGTTTCCGGATCCTGTCTATCGGACTGGCATCCACACAAAGCCGGATCTTCTTCTTGCGGGGATTGCTTTGGTGGCTGATCTGTTGGTTGCACTACTGTCGAGGCACATGTATTATTGACTGCCACTGGTGGTTCGGCTGTTTCTGAATCCTTTTTGTAGACGCGAGGTACTGCCATCGACAAATTCGATCTGCGAGTGTCCCGACATGGGAGAGGCAGAGCATTGTCTTCCTCTACTCGCTGAATAGCAGGGATAGCAACCTTCCTGTTCGTGTTTGCTCCCGTATCCGCTTCCTGCAGATACTGCTGGACAGAAGCAGTCGAAACTCCCAGTGATCCCAGAAGAGCTTTCAAATGCCGATTTTCGGCCTCGACCTTTGCGTTGCCAGTCGGTGCTCGATGTCTTTTTGGTGGGCTTGTTCTTTATATACCGCTAGACGCTGCTCTAACTCATTCACGTACTCCTGCTTCCGGGCTCGACTCTTGCGTTGATTCTCACGCACGCGTGCGAGTCGCTCCACAGTCTTCTAGGCTAGTTAGGTTTCATGTATTGGCCGCAGCTACTTAAATAGATGTGACTGACCTTCTGGTCTTTTGCTGAATCCATCGGTTGCTGACCCAGGGGTGTGGCACATGACTGGTTTAAATATCAGTCAAAATTGGCGTGCAAAGCACTCATGGGAATGGATGGTGATATGGTAGGTGTCGTGGCAGGTGTCGTGGTAGAGAAGTTTGGCATTGCCTCCTTGGAATTTCGAGTTCGGAGAAATGATGCTTTGTTGCCTGACTTTTATGGCTGCTATTTATTATCACGTGATCTGGTCTTTCTTTAGAACCGAATTAGGTATGATTATTTGGTTTCATGGAGAAATCATATTATTTGAATACATATCAGATTTCAGATTTCCCTATGGTTCTAATGGCATTGATAAAGATACTCTGTTCAAAATGCAGCACTGTTGAATGTGTCAATCCAGATCCCGGGTCTCCTTTGAAACCGCTTCTAGCGGTAGTTCGCTAGGAGACCTATTTTCACGCAATATATCCTACCTGAAAGATAAAAGATACAAAAAAAAATTGATTGGGTGATTTTCTTGTTTAAAAAAACTTTCCTGGACGAACTGAGCGAGAGGCGAATGTGGAATCCCAACCGGTATTGTGTGAATTTAGTAGTCATATCAAATAGTGGCAGGCCTTCAATTTGATGCTTTCTTTACAGATAAATCCGGGATGTACCCGTCGACCTGACCATATGCATGAGACATACGATGAGTTAGGGAGGAAAAGCAAAAAGAACGAAAGTGATGTATCTATTGGGTTAGGTTCCTATATGTAGGTAGCCTCGAGCATGTTACCTACACTCTACGTATCTCAAAGACAAACACTGCCATTTAAGGGGGAGACATGTAACCTACGGGATAGTTAACTAGTGTTAGTCAACTAGTTAGTTATTCATATGTACATAGTTACATATATAAGTACTATGTAGCAGTTTATAAGAGGGAGCAAGTAACAGGCAAGTAGTATACTACTAGTTATGTAGAGATAGAGACCGGCCACTAACTAGAGCCCATTACAAAAGGATTCAACAGAATTTACAGTCAGTTTTTCAATTCAGCTCTATACGAAAAGCGAGAGAACGGGAGGCAAATAAATAAATAGCCATCGAATGCAGGTCGCAAACGATCACCCTCGACGTCATTGGCCGTCAGTCGCGCCTGAGCTGCTAACTATGTAACCCCCAACCACCGGTATTCTTTCTCTGCGCCTAACCAGTTTCTACCTGGAATTTTCCCCTGTAGCAGTAAATTTCATTAAAATTGTATTCGACTCCCTCCTATTCATATTTCTGCATCGCAAACCCTTCCATCATGGTCTCCACGCGACACCATCCCGACGAATTCCCCTCTCCAGAGGCCGGGAAAGAACTGGCCAAATCACCACCAGCTACCACCAGCGCAAATTCACGCAAATGGACCCATACACCCGCCGCTGCGCTGACAATCTGGCTCATAGCTTCAGTTCCCTTGGTCATCTGGGACGCGGGCTATGTCTTGTTGCGACCGCATAGCATGCCTGGTGGAAGACTGCACTCTCCCATCTGGACACCTTATGCGCTGTACGGAAAGGTCGACTATATCTACGGTTGGCCCGCCTTCAATGCTCATAATGGCTTCACGGCTGCGCAGAGTATCCTCAATATCATCGAGACTACCGGTTACATCTACTACCTCTGGATTGTCTACCACCATGGATCGACTGTCGGAAGAGGTGGATCGCAGAAGATCTCCAAGGGATTCACCTGGTTGCTGAAGGGGGACAAGGTGGTTGCTGGGCGTATTGGTGCCACCGCGCTTTTGGTCGCCTACACCGCGTCTGTCATGACCTTGAGCAAGACTGTCCTTTACTGTAAGCTGCATCCATTGCCTGGGATTGTATGTTGGATTATAACACAAGACATAGGGCTCAACGAGATCTTCTCCGGCTTCGAGAACATTGGTCACAACGAACCGCTCACTCTCTTCTTCTACTGGATCCTCCCCAAGTGAGCCCACCTAGTGCATGCTTACACAAAACATAAAACTAATTCTATATACTAGTGGCCTGTGGCTCGTGTTTCCCAGCTACAATATCTATATTCTCGGAGCCGAGATTTTGAACTCGCTTGAACTCGCAACACCGCGCCAGAAGGTCGGACGCCCGAAATCCACGTAGGGTCAGTCGCGCAAACTAGGGAATAGCTTGCATACAGAAACGCGACATGTGCGATGAAGATAGCGAGTTTGTTTGAGAGAGAAAAAAACTCGAGTCACTTCGGCCTATCTATCGGTACGTGGCATTTAGATATGACTAGTATGAGAGAGAGAGAAAAGGTCTTGCTTCTGTAGTGAACTCGAGATGGTCAATGAATATCCCATCATGTTTTTTATCGCCCAGTAAGGATCCCCTGGCACGTATCTGTATGCTCGTCCTAGTCTTCTGTCAAGCTTCCGGTATGTCAGCCTAGATGCCAATCCAGCTGTGCTACTCTCCTAGGTATTCTGGCCTGTTCCGAGAGAGTTGAACATGCTACGAGTATATCTATGAAGGTAGTATGGATTTGGAGCTACTTGTGATATTCGTGGCTCGAGGGAAGTTGGATTACAAATATATTTTGGTATAGGGGTTCAAGGGGATATAGTGTTAGGGCAAAGCCTCCGGATGCAACACGTAACCTCAAGTCGATTGCGTAGATATTTTCCTCTACTTCAAGTTTTTTTTTTCCTTACCTACAGCCTATCTTGGTTCTTCATCCTCCAGTAGAGACCGTGGCCGAGTTTCCGTAATATCGGCATTGCCAGTGGCCGAATTATTTGCCAAGCAACCATTCGCCGCTGAACCTTTCCCCATATTTAGGACCTCCAACTTCACTTCTCCTCAATCCCGACTTTCTCCCGGTTTCTCGGTCTCCAAACCCCACGCAAAAAACCACTTACCCCGGAATCCAACACGCCCTCCGTCTCGGAAGCGCCTTCTTTTGTTCCCGACCGTGCCGAAGGATGCTTCGGGCCTTGCTCCTGGGGTATCCGCACCCGTCATGATCCAAACCGTTTCCGACGAATCGCCATCGAAAACCCCTGGTGTCAGCTTTGACCTAGGCCAGGAGGAGGCAGCAGCAGCTCTCGAAGACTTTGACACGCAAAGCCATGCAAGTTCCCGTGACCCCGGTAGCACACAAACAGTCGACCCCGCGGTAGGCGCGGACAACGGCACGCTAGACCAACGAGACGACTCCGGCAACGGCCCGTCCAATTTTGAACATCTAAACGAAGACGGTAAACCGGCTTGGAGCGAAATGAAGACTAAGGCTGGGAAGGAGCGGAAGCGCCTGCCACTGGCATGCATCGCATGCCGTCGCAAGAAAATCCGCTGCTCGGGCGAGAAGCCCGCCTGCAAACATTGCACACGCTCAAGGATTCCGTGCGTGTATAAAGTTACTACACGGAAGGCGGCGCCGCGCACGGATTATATGGCTATGTTGGACAAGCGACTGAAGAGGATGGAAGATCGCGTAATCAAGACAATACCTAAGGAGGAGACGAGGGATATGCTCTCGATTGGAAGATCGGTTGTCAAGCCTTCCGCCTCGGTTCAGCCGTCAAAAGCACAAAAGAAACGAAGCGCCGAGGAGGCGTTTGCGGCGGAAATGGATGAATGGACTAGTGGGACCGGCCGCCCACCACACGAGACGTTCCCAATGAATCGCGAAATAAAATCCACCGATGGGACTGGGCTTCTGACCGAAGGGGCCGAGTTTTTGCCCTCATTGGAGATTCAGGAGCATCTTGCAGAGATCTTCTTTGATTGTGTCTATGGGCAGTCATATCTCCTATTACACAAACCCAGCTTTATGCGACGGCTTAAAGCCGGCACAACTCCCCCTGTCCTGATTCTTGCTGTCTGTGCCGTATCTGCGCGGTTCTCTACACACCCTCTGCTGAATTTGGATCCGCCATTTTTACGTGGAGAAAACTGGGCTAATCCCGCTGCGGCCATCGCTCTGAGTCGGCATGATGAGCCGAACATTACCATTCTTACTGTCTTCTTGCTTCTTGGCCTTCATGAATTTGGAACCTGTCATGGTGGGCGAAGTTGGTCTTTTGGAGGTCAAGCATTACGGATGGCATACGCGTTACAGCTCCACCAGGAGCTTGATCAGGATCCATTACTCAGTCAGACGAATGGCGCCGGTTCACAGTTGAGCTTCACTGATCAAGAAATCCGGCGCCGGACTATGTGGGCATGTTACTTGATGGATCGGTATAACTCTTCCGGAAGTCAACGGCCACCTATTGGGAATGAAAAGTTCCTACAAATACAGCTTCCTATCAAGGAACCTCATTTCCAGATGGAGATACCTGGTCCAACGGAAGATCTTGACGGCGATATCATTAATCCTGTTCCTGAGGATGCAGGCCAATTATCTAATGCTAAAGAAAATATGGGTGTTTCCGCGTACATTATTCGCGCTATCGTCATCTGGGGGCGCATTGTCGACTACCTGAATTTGGGTGGGAAAAGAAAGGACGCACATCCACTTTGGCATCCAGAATCAGGGTACACCCAGCTTAAGCGGCAAATTGAGGAGTTTTCTGCGTCTCTTCCGGCATTTCTTACCTTCACCTACGAAAATCTTCAAATCCACGCAGCGGAGAAGATTGCAAATCAGTTCATTTTCCTCCACATCATCACACATCAAAACATGCTGTTTCTCAACCAGTTCGCCATTCCCTTGTCCCCGGGAGGGCGTCCGCCGAGAGATATGCCCAAGTCCTTCCTCAGTAATGCAGGTCGGGCTGCGGTGGAAGCAGCGCATCACATTTCAGTACTTTTTGATCGGGCTTCAGCCTATCCCCTCACTGTTCCTTTTGCTGGGTACTGCGCTTACTCGGCAAGTACAGTCCACATCTGGGGAATCTTCTCGAAGAACGTCCAGCTGGAGGCACGGTCGAAAGAAAACCTCCGGCATACGTACCGCTATCTCAATAAAATGAAAAAGTACTGGGGCATGTTCCACTATATGGTTGAAAGTGCCAAGGATCGGTATCGGCAGTTCGCTGATGCGGCTATCAAGGGCTCTGTGGCAATTCAGAATGGCGCATCGCTAACACCCATGTTCCAATATGGTGACTGGTTCGACAAGTATCCGCATGGAGTGTCAAGGGTGCATTGGGAGGACCCCGATACTCGAGGCAAAGAAACGGGCGAAGACGCAGTCATGGGCCAAAAACCCGACCTCCAGAGCGTAGAAGATTTCTTTGCCGGCCTTTCCCCTACTCCACAGCCAAGTCAACCCCGCAAATCACGATCTCGCAAGAACAGCAAACTATCAGATGGAGCTCCAGGCATGGACCAGACTTCACCGCAGTCAATGATGGAAGTGGCCATGGGAAACGCCCCGGGTGTTCCAGGCAGTGCATTCCCACAGCCATCCATGCTCCAACAATCCCGGCCAATGTCCTTCGGCCAACCACCATTCGACTTCAGCATCCCACCAGACCAATTACCTCAACTAGACCGGCAATTCGTCTACGGTTCATTTTCCGACTTTGACCCTACCTCATTCGTCCCAAACAATCCTCCAATCCCACCGCTCAATGGCGTTGAAACACAAAGTCCAGATCAAGCACTGTTCACGGGCCATCTGGACCCAAGTGCCCCTGCTGGGATGGGCGAGTTCTACCAGCCCAGCGCGTGGTTCCTCCCCTTCAATCTTGACCCTGTTGGCGGTGGAAACCCACCACCACACGCTCCGCCCCCAGTTCCCATGTCTGGGGGGAGCAATCGTGGTGGCACGCCATCCGGGATGCCTTCTGTAGATATGTCTGGCTTTGGTGGCGCTGGGGGGCATGCCTTTCGGCCCATATGATCTTGGTTTATCTGGTTCGGATATGAAATTCTCACGGCCATGATCGGGTGTTTTTCATCAACTAATGCTTTCCCAATGACCGCCATGTGCTACGTGGTGTTTGGGTTTTCTTTACATTGATTACACAAGTTTGGAGTCGGACTTTTGGAGCTAGGATTTGTTACTTTTCACCCTTACCGTGTTATCACCACATTTGTGTTGATTTGTGTAAATATTATTATATCGTCTGCTACGTGTATATCCCTTTCTTTTTGAGCAGATTTTTTGAAGAATGTCTATATCTAATAGCTTGATTTCCCCGTGTAGGAATCACAACCTCGTAAGAGTTTCCGATATCCTAATCAAAAAAAAAAGAATGCAATAACTCTCCTTATGCCAAAAGAAATTCAGCGAAAGAAGTTGTAAAAAATAAATTGTTGTGCATCATCCGTGAATCGAACACGGGCCTCGTCGATGGCAACGACGAATTCTACCACTAGACCAATGATGCTAGTTGTATGATAACGGGTGCGCTGTGGAGTACATGTTCGCTTAGCAGTTTGTGAGTATAACCCACCTGGAAATAGGATCAAGTACTGTGTACTCCGTAGGTATGTGCAATTGAAATTGATACCTAGGTATAGTATGACAGCTTATTTTATAATTTAATCATAATCCTGCTCGCATATGAGCCTCCTATACATCAACACGAATGAATTAAGATGAGATGTGATATCAAATGCTTGGATATATATCCAGGCAAGGTAGACAAACGACGACAGAACACATTCGTGGATAACATGGAAAATATTTGCATTACAAATAACAAGACAAGGAGAAAGCATCGGAATTTATTCCTTGAAGAATCCGAGAAATAAAAGCTGACAGAGGACGAAAAGGTGTGTAGAAAAAGGGTATGGGAAACACAAGCCGCTATAAGACTAGGGAAACCAGAGAAAAGAAAGCAAAGACAACCATCCACTAATCATCCCATTCTTCATCCAGTTGATCTATGAGCCTGTTCTCCGCATCCACGTCACGGCTCTGGCCGCGTCCCCGCCGTCCTCCGATGGCGCTGATGAATCCACCACGGCCATTCGAGTCCGCACGGGTGTAGCCATTGCCCGCGGGGGATCCCTTGCAACGGAAGAGGTTTCCTAGCGAGGAAAAGATAATCACGAACATGTCCTGTTGGCGTAGAAAGAAAGAAGTGGTCAGCGTCATGTTCCAGACAATGAGGCTCGCAACTGCAATCGATCATCTAAGTACATGTAATAGAACACATTGTCCGTCTAATGAAGAGAGGAGCGGTGACTATGGAGGAGCTGTCTCCTACCCAGGGATCCAAAAGATGAAATGACACGTCCATTGACAAGTACCCAAGGGACAGTCCACTTGCATAAATCAAGACATCCTATCTTGTCAATATGGAAATGTACACGCCGTGATCATCACAGGCGCCCGAAGGTCCAAAGAGTCAAATCAAAAGATATAAAACACGGGAAAAAAAAAGAAAAAAGAATCTATGTCTGACAAGAAACAAGATGAATGGAACAGGCAAACCGCAACCGTCTTTCCTGAAGCGATTGGTCTCTAGACCAGCTAGAGCGAGTTCAATCTATCCGTGAAACAGGTAGTCCTGCCCCATTTGAATCCCGAAACTTATGCGAGACGAACTTGCCATATCTAGATTTGCGACGAGGCCAACATGGGATCAAAAATAAGACACTTACTTTGACAAAGTCGAAAACGCCAGCCCACAGGCTGAAGTTCGGACACTGGCGCCAGCCACGTTGATGCATGACAGTTCGCTGGTAGGCGCAGCCACCAATCAGATAAACGGCGATGGCAATCACCATACTTGAGGATAGGGTTAGCATGGATGACATTGGATGGTTTCCCAATAGGCAGAAATGGGTACTCACATAACACCGAATACGCCGCCTGGTCCCAAACCACCAGCGTTGGGATCCACGGCGATTCCACCACATGCCGCTGAGCTGCGGACTTCGAAGAAGTACGAGCATTCATCCATGGAGCCGACGAAGGAAGTTGTGGCCACGTTTGGCGCAGCGTCACGGTCACAAAGGAAAGACATAACAGTCGACTTAGTGCGCGTAGAGACATTGGAACTTCCCATGTTATAGTCGTCCGGACAAGGCGAGCCATTGGTATAATTGAGGACGAGTTTGCGGCCGCGGAACAAAGGTTGAGATGCTTGTTGTCTGTATATGACCGAGAATCGTTAGCAAAATAAACAGAGAATGAATCCAACTAGTGCGACCGGTTGGGATGGAGACTTGACATACCCTATGGAGTATCTTTTATCATCCCGCTCGTAATATGCGCTGACGTTCTTCCACCGCGATGACTCTATCCCAACCACATCTGTCACGTTTTCAATGACCGGCGCGCAGATGTTGATGGTGAAATTGGCCGGGTAGTCATGACCCCTGGCATGCCAGCTAGTATTCCGTGCATCTTTCGAGAGTTTGCCGTCCTTCATTTCAGGTGGGGATAATGAGATCGCATTGAGATCAAAGTACAACCCGGTGGTTGGGGAGCGGGCGACACATGGAGCATCATCTTCCAAATGTGAAGAGTATGATGCGCTAGATAATCCGAGAATTGAGGATAGAAGGAAAATAGAGTAATGAGCGGAGCTTGTGAGCTTCATGGTGGACTATGTTGGGGTCGACCCCAGGTAGTCTAGAAGTAGAAAGAAATGAAATGGGATAAGGAATGTGGAGAGACCGGGGAAAAAAAGATATAAATCTGTAAAATGATAGAAATGACAATGTATGAATTGATGTGAAGGAGGTCAAGTTGTAGAATGTAAGAGAGAGAGACAGAGAGAGATAGAGAGGCTTACGTAGCATTCACTATCGCTGTGATTGGAGATGCGGAGCAAATCAAACGGAACACACACCATCCGACGTCGTACGCGACTTTAAGGCTCCAGGAACTTATTTAAGGATCTTCTTTCCCCATACTCTGGGTAGTCCCTGGATTATTTCCCTGTCTATCCATTGGTCATTTGGTTATTTACTTCAATATGTCCTCCAAAAATGACTCCAAAAAAATACCCGTGCAGCCAGTGCCAGAGAAACGCGGTTATGAGTTTTGTGGACCGTATGTCTTTCTTCCTTCAATTGAGCTAAGCTGAGCTGACATTTGTAATAGAATAGGTGCTTTCGGTATTGTATTTGGATTGCCAATCCTGATCTACCTTTTTACCTTCGTCTGCAACGATATCTCTGGTTGTCCTGCGCCGTCGCTGTTGAATCCCTCAACCTTGTCGCTCGAGCAGTTGAAGCGTGAAGTCGGTTGGCCAGAGGAAGGAGTCACGGCACTTTATGATACCAATGTTACACTGTGGACACTGAGCTACTATGCCTTCAGCCTGTTCTTGCAGGTATTCCTCCCCGGTCAGGAGGCAGACGGTGTTGTTTTGGCCTGCGGAGGACAGCTGAAGTACAAATTCAATGGTATGGCAATGGCAGTCCTTTTTCGCATATCGCATTCAAACAGGGTGACTTTTTTTCTGACTCGGTTCATTGTATAGCATTTCCCTCTGCTATCATTATACTCTCGGGCCTCGCCGGAGGCACTTATCTCTATGGAGCCGACTTTGTAGTGTGGACATTCCTATGGGACAACTACGTCCAGGTCATTACAGCAAACTTGTTGATCTCTTCTTCTGTCGCGCTATTTGTCTACTTGAAGAGTTTCACCGTTCCAGCCCCAGGGCAGGCAAACCCAAGCCTACGACAGCTGGCACCTGGCGGCCATACGGGCAACATGCTCTACGACTTCTTCATCGGCCGTGAACTCAACCCTCGTGTTCGCTTGCCCATTCCATTTGTCAGCGAGGCATCGCGCACCATTGATATCAAGGTGTTCATGGAGATGAGACCAGGCTTGCTTGGATGGACAATTCTGAACTTGTCCAATGTGGCCCACCAATACCGAACTTATGGCTACATCACCGACTCGATTGTGCTGGTTACTGTTTTCCAGGCGTTTTATATTCTGGATGCACTGTACATGGAGCCAGCAATCATGACCACCATGGATGTAATCATGGACGGATTCGGATTCATGCTGTCTTTCGGTGATGTGGCTTGGGTGCCTCATGTGTACAGCATTCAGACCCGGTATCTCTCTGTATTCCCTTACGAGCTTGGCTTGAGCGGTATGGCCATTGTTCTGGGTATCACTGCCATTGGATATTCGATCTTCCGCGGCGCCAATAACCAGAAGAATCGTTTCCGCACGAATCCCAATGACCCCCGCGTGAAGAACATCAAGTACATCGAAACTGCCGCTGGATCCAAACTGATGACCTCTGGCTGGTGGGGTCTGGCGCGTCACATCAACTACTTGGGTGATTGGACTATGTCGTGGGCCTACTGCCTGCCCACTGGCGTTGCGGGATATGTCCTTATCGAGAGCATTAATCCAGCCAGTGGCGATGTCCAAAAGCAAGCCGTGCAGACCCCGGAAATCCGTGGCTGGGGTATGATCTTCACGTACTTTTACATGCTTTACTTTGGTGTCTTGTTGATCCACCGTGAGATGCGTGATGAGGAGAAGTGCGAGAAGAAGTATGGTGCTGACTGGAAGCGATATACCTCCATCGTCCGCAGCCGGATCATCCCTGGAATTTACTGAGAGATTCCTATCAAGGACTTCTTTCATAGGCCGTTTCCCCATTTGGATTTATGCCATGCCTTATTTATTTTTTTTGTATATTATTCGTCCCTAATATTACCCAAGATTGACTTGCGAAAGCCTTTATGGTAGGCGCACTTTTTGAATTACAATCTTCCAAAGTTGGCCCTTGATAAATTTGTTGTCGCAGGAGAATTTGACGAAACAAGATAGCAAATATAAACATCAAAGTCTACTCTGCGAGTTTTTACCAAGAAACACTTCCAGTTGTTGTTGTAGGAGCCTCAAACCAGGCCCTTTTTTATTTGATGGCAAGATATTTCTTAAGCTAGCACATGGCTCTTTTTGTTCAGATACGCAGTATCTTATATTCTAATGGAAATCTTGAAAGGGGGATACGATGGGGTTAGTATGTATACATGACCAGAGTGACCTTCAGAAATCTTTCATCCTCTAGACACAATCAGCGCTTTCGCTTTTTGGGGTCAACCAAAACATCCAAGCCCCAAGTTTCATCTCCTGAATTAGCCACCCATCCCCTGAGAACCAGTTTAGCATCCCTGATGGCCTGCATGCGGATTTGCAACGGGTCTTCCAAGCTGCTAGGATTTTTGAAATCCTGGTAGGTGGTTGTACCTGGTATATGGTGCTGAACTGTATTGACGTGTGGATCCTCAGCCTTTGGAGTACCCGGAAGTGATCTAGATGGGGAGATGTCGGTTTGATAGGTATGTGGAACCGAGGCAGGCGAAATTTCGCGAAGAAGAGCCCAAAGTTTAGCTCGGGACAGAGACGAGGCCCCACGGGCACCCGGCGAGGATGCCCGATTTCCTTGCTTCACTCCGTTGATGATAGTCTCATACAAGCCGGTTTTAGAACGGCGAAGAGTTGGCACTGACTTGCTGCCAGTATCCATAGTCATTGCCGACGGGTGTTTATACGAGGGAGCCAATATCCAAATGGCGCTCACATTCCCTGGCCTGGCCTTTTTAACCTTTGCACCAGACGTCAAAGGGTCTCCTTCCTGCTCCAAAGAAATTGCAGGACAAGACACGGATTTCGGCTTCGCAAAGGGCCAAAGCGCTGCCACCTCTTCACTCGGCACCGAAAGAACCTGGAATGGCCGGAATCGATACCCCGGTGTATTTTCTTTACCCTTTGTCTCCCTGGGCCAATATCGTCCACACAAAGCCTGCATTCGACCGTTCTCGCCAAAGGAGCGGTCACAGCCAACTCGGTTGATTTCGTCCTCAGGAAGAATCAGACCTGCCAGATAGGCGTTTTCGGTAGGAGCAATGAGGCGACTGGTCTCACAGGACAGCAAGGAGGAGACTTGCCGCAATGCAAGCTTGTCTGAACAGGACTTGCTGCGCGTGGACTCGGCATCCATGCGCGCTGGCTTTCGACGCACGACTCCGAGAAGAGAGAAGTGGGCCCGGCCATCTAGAAGGGTCTCTGTACCTGGGACCTCTGCGTCTTCGGTTTTTGGTAAAGAACCTTCTTGCTGTAAGACTTCCCAGGGTGTCGCATCTTCTTGGGCTGCCATGCAGAGCTCCATGCTTGCATCGCCGCAAGGAGCACATGTGCAATACATGTAAATATTGATATCAGGCCGAATCTCAAAAGGCGGCCATTCTGTGGATGGCGTACCAATACCATCTTCATCCTCTTCAATCTTTCTCCTTTGTATGAATGGAGAATCCGGGACTTTTTCTTCATCGGGGGTATCATGGCCATTCGGTAATTGCTTTTCCCGGGATAGAACACTGTTGCATTCTGTCAAAAGCCAATAATTAAATGCTCGGATGGCCAATATCTCAGCATGACAGTCATGTAGTACAAGACCCCTGCAGCGTGGGATATGAGATGCCGACAAGCATTTAGCGCCACTCCTACATCAATATCAGCTTCTTTGATATGACTTGGTCAGACTTGCAAGTGGGAAATTAAAACTTACGTGACAGATATGCAGGTTAGACTTTCCAAAGGTGTGTTTTCTCCTATAACCGAAGTGATAGAAAAATGTTACTATTTGAATCAAAAGAAAGATGTGTGACGGCGAAGTAAAGAGCAAAGAATGGACACATCCCCCTCACTGTACATACATGGACGGTGATAACTCGTTTCCAAATATCAATATTAAGTTACAAACATACCTTTGACGGCCACAATACCGGTCATTGGAATCCATTCCTTCGATCCATCTGGAAATATGGTTGGTTTGCTGCGCGTTGGCAGAGCATCGAAATGTGCATGAACCAGCGATGCTATCCGGGACGATAATGAGAAATTAGATATATAAACAGACATTGGATATCATCACAGTCCGAACGATAATTCTCTAAACCACCAAATCCTTTATTAAATGCAAAGACAGGATCGAAGAATCTCAAGATAGCCATACGATCACGTGATGTCGTATAATTTATGCCTGAGGCGTCAATATTCTCTTTCTTCGTTCGAGCTTGCCGCCATCCTTCTCAATCAAACACCAACGTCTCATACTATCCACCATGGCCGACAAGCTCCGCACCATCCAGAACCTTGAGGCTCTCCAGGCCCGTTACATCGGTACCGGACACTCCGATACAACCAAGTACGAGTGGACGTCCAACATCCTCCGTGACAGCTACTCCTCCTACGTCGGTCACCCTCCCCTGCTGTCCTACATGGCCGTCGGCATGGGCGAACCAAAAGAGAAGGTGCGCGCAATGATGTTGGAGAAAATGGTCAGAGGTGCTGGCAATCCGCCAGAGGTATGTGGTTATCTTACAGAGTTGCTCAACATAATACGAGATGGGTTGGCTAACATGTACCCTCCAATGATCTAGACTCAAGAGTAAACTGATTAGTGTGGTTTATTCTTGTTCTCTCTGATACCCCTTGTCGCGTCCTTGGCTTTCCATACAGGAAGGCAGATCCTCCGACCCTCCGACCACTCCCTAGTCCAGCTCAGCAACCTTGCTGACATGGGATGAATCCCTCTGTACGGATTTCGAAACCGCCAAAGATCCATTTTCTTTTTCCCTTCGATTACCTCAGTATGGAAGAACAATTCCAGCTCAACATACGAAACGCTCTATGAAACAAGGCCGATAGATCCCTCTCTGGGCTAGGGATTGGATTGCCCGTGTTTTTCGCTTCTGAGACTCCAAGAACCCTTCAATTCTTGTCAGCGAGGGGAGACAATTTGTGATACACACGCCTACCACATGAAATTACGTCCTCAACAACAAGTTCCCATATGCCCGACCTTGGAATTAGCATCGTAACGGATGGCCTGGTATTGCTTATCGAGAATTCGGTTCCTCAACTACACCGGGAGAAGCCGCCCCAGAGCTGTATCTCGCTTGATTTATCATGGTAGGCAATATTGCAATCTAGTCATAATGTTTGAAACATGAAGATATCAAATATCGAAATCCATTCCGTAGATAAATGTAGTAATAGATACAGGACAAAGTATGTAGCTATAGAACCATTGGACGGACAGATCAGACTAAAGCCAAAAAAAAAAAAAAAAATCAAACAGAGGACGCTAGAAAATAAGCCATGCAGTATGTACAAAACTATAGAATTATAGTCTATCCCCAATTAAGCATCCTCTGACTTCGCCGCCAGCCTTGTATTCTCCGCCTGCAACGAAGAAACAAGGTCGACCCATTTCTTGCGCTCAGAGCGAAGCTGCTTGACCTCCTTCTTGAGATCATGTACCTCTTGCTTCAAGTTATCAACCTCAGACTTGTTCTTGGACTTGGACTTCTGGGAACGCTCATCATCCTTTCTCTGCTTCGCTTGAATCTTCGACGTAATTTTTAGCTGGCTAGCCTCGATCTTGCGCAGCTGTTTAAGCAGCTTAGATTCCCCATGGAGAAATTGAGCGGCTGCTTTGGGGAGACGCGATGGCGGGTCGGGGGTTTCCGTCCGCGCAGAAGATGGCTGGTCTTCATTGCTGACCTCGTCCTGCTGTTGGCTCTGGCTCTGGCTCTGCTGTGTGCTAGTGCTGGCGGGCCTGGAAGACCTATTCGTCGCTGCGCGCTTGCGCATCCCGTTAGTGTCACTGTCTACCTCGCTGATGCCTTTCACTGGGGTCCCTGAGACACTAGGCGGTTGTGATGAGATCTGAAACTTGTTGAGTTCGGCGCGGATTTCTTCTAGCTTGTCTTCGATCTCACGTTTGCGGATGGCCAGCTTTGCGAGCTCTTTCTCGTGGGAAGTGAGCTTGCCATTCTTTGTAATTTCCGTCAGTTCCTCCTGTGACATGTTGTTGTGTGCTACCTTGTTAATGGCTGTTGCTTCTTGTGTGGAATTGGCCGAGGAGAGTGAAGCATTGTCATGCTCACGGGATATTGAAGATTCGGCGCCCGACGTCGTTTTATTTTGTTGGACACTATTTGGGCTTAGGTGTGCCATGCCGTCTGCATCAATGTAGGAAACCTCGTCCCCGGCCGGGATATCACCCGATACTTTAGTGTGGGGGCCATAGCCTAGAACTTGTGGTGCGAACCGTTCCAGTCCACTACTGAGCAAGCCGGTAACACTGGCAATCAGGCCATGATGCGAATGCTCGCCGTCGCTGTTGAGTGATGCGTAATCCGAATCCGAGTCGTCTGCCTGGTTGGAGTCGTATTCATTCGCAGACTCGCCATCACCGGATCTAGCCTTGGCGCCTGCTGAAGTATTTATAGCTTCCGTGCCTGTGCTTTCTTCTTGCTCGGGTGGCTTGTCATCTTGAAGAGCCCAATTAATGAATTTAGCGGCGTCCGTTCCCACGCTTCGTGGTGTTCCCTTATCCACCATCCACCGCGGAATGTTGCCGCCCGGGTCACTCCTAGTGACCATGATCCATTCAACAGGATTCATTTCTTCGTCTTCATCATCCCCAGCTCCATCCTGCTCAGGCAGCCCTTCAGGCTGTTGAAGATTGGAGGATGAAGTATCACTATTCTTCTTACTCCCCTGGCTAGGAAAGCTGCTCCCACTGCCGTTCTTCTTAGGAATCTCCCGAATGAGCTCGATAGACTCATACTGCCCGCGAGTATAGCCCTGCTTATGCTGGATATCGGGGTGTTCACATGGCTTAGAGATCATGATCCAGCTGCGACCAGGCTGCTTAGTTCCGCCAGCTTGCAATCCAGAATCGGAATTGATTATCAACGCCACGAAATCGCGCGGTGCAGTAGGTTTGGGAAACTGCGCCGAGACATGGTAAACCATTAACTCTCCCAGAACCGAACCATCATGGTCCTTGATCTCAATTTTCTCGATCTTTTCTTCGGCACCAATCCCACGGATGCACTTGTCAGGCGTATGTCCATTCTCAATCTTCTTGCGATTTACTTTCAGCGTTTCGTCGTACTCAGTTGAGAGCTTATTCCGCCACCGCGAGAATGGGATACCCTCATGTACACTCCGTCGCCCGAACCATGAGCCCCCACCATCATCTGCGGAAAGTTTCCACACTGTCACATCTAATGGATTGTCCCTTGGTCCGCCCATCTTGAGTGGCTTCCCCCATTCCTTTTGTAGGTCTGTAATCTCCGGATCGGTTTCTCCCACTCGTGCGGATGATGGGACGATTCGTCGGGCGGAGGGATCCTTCGTGTCGTCTAACCCGGGGTAGTTATCGTTATCGGATATTGGGGGGTCTGGAAGTGATTCCACTACCAGGCGGCTATTTTTGAAGGTCTCGCGCACATAGTCACGGAGCTCGTCGGGATCCCGGGGAACCTCGTCCCATAACGTTGGTTTGAGGCATTGGAGGGCATCGTGTAAGGTAGCCATAGGTGCAGTAGGAGACTTTCTATATTTTGAAGTCTTAGTCTTCTGCGATGTTGTAAATTCCAAGTTGTGTCGGAAGTGCAGTGACGTTGGTTCGAGTAGCGGGGTGGTGTCAGCTCGTGGTGTGCCGGAATTAGCACACGGGGGTAGGATAAGCGGTGGCGGACAACTGGACACCAGGATTTCCAGAATATATGAAGACTGAAAAGACTAACAAGACTCAAAAGGTGGCTCAGGCGAAACTGTTTCTTGTAGAAAGGGTTTAGGTTATAAATTGATGAAGCAGGTGGTAACTCCCAGATAAGAGACAAATGCAATAAAATTACAATGTAAAGGAGATCATATAACACATAAAAGAAGCCCAAATCTAGAATGAAGACATAGAGAGTTGTTAAGGGAGTGACTGAGGGCCAAAGTGGAGGATCAACTTGGAATATGATGTTACCTGCAGGACGGTCTTGGCGGCTGACGCCATACAGCCTGGGGTAATATACCCGCTGCCTTGGATCTTCATGGATTTATATTTAGATTTCTGTAAACTACGAGACTTTCTTTTCTTTTCTTTTGAACGATACGAATATCTAGTTATAGATACAAAATGAGAGAAAGAAATTGTGTATGCACTTTTTAAAACTACATAAGCTAAAGAGATACATACAACATTTAAAACAGAACTGCTGACGGATCAACATTCAAGCGATGAGAAAAGAAGCAGCCAGCGCAAGGGACCAGCCCCCCGATCAGATAGACCATAAAGGAGAGTATCTATTAGATCGAGCATCTGATTCTTGTCGTCGGGACAAAGAATGAAGGGCTCTTCCATCCAGTGAAAGAGCCCACCGACAGACCAAGCTTGCCCAGGAATTTCTAAAACCCAGCCTGGACGATAGGAGATGAATCTATCATTGCCAAATACAGCTATTGCAGGTGAGTTCGTAGCAAAGAGGGCAGAGATGACTGCCACTCAGACCACTCGTCGCTTAGGGCGGGATGTGAAGATCCCCAGGTCACAGACCGAAGGGGGAAATCCAGTGCGTCGCCCTTTGCGCTCGGTATCTGCCACAGGCGGATGTACTCGAGTCTGACGAGGACTGAAGGCAATCTTCTCTCACACTCGTGTTGCTGATATTCACCTCCTCGAACCAAAGATGACCAAAAGTGCGTGCTCCAACCAAGCATCACAGATGCAAGGAAGAAGGTGACGCCGTCGCATAAATCTATCCTCTAATTCTCCAATAAAGAGAATTAGCCGGTCCGGTACACAGTACCAGAAGGACGGACGCCGTAAGAAAGGAAAGAAAGCAAAAGCACACGCTGAACCCGGTTCAGTCGAGTACCCCAAGCTTGCTTTCTTCCCTTTCCAGCAAGCTGCGACAGAAGAATTGAAAACATAATGTTGGACATTCCACGTCCAAATTCATATCCTCCACATGCCGTGAGGCAGACCAGTCTTCATGACATATATGCGGGAAAAAAGAAACGAAACATAACAGAGAGCCGACCCGCCGCTTCTTGATGCAAAGGGAAAAAAAAAAAAGAAGAAAAAAAATCGCTGACGCTGGAATCAAACATCAAAACTATCAAAACAAGCGCAAAAAAAAAAAGAAAAAAGATAATTCTGGTTATCATGCAAAAGGCAGGAGGGAGTATCACAGATGCACAGTGTCAAATCGAAGAGAACGCCGTCAAGAATGCGAATTGTCGTTGCTTGGAATCGGGTTCCCGGTAAGAAGAGAGGAGAGGAGTTGAGGAGTCGAGGAGTCGTGAAGGAACCGAAAAATTGCGCGCGCATCTAGTTCTAAGAAACGATCCACGTTTCTCAAACCCAGGTTGAACGAACCGAGGGAGCCTGAACTTGGGAATGGTCGACATCACCGAGTCTACTCAGGAGAGCTGAGCTATGCAATCGTGCCATACGGCAGCGGGGTAAAATCGCCCCAGCCAAAGCCCCCCATACCCATATTGACAGCCGTGCTGCAGGGTTGTACAAGCATGCTCGGGAACATGCTTGGGAACATGGTCGGCAACGGGAGGGAACTGGTAGCGGCCGATGTGGCCGGCATGCAGGTGGTCGGCAGGCAATCGTAGGTTTGGAACGGCGAGGGGGTAAAGGGCTGGCTGTAAGACGGGGTCGGTGAGGCAAGTTGGGCATCACTGAAACTGAGACTAGCCCAAAGATTCGGATTAGAATCACCCGTGGTGGCCGGGTTGGGGCTGGGCGACAGTACTTTCCACGACTCGATTGGCGCTGGCTGGGGCACCGGGTTCTGCCACCAGTTTTCTGGGCCTGTCGAACTAGGCAGGATAGGCATTGGACGCATGACATCCATCACCGGTGGTGAAGGGGCAACCAATGGGACAAAGAGCTTGCCGATGGCTGCTTTTGCTTCTTCGCTGCGACCGCTCAGTAGCTCTCCGGCGCCGTCTTCTTCTAGCCCCTCGAGCGCCTGGGCATTGGCACGGTAGACAAACTTGTTGGCGGCTTGGACGAACTCCTCCTGTAATCTTTTCAGCTCACCATGCTTTCCCGGCCAGTTGTATGTATTGGCGGCGGCATCCACCGAGTAGACCTCCTTGTGGAAATCAACTAGAGATTCGATGGTTTCCGGAGTCAACTTGAAAGCCACCTCATTACGGGAGACCATGTCGACGTGTACAACGTAGGCCTCCACGTGGATCATTTGGTGGTTGTGTAGGCCCTCCCAGAGCTGGTTCTCATTCTTCGCTAACTCTGCCTGGGGAGCCTTAGTGAACATCATGGAACACAGGGTCCAAATGGCATTTTTCGATGAGAGCGTTTCTGTCAGACACCGGGTATGCTGAGTGACATTATTCAAAGGACGCTTGACCCGGTTTACTCGCTTCAGGGTGGCGGTCAACCAAGGCTCAACCTTGGTGTTCAACACGACATTCGGGGATGATCGTGGCGCAAAAGCAGCGGCGGAAGATGGGAGTAAGACTGTTGGCATTATGACACTGTGCGAAAGGTGATACGTCCGGCGTTGGTATAGATGATATAAAAGAATGTAGAATATAGAACGTAAATCATAAAAGCGACATTCGCCCACACAAAATATTGGGTTTTCGGAATCTGTGTTGAGATGTGTATTAAAGTGCGGGCGAATGCGCAAAACCAGAAATTAGAATATAAAGGAAAGAAGATGACATGAAAGTCAAGAGTGGTTATAGAAAGAAAAGAGAGGGATGTCAAGAAGAATAATAGTTAATTAAGAGGAGGGGAATGAACTATGAATAAGTGGAGATTTAATGGGCCACAATAATATGTATGTTAATTTTGGATATTATTTCTATTATTTCTATTTTTTTCTCTTAAAATATGAGAATAAAACATAAAACATACAAAACACATAGAAAACACAGGAGTTCATATTTTTTTCTACGGTATTATTTTGGTATGCAGGTCGATGGAGTCAAATGTACATCAGTCTATGGGCACATCTCGGACTCCCCGATCTGCAACCTGAAGATTCAAGTGGCGATAATACTACTTGAAATACTTTGAATACTGGAATACTTGAAACGGTTAAACAAGCACGAGATCCAAACGTTTCATCAAATTTGACGGGTTCACTCACACAGTGCCAGTCTCACACACCCGTTGCACGTCCATTTGGCCAGAACAGCTGCATGATGCCCTAAACTGCAACAGCTAAGCCCCAATGATCCATAAGACGGCTTAAACAGAAAGCATTAGAAAACCTCCGAGTCTCCATAGATCGTCTAGAGCGATCAATTTACTATCTACTATTAGCGGAGACTTAAATACATTTCTCAGCTGGGCGATGTGCATATTTCAGTGTGTGCCAAGAACTACACATCGTTAAAAAGATAGTATTAGATCCTCAACACTAATGTTGTAGAGTCCCCATGCTTTTTAGGTGAAGACTCTATTTAAATTTGGCTGCAGCCTGCAAGCCAAGACTTAGTTTCGATCCTTTTTCCAATGTGTTTCAATCCTGTGCTTCAATATCCAACTGGATATCAGCAGAGAAAATAACTAGTTAATATTTCCAGTATTAAGAATTATTACACTAATACATCCATATAACAACCATAATAACCATAACAGCCATAATAACCATATCAAGGTTTTTTTTTTGGACCTATCGAGTGCCGCTAAGACGATACAGAGTCGTAGACCTCAGCTGATGGAGGGTCGAGCAAGCGTGGGGCAGAGCCCGCCTTGAGTCACTTCAGGGCTGGGATTCGCTGAGACCAACCGAGTCCGGCCGATGCACAGAAAGCTGAGATCCCTGTTACGATCTGCCATTGGGCTGAGCCTCCATTGTCAGACTTTGGGACGGCGCCATTAGCCCTTGTGTATTCCGTACGGAGTACTCCGTACGGAAATACCGTTTCCTATTGTCTTGTCCACATGATTCATGATTCAAGTTTTCAATGATATCATCTTACTTTGGTTTCCTCTGCAGGCGCCCTTTGCCTTCTGCCTCTTTCCTAAAATGGAATCCCTGCTGCATATGAGTTCGGTCACATGGTCTGATGTGGGTGTACGGGACTACTCGTTTTCAGTCGAAGGTTTCGTCATCGTCATTGTGTATCTATAGAGAGGGGCATATAACGTCTGGAAAATAATGCGACCGAGTTAGTTACGTTTTCCTAAAATAGATATGAGGCTGTGCACATTACTCGCCACGTTGTGGCGGATATCTCCGGCCCCACATGTCTGCAAAGCTCTACAAAGTAGTTAGTTGCTACGGAGTATGGTTTCTTGCTTCTCCCTTTGTTCGCCTCGCTTGCTTTACCGAAAACCGGTTGGAGAAGAGATATGAGTTGGCAAGAGTCGGGAGCTGGAATCCCAGGCAGATCTTAACCACATCCACAGTCAGGCGGGTACTGAAACCCAGCTCTGTCGGGCCCAGATAATGCCTGGTTCCATGATTGTCAGGCTGTCATTAAGTTGGAATAGTGAAATCACCCTACTATGAATTAAGTAGTATATCGGAAATTACTGTATTTCGTAGACTGCATCGGTTATGGCTCATATGTGTGCCGATGATGTTCGATTAAAACGAAGCCGGACAATGCCCTAATGTTGAACCTAGAATAAGCTATTGCCTTTTAGGTATGTCAAAGGATTGCTTCCCTGTGACTTATGTTTAGAACAGATCCAAGGGGCTCATCCATGAGACATCCATTAGACTACTTGATCATGAAACTAATGACTCATAGATCTTTTAAACGCCGTGATAAACTTTCCTTTCTTCTTTTTAGACATCCCAGATTGTCGGGTTGTACTCAAACCCCTAAGCAAAGCGTTTAGCCATATTGAAAATCTGTCCGAACGATCTATACTAGTTGGTATCGTTAGAAACAGTTCAACCTATAAAAGAATCGTAATGAAATTGGCACTAGGGGGAGAAAATATAATGTCTAGTATTACGTTGACGTTATTGGCTTTATGAATATATTATAATCTCTGCGTGTAACGTTTGATTTTGTTAATCAAAAAACCTGACTCGCGATCCCAATTAAAAAGTAAAGGGAAGGATGTGGAGGATGGGAGCATAGGGCAGCGCTCCACGCAGAAGTTTGCATAACGTGTGAGATCTATTCTATTACAGAATAGGCGAGTTGATGCACATTCCCGCAATGATGCACAAGTTATATAGCAATACACTAAAGTAGGAACGGTGCATCCCACATCGAACGGTTACTTCCAACTGAGTTACCTCTGTGCAGAGCAACAGACTAATATGCGCGTCTCTACCACTTTTATCTCAACCCTAGTACACTCCAACATCGCACTAGCTCATCCACACTGCTGTACAGTAAAATACTGAGGCGAAAGCTCACGCTGCAGCAGCAGCATCAAATGCAGAGTCGAGCAGCAATGACAAGGAGAAAACTGCTGTAGACACAGTCAGCGCGGCGAAGAAGGATACCCATAGTGCCACGACTTCTACCAACGCTAAGACTTCGCTTCGATCAAGCCGGACACCTCGGGTCTGAACAGTATGATACCGACAGAGGACTTCGCTTAAGAAGCTCTGCCCCATAGTCTACATCTCATACCTCTTAGCATAACGGGGAAGTTATCATATTATCTTATAGGGGACCAGAGTCCGTCACATTGAAGATATATGTGGAAGCTAGTTTGGCCTCAGCGCTGTATAAAAGTAATTAGTTATATTAAGCTGATGGAACTTAAAGTACTATCTTGTCCTGTTATCTGTGGCTCTTATTAGTTAGCCAACATGTTGTCCACACAATGTCACGTTGTCGTCTCTTATCGATTCAACTGACAGAACTGACAGGGTTCCCCTCTCTAAGTGTGTTTTGTACATCGGTTTAGTGCATGTGCTGTGTTATGAAGCAAAGTACAAAGTCAACTTGTTCCTATGCTTTAATTATCTTTCTACTATTAATTACCATGCCTCTGAACCCGTTCCAACCATGCGAGGGCTCGCCAATCCCCGAGGGCCCACCAACCTTTCAAGAGGAATATCGAGGCAGCTATATACCAAGGGTTATCAAAACAGGATTTGGCCTCCAGGTTGTGGCTCCGGATACTCCATACGTGGCAGTGGCCGGCCCGAACCAGTTATACTTCATCAACACCCGGCTCGATACTGAGACTGCAAAGCACATGAAGGAAAATATCGAGAAAGCCAGCGTGCTGAAGGAGGACGAATACATCGCCATAGACGAGATTACAGCAACGGCGGAAGTAAAAAGCGTCGTGACTGGCGAAACAACATTTGTGTTTGACCCTTCCTTTGCCAGGATGGCGTTTGCCAGGGGAATGAACAGGCACAACCCAGAGCTCAAACTGCCTGAGCCGGAGCCCGCTGGCGATTGGTTGGTGACTTACGACCTGGACAATAGTCTTCTTGGAAAAGTAACCGAGGAAGGAGGATAGCTGTGTTCTTCTTCGCTCTATTTTTGTATGGTAGCTAGAACTCGTGGGTCTTGGGCATATAGCTGGAAATTTCCCCTAAGTTCCTAGGAGAGATAGCCGTGGAGATTTTTTTATCAAATTGTACTTCTCCTGAGGGCCTGAGTCCGCTCGACTGTCATGGTGTCCCATTGATCATTTGATCCTTTCATCAACAAACAGATAGGTTTAGATCGAAGAGTAGGAGTCTAAAAGGTAGCTTAGTCTGTACTGAAGACTAGCCACGGAAATTCCATTACTCGGATCTTCTATAGGGCTTTCCTACTATTCCTCGTCCCATAAACAGCTAATTGACCTTAATTGACCTTAAGGTACAAAATCAAATCCAAAGTTCCGGGTGGAAAGGCGGCCATTTCATAGGTCCCCATCTTCTAGTTGTAATAATAACTCGTTGATTTCTATAAAGTTTGATGTTATTCGCACGAGGCGTTCTCATTGTTGATCTAGTCCTGGAATTCCCAAGAGAGGCAAGTGATGTTCGCTTCTAAGATATTTCAGTTGGGTTGGAGAGTCCATAGTGTCCCAGCGAACTCTCACATGGGTAGACATGACATAGGCGCAAAGGTTCCTTAGCTTGCCTGTCTCCTCGCATTTTAACCCAAGAAGCATGTTTTTTTTCTCGGGCATGTTGGAGATGATGATGTGATCCATGGTAAGTCACGAGGAAGTTGCCTTCATTGGAATCATGGATGAAGAGTTCTTTCGAGCGCGGCCGAGAACGAACCGAGTCTCTTGTGAATGGTAGTCTGTTCACCAGGAAGGATGACAAGAGTATGAAAAAAGCTTCAGTTTTTCCTTTGTGGTTTTAACGGTTTAGACGAAAAGCTGCTATCGCCCCCCTCAAGACGGAATGTCCGATGCCTTGGTCTCTTGAAACTTAGACACGACCTTCATCTCGGTATCGCGTTCCTTGACCTTCTTATCCATGGATTTTTGAACCTCTTCTCGTTTCCGTTTAGCAGTCTCAATTTTCTCCTTGACTTCTTTGGCAAGTTGCTCCTGCGCGTGGAGCGCGGCCTCTCGTGATTTGTATTGTTCTTCCAGTTGCTTAAGCTCAGTTTGGTAGTCTCGATGTTTGATTGGTTGGCATGTCACTGGATGATAGCGGTATGATGGCAGTGGCCCATCTGGAACTTTTATTTCGGCGAGATCAGGGTGGATTGGGGTGACGCGGGTTGTTGAATCCAAAGGAACAGCCGCGGCTTCGGCCGGGGGAGATGAAGCGGGAGGGGTAGGCTCGGGTTTCACCATGGTCGTGGAGCGACAACAAGGTGAACAAACGGTAGTATTTCACAAGCAACAAGTGTTGATCGCCTGATGTTATCGAAGAAGAGGTGAGATGAGTACCGGCGTAGAAGTCACCTTCGGAGTCTCGTTATTGATTCTGCCATATCGTCACACTTCACCGCCCCAATGTCCGCGGCGTATGCGGGGAGGACTCTTAGCCAAATTGACGACTCTATCACTACTTGACATTTCATATTCATGCTAGTTGAGTTTCTTCTCAGCTTCAGATCGAGATATTTCCTCGAGGCCGGTCCTGGGTGGACCAGTTGATGTGCCTACGATATCTGAGTTCCCACAAGCTTGAACCGGTGACGTGACCGTTAACATGCAGGCATTTGGTATGTTCCTCTATACTTGTTGATTGATGTAAGCTAACAAACCCACTGTAGTCCCCAAGAATAGACGAGTACGTTACCTGATAAGCCCAAGAGAAACAAATTTGTAACTGACTTCTGTTACAGCCTAGGTTCGAGCTCATTTTGAGGGTACGCATTATACACAGACTATGGAATTGCTGTCAAGATTTCTGACCTTCCAAAGATCATTGATATCAATAATGTCCCCTTGGGCAACAGTGTCGCTTTTGTGCGATGGCGATTGCCATCGTCAAGCTCCACTGAACACCAAGGTCACACCGAGAAAGCAATTCTATCAGATCACCGCGCTTATTGGGGTTATGAGAAATGCCTCCAAGTAAGGCTTACAATTGATAGGACATCAATTCTTCAGGAGTGTGAACTCAACTTTGAAGTTATACAAGAGTACACCACGTCACCCATATCCGAAAAGAGCGTGCTGGGTAAAATCAAACTCAATCTCGCCGAATACGTGGACAAAACCGAAGAAGATGAAGGGATCATTCGGCGATACCTGATGCATGAAAGTAAAGTGAACAGTACTGTCAAGATCGGGATCGCGATGCGTCAGCTGGAAGGAGACCGCAACTTCACGACGTAAGCAAAGCCCCCAAACTTGTTTCTGATCCACACCCAATGCTGATTATAAAAAGACCACAGCTGAAATCTGCCACCGTCTTTGGAGGAATTGCCGGAGTTGTTCAATCCACCGAACTGCCTATCAACGCCGATGAATTTGGTCACCTGCCATCTATTGACACCAAGAGCCGGGAGATTGCAGATATGCAAGACATGTATCGGCGCACTCTAGCAGCGTCGTGGTCTTCTAGAGCTGGTGATCTGCCTGCTGATACGTTGGTTGAAGAGTTGTTTGCTGGAAGTTCTTGCTGGAACAACGCACAAAATGCCAACGCTGGCACATCAGGGGGCGATCACCGAGATTCTCTATTGAGCGCAGAGGCAGTCCCACGCCAAAGCCGCTCCGGAAAAAAGCTGTCTCCCAGTTTTGAACGGCGCCCCAAAAGTACTTCCAGCAATCGCTCACACAGTAGCAGTAAGACCCCAAACTCTCTTGCTGCGCTTGGGCATCAGAAAAACAATGGGAGCATTGAACATCAATTGTATGAAGGGGTCAAGGGTCGGGGATGGAAGACGCCAGACACAAAAAATGAGCTTTCCGAGTTCGATGTGAGAGAGAACTTGCGCAGCTGGGAAGTTGTACCAAAAGAATGAATTCTACATACATTTCTGCGCTATGAATTACTTTTAAATGAGGGTTTTTTTTATACAGTTGACAGAGACGTTTGAGAGGCTGTCCTACACAGCCGAAGAAATCGTAGATATGGAATTGCTGCCTGAGGCATAAATAGATTTCTTATCGCGGCCTAGCGCCCCGATTATCGCCGCAGAAAAGTGATTGTAGGATAATTTGTCCTCTCCACGTTCGCAATAGGCCTACTGTTCTGTCATGCTTCGACGCCCCTTAGGGAAAAAGCTGAGGCTTCTGGGCTTCCAGTCACTTTCATATCGGAGACCGCTATTGTCATACCCACAAGCCGTTCTTCCCCGATACCAGAGTAACTGGAGTCGCGACCATGAACACGAAGCTTTCGATGGACCCAATTCCGAACGAAACCGCGAACCGAAATATAATGGACAAAATGAAGCAGGCAGATTCACATTAGATGTGGACACACTTGGAAAGCCAGGACAAATCCTTGTTGTGCCTTCACGTCGCCGCCGAAAGTTAAATCGCAGTCGCAACAAAAGCCCCGAAAATGGATCTGGCGGCACAATCAGCGCAATGTTGGATGAACTTAATGACGAGAACTCATCGCCCAGCGACAAGTCGGTTCAGGAAAGGATTGATGAGGTCCGTGGATCATATCAACTGGGACAGATCTTGCCTGCTGCTGATCTCGAGGCATTGTGGTCAAAATTGGCTTCCTCTTTCACATACAAGCAATTGTCGGACTTCATTTTAGGGTACAACCGCAATACTGTGGTAGAAGAGAAAGACTGGACGTGGGGGTCAAGCAACTCCAGATCGAAGAACGCATCATTAGGAAAGACCAAGCGCTTCAGAGGAAAATCCCGGGCTGCTGAGACGATCGTTCGGCATTGTTGGCAGCTAGTGGCCGATGGCGAACGTGGCCAGTTGAGATTCCGCATACCAGCTCAGTCCATATCATTGCTTCTCCATGCTGAGCATTTCTCTTTCCACGAGCTGGCTAGTCTCCATGGCTGTGGTATTGATGTCACACAATCTGCGGGTCTGGTATCACTTACTGGCAAGAGAAATGATTGCGAGTCTGTTCATGAGATTATCATTGATGCCACTGGCAGAATCTGCGAGGATGATATTGGAATCCAACCTTATCCCCATGGAGATGGAGCCATTCAAGTTTTTACCCCGGACTTTTTGGAATGGGTTAATAGCAAATATGGGGTATTTGTGGAACACAAAACACACAGACTACCGCAAAAGATTCTCTATCTTGCCGAGAATAAGTTAGGAGCAGATAATGCACGGAGGACCTTGAACTTAGCCTTATCCCACACCACATCCCCATCGACGCCATTTTCAACCTATTTACCTGCTTCGGAACTTGCCAGTGCTTATAGCTACAAACCAGAAGCTCATACTTCGTGGTTTGAGCAGCAAAAGTCGTGGTTCCGGTGGGCAATGTCTTCCAGTCAAAACGCGGAGGCAGAAAATCTTGAAACTCCTTTCTTCGATAAGCATCAAACACGGCTCTCAGACGAATTATTGAAGCTTCTCCGAGTCACTACTCCGAAAACTGGGTTAGCCCCCGGTTTGCATGAATGTGTGACAGCTGTGGTTGGGAAATGCCTTTTTATGCAAAAGCCCTCTTTCAATGATACAGCCATCAGTCCGGCACAGTTGGGAAGACTATCCCTTCCGCGGGCTTTCACAAACGACATACCTCTGGTGTCGCGTTTCATCAACTCACTCATGCCTACCCGCTCAAATAACGAGGCACAGCTATATCGACTTCGGTTATCTCCAACCTCCAACGCAGGATCCCCGCCGGAACTCGAAATCGAGGTAGCCTTGAACTCAAAATCAGATGGTGTGGATGTCCACAGCGTAAAGGCTATTCTCGCCACAAACAACGTTGACTACCTGCTTCCGGAAAATGGTCTGGACCTGCGTTTTACACGAACTGTTTCCCAAGACCTCCTGTCTAAGCCATCTTCCAACTCAGAACTTCCGCAAACCTCTTCCGAGCACCTCTGTCCTGGGCCTTCGTCGCCGCAAATCCAAGCAATGCTGCATAGCCTCAAAATCTCCGTCCA